GTATTTATAAGAAACCAAAAACATTTTTCTTTCTTTGTGAATGTTTGATTGCAGGTTTAATTTCTCTGAAACATGGTTTTTGTTTTTCCTAATTTGATAAAATACAAAGAAAAAAAGCTTTGGCATCTTTTTATAAACGACGGTATCTTAGTATAACGTCGTGGTATGAACATTCACACGGCGTCAATAATAAGATACCGTCGTCTATATAAGATACCAAACCCTACTTTCTTTGTCTCTGTATTTTATCAAATTAGGAAAAACGAAAACCATGGTTCAGAGAAATCGAACCTGCAACTAAACAAGCAAATAAAAAATTGACCGTCATTTTAAAAACAACTTAGATCAATTTTAAGACGACGCTAGGACGACTGACGAACCGTCGTGGTCTACATATTTAACCACGTAAATAAAAAGCTACCGTCGTCTTATTTAGTTGAATTAGTTATGTTCAAAGTTGAAACTTTCCCTCTCTGTCTGTGTATTTTATCAAACTTGGAAAGAATAAAAATGATTTTCGCCAGAAAAAAGGTAAAAAGATTTTCAAAACAAAAACAGTATGAGCATGCAAAATAGCAACAAAAATAGTGAGAAATGAAAGCTTACCTTTTGCGTGCAATGAAAGCTTTCTCTCGGATTTTGGTGTTTAAGTTCAGAGGCGACGACGAAGACAAGAGGAAGACGATGAGATACTCTGACAGTGCTCTGACAAGGAAAAAGAAGAAAAGTTTTCTCTGGGAGATTGAAATGTTTTCTCGGGTTTGGAAACAGTGCATGTGTAAGTCAGGTAGACGAAAAGTTGTATATGTATACAAACCGTTTCATAGTAATAAGACGGCGGTTTACATAGAACGACGACGTATTAATAGACAAACTACGACGCTAATTTGAACTTATGACGTGGTACATAAATACGACAGTGGTGTTGTAGGTACCGCCGTAGTAAACTCCTAAATAAAAGTCGATAACTCAATATCTCGCATCATGGTAGAAATATTTAACACGACGGTTGTTTTAAATTTACGACGTTTATTTTTATAATATACGTCGTTTTATTGTAATATACCGACGTGGATAACACTAAACTAAAACGACGTATTATTTTTTCAACGACGTGGATTCGTTTTTAAACGTCGTTATGTGTAATATAACCGACGTGGATTTTATTTTTTTTATTATAAATATAATTTTTTTCCCCTTTTTCTTATAGTTTATTTTTCAAAAACAGTGCCTTATAGATATAGTTTTTTTTCCCGAGGAAATTAATGTTCTAGAATTTGTAAAGTTTCTTTTCTAGGTGACTGATTTAAATCAAATAAAAATATAAAACAACGACTGTTTTTGTTATACCGTCGTCGTTTCTTGTTGTCTTAAGTAAGAATAAAACGACGTAATGTATTTGTTACCGACGAGGATTGTTTTTGTTAAACGTCGTTATGTGTAATATAACCGACGTGGATTTGGTTTTTTAATTATAAATAGGGTTTTTTTCCACGGGTTCTTTCAGTTTTAGTATTCGATTAGGGTTTCAACTTCTTCTTGCCCCTTTCTCTGTCTCACCTCATCTCTTGGGAGGCAATTGTTTGAATGTTGGTTATCTGTGGCTGATTGCAAATCACCAATTTTCAATAAATTGTCTCTCTGATTGCAAATCTGTGGCTGCCGTCGTGAAGTTTTAGGAGGCGATTGTTTGGATGTGAATGTGTATGTGCGTTTGTGTAGATACACAAACGCACATACATCATTCACTTCCAAAAAATTGTCTCTCTGATTGCAAATCTGTGGCTGCCGTCGTGAAATTTTAGGAGGCAATTGTTTGGATGTTGATGTGTGCGTGCGTTTGTGTAGATACACAAACGCACACATATCATCAAATTCCAAAAAATTGTCTCTCTGATTGCAAATCTGAGGTTGCCGTCGTCAAATTTCAGAAGCAATTTTTTGGATGTTAATGTGTATGTGCGTTTGTGTATCTCAAAGACACAAATACACATACATCATTAACCTCTAAAATATTGTCTTTCTGGTAAGATTATGATGAGCAACAGAGTTCCATCTTGTAAGATTTCCTAACCCTTGTGATCTCAGAATAATCTGATTATGTCGGCGGTTTTCTATATAAACCGTCGTGGTTATTTCAATTCTTGTCGTTAGGTAGATCTACCGACGTAGGATAACAAAATCGAAGAAATAAATTGTTAAAAAAAATTCTTATTCAGACGACGGTTTAAATATAATTTATGACGTATAAAGTGGACAAATACGAAGTTAAATTCTATACTACGTCGTTATATGAAAACCCCAACTTGGTAAGATTTAAAGATGTCGTCGTAGAAATACGAGAAAGACGTCGTTATATTTATCTTTGCCGTAGTTGTACATTAATTTAATACGGCGGTATTTTGTATTTTACCGCCGTGGATTTATTTGTAATTATACGTCGCCTCATACGAAAACTTGGTCGTGTTAATTTCTGGGTAAAAACGACGGCTTTTTGTGAAACCGTCGTCTTTACTTTCTACGTCGGTCGGTTCATAACTTCCGTCGTTATTTGTTGGCTATGATTTTACCTCTTGAAAATCCTATTTCAATAAGACGTCGGTTTTTTAATTAAGTACGTCGTGTTTTTGGAACAGCCATTTGAAACTCCATTTTTTAGTTGTCTAATGTGTTATTACACGGCGGTTTTATAAAATCGTCGTCTTTTAAAAAACAACGACGGTTTTCACTTAGACCGTCGTGTTTTTCTGGTCGTCTTTTTCACTTTTTGTAGTAGTTGTATGGTATTGGAGTACGAAGATGTGGTAAAACTTGTATACATGTTATAATATGAGTGGACGACACAAACCAATTACATATACAAAAGTATCTCATCAAATTTACAAAATAAAAAGTTAGACACACATGTCAAATCCTGATTAGTTTATAAGATGAAATTACTCCTTATATATGAAATGAGCCAAAGATTTTCCTTAATCCGTTTGGATGGAGGAACATAACTATGGATTTAGCTAAAATTTGGGAATTGAAGAGGATAAATTGATATTAAATGACGCGTGGAAAAAATTGTGGAAATTGGGAGTCGAGATTTCTGATTTTAATTTCCACCAAAAAAATATGTCATTTCACAATTTCTATTGAGCAAGAATTTATTTTTCAATGTAGCTAGTTTATGTCATTTACAAAATATGACATACATAAATCAAAACACTGAAATTATTAATTGCCAAAAATTTAAATGATGGAGATCTAAATTCCGTCATTTTAGAATTCTAAGCAATTTTCAATTCATTCATCTAAATAAAGGGTAAAAGAATGCCTTAGTATATGTGTCAGTTTGGCATTGCTATGCTGTGAAAATAATCGCTGTCAAATTTGCTGTGGGAGAAATCAGCTGTGAGAGAAAGCAGTTTGGCGTTTTGTAAATTTTTGTTAAAAGTGTTGTTGATGTTGATTTCCGCATAATCAGAAAATGATTGCCGCATAATTATCAAACCCAACGCCTCTTCGAAACTAATTCCTGCATAATCAAAAAATGAAAGCACCTCATTAGCTGCTTTCCCTTATAGGTTTCTCTCATAACAATTTTTAACAATAAGTGATTTTCTCACAGTTTACTAAACGAGTTGGACTTCCCAAATTTTTAAAAAAATCACTTATCACCCCAAATAAGCAATGCCAAACTGGCAAGTACGAAGAGTACCCAATACAAACCCACTTAGTGGACACAAATATACGTGCTATTGTTGACCCTTTTTAGTAGAATTTATCTTGTCTATTTCTAGTGTGGTGATGATTAACAGGCGGCACTGGTTTTCAAGTATCTCGGATTGGTATTAGTTTCTAATGAGTTGGTTTGTAATGTTAATTTCTTTTGCTCATTGTTTCTGGGTTTCCATTGGTTTATTGACATATCTAGTATTTCCCAGAAGCCTCATCCAAATTTGTATTTAACCCCTGTTGCTTTATGAAGGGAAAATTAAGGGCCCGTTTGTATCCTACTTGAATCTAATTTTATAAACTGAAAAATAAATTTTAAGTCTAAAACTTAAAAAACCTGTTTGGTAGACGCATTTTTAAAGACCCCAAACCCAAAACAAACTCAAAAACACCCTATTATTGAAAACAAAAATAGTGAGGTTTTATATTCTCTCTCTCTCTCTCTCTCTCTCTCTCTCTCTCTCTCTCTCCAGTTGGTGGTTCTGGGTCCAAACTGTGTTTGCAGCTTCATCAAGGTCTCCTTTGTCCAACCCGACCTCAAAGTGATTAATCATTTTTCATGTTTTGGGTTTCTTAGATTTCTATTGAAATCTTATAGGTTTTTCTTTTTCTTTTGTTAATTTCAATTTGGGAATCTAGGGGTTGATTTTAATTTCAATTTTGTTTAGATCTTAAAAGTAGTTTAGAGTTCAATACCAAACAAGTTTTTAGATCTTAAAATCACTATTTAAAAACTCATCTTTTTAAAAAAGAATTATAGTTTTTGAGTTTATTGTTTTGAGTAGGATACCAAACAAGGCCTAAGGTTCTCCCAAAACAAAAAAAAAATGGATTAACTACACTTTAGTCCCTGGAGGTTTAGTGTCAGTATCGAAATAGGCCTCAAGATTTCATTTTCATCAATTTCGTACCCAACATTTCGAAATATTACCAATTGACACCAACCGTTACATTGATCGTCAAAGTCAACCGTTAAATGCTGACATGGCAGTCGTGGTACCCACCTCATAACCAAACAGCAGTTAGAAAGAGACGAGACGATGGGCAATTTCGGAAAAAAAAAACACACACTGGCTTCACACGCGTTCCAAGGCGTGCTTCGATTACCAGGCTTGGAAAAATCAAACAAACTCAGTTTCTGAGTTGTGTTCATGTATTGAGACAGACATAGAGGAGAGGGTTTGAGGGTTTAATGGTTTTTTCGTGTTTTGGAGTGCAGAAATTTGAAATAGACTGCAAAAATCATACTGAATCGGAGGTTTTCGAAATATCTGAAGAATATGAGTTGGGGACTTCGTCCGGAAGGATATGGGGAACCTTTCTATGGTACGTATGGCTTACTGTTCAAATAGAGTCAGTTTCGAGTTTGGTGTCGACTGAAAGTTTGGCTTTTATAATGGATTGTGAGTTTCGAGTTAGGTGTCGGTATCACTGTGTCTCTATTTAATTGGTGGATGGAATGGTGTGAATGGTAGGTGGTATGCGGAAGTAAACTTTGGCTTTTGTATGTGGTCCTACAACTACTGTGAATCTTACCTTTTGTTTATGTGTGTACTGACATATGTGTGTTTGTATTTGTCTGTTTGTATATTTGTATATGTATATGTATTTGTATGTGTATTTGTATGTGTGTATTTGTAAACAGGAGTACATGTATTATTTTTGGGTAAAATTGGCAAAATTCATGTGTGGCTTTCGACCTGCAGGGGATGAGGCAGGATTTTCTATTCAAATGTACCACAATGGTGAAATAAGAGGTAACTATTATGTGAATGGGTCTGTGGATTGGTTTGATTATTGTGATAAGGATAGGATGTCAATGACTGAGATAGATGCCATGGTGAAGGAGTTAGGGCACGAAGGTTTCATTAACTACTGGTACAATATTCCAGGTGATAGTTTTGATGGTGGCCTAGTTAAGCTGAGTGAGGATACAGATGTCTTAGACATGCTAGTATTTGTGCCAGACACTAGGGTGATAAATATATTCCTAGAACATGTCTTGGCATGTAGTCAAGAGTAGTTTTACAGTCAAGTGGGTTCAAACATATTTATAAATCTGGATGATGATTTTGGGACCAATACTGGGGTAGTTTTACAAGAGCTTGATGATAATTATGGTGCCATTGTTCCAGTGGGTGGGGGAGTTGGTAAGGTGCAAAAGGTGAAAGAAACAAGTGTTGTAATAGAAGAGTTGAATGAAGAAGGGTTCAATTGACAGGACCCGCCCCGAATTTCCCGGAACTCAAGACGAATCCTGTGGAATTCCCGACATCACCCCGATGTCGAGCCCACTTACTAAGCTGTAACCTCCTTTTTTCAAAAAGGGGTAAGGGCATGAGACTTTCTGCCGAAAATTCGGTAGAGTCTCCCTTGTAATTTGAGCTTTCCCCAAAGTTCCAACCTGCATAAAACACATTTAATATCCCAACCGGCAGCACGCACAATATAATTTCAAGCAATTCACATAAATGGCCTCCGGCCTTCTAATATTCCGAAACCAAACTACCAATAAAGTTCTTAAGCCAAAATTACCTTAAACAGGGCAAATATAAGTTCAAGCACACTTCAGAATGCCGAAAGCAAAGTTTACAACATCTAACTTTCCCAATCTCAACATATTAGGATTTAACCTCCGAACATGAACACCTCTCGTTCTCATTTGAATCTCAGGACCAATGACAAGGTCCGCACCACACTCAAAACACACAAAAGTAAAGTTTAACCCGCAGCTACACCTAATAACTTCAGGCTGCCTATGTACCCTTACAGAGGGATCAAGCCACACGTAGTTCTTTCTCTAAAACCCTTTTTCTCTAAATCACAACTCAACAATACTCACAAAATTTCCCCATACGCCGGAACATCCAAAGTCACGCATGGGGCCTGTCCTCATGCTAGATAATCCTACGACACGTGGGACCTCATCAACATACCACATAATCCCCTCATATGCCGATACTACGACCAACGCCACATATGGGGTCTGTGAACACGCCAATTACTCCTATGACACGTGCGACCTCAACACAATATCAATATCCCCCATATGCCGGTATGATGACCAACGCTGCACATGGGGTCTGTCAACACGCCGGCTACTCCTACGACACGTGCGACCTCAACACTATCAATATACCCCATATGCCGGCACGACGACCAACGCCGCATATGGGGTCTGTCAACACGCCGGTTACTCCTACGACACGTGCGAGCTCAACACAATATCAATATCCCCCATATACCGGTACGACGACCAACGCCGCATATGGGGTCTGTCAACACGCCGGCTACTCCTACGACATTTGCAACCTCAACACAATATCAATATCCCCTATATGCCGATACGACGACCAACGCCGCATGTGGGGTCTGTCAACACGCCGGCTACTCCTACAACAAGTGCGACCTCACAAGCACAGGGTGGTACTTACACAGTGTAATCAATATCCGGGGAGGTACATAGGGTAGTGCGTATAACACTCCAAACCGACATTCTAAACTCTTTTTTTATACCTTAATATATCCACATAAATATATATATATACCTTGATACTTTCTAATCTTACATAAACCTCAACCAATATAGCATCCAATAAACCCCCCATTAAAATCATCACTTAATATCCTAAACCCACAATATCCACATAACTTGGCTATCGATCAAGGCATGTCTCTACAGTCATTCTAACCCTCCTGGGAAGGTAGAACAATTTCAAAAGTCTCACAGTCAACCCAGGGTCAAACTACCCAACTTTGGTCAAACGGGCCCACGGGGTCCACAACCTCCAAATTCCGATCTGAAAGTCCCAAATCGGACGGTCGGATCGCTCACGATCGCACGATCGGACGGTTACTGAAACCCTAGCCCTAGGGTTGGCATCTCCGGAGTATTCGGGACTCCGTTTTACGATCCGTCAAATCCTACACGATCCTAAGGATGTCTAGATTAACATATTATAAACTCAGGACCATCCAACGGTCCAAACCTAGTGAACCCGGATAACGCGTAATATGTGATATCCGTTCGGGACTCTAACTGTATCCAAATTGGTATCCAAACTGGCAGCGTGTGGGTGTCCAAAGCGATTATGCTTCTTTCAAAAAATCTCAAATTCACGGCACAAGACTCCTACCCTAGGTAAAACACCCTATTTGGAGTCACTTTTGTTCTTGGTCATACCCTAAAAACAGACAGGAAGTGGCTGGAATCTCCCCACGAAATCCGGCAGAAATCCAATTCGTAAATAGAGTTGCCTACGCTACAAATTGATCAATTCCTACCCAATAGGCAGCTTGAGCTCAGAAAATAGGTGAGAAACCATACCTCACTCGTCGGGATCGGTGGCCGGAAGAGAGAGATCGAGCCGGCAAAGTTTCGAGCGAAAACCAGACTGAAACTCGCGTTTTCTGGCAGCTGGAGCGGCGGCTGATGTCAGGGAAGGGCCAGGCCTTGACGGCGGGGCTGAGCTGGTCCTTTTGGCACCGGTCCCGTTCGCTGCCATGGACGGTGGCCGGAGTTTCAAAGAGAGAGAAAGGGAGGGGTTGCCGTCGGGGAGAGAGAGAGATGTGCGAGGAGAGAGAGAGAGAGAGAGAGAGAGAGAGAGAGAGAGAGAGAGAGAGAGAAAGAAAGGAGGGCATTTCTGACTTTTATCAAAAGTCCCTTTTTCAAATAATTACGATTCTGCCACTGAGTTTCATTCGACCATAACTCTCTTGTTACAACTCCGATTTGAGCCCACTACGTGTCTACGGACTCATCTTAGTACGACCTACGTAATGGTCTAGCCGGAATTCCCAAATTCCTTCCGAATAAGAAATTACCAAAAGATCCCTATCCCAAGGGTAAATTCATAATTTCACTCAAATTAATTAAAACGGGAATAAATTTGGAGTCGGGGTGTTACATCAATCAAGAAGCAAGTGGAGAAGGCAAATAGTTGAATGAAGAAGGGCTGAATGAAGAAGGGCTGAATGAAGATGGGTTGATTGATGAAGCTTTTAAACAAGGCAAAGAAACTGCCACTGTGAATAATGAGGAGAATTCTGACAAGGGCCAAGAAAAGCCAAGTCAAGGTTGTTCTGATAAAGGCAAAGGCAAGGATAAAGAGATGTCACATAGGGTGAAGTGTGCATTTGGTAAAAAAAGATGTGGCAGTTTGAGGAGGACAAAGACTGTTCACCATAAAGACAAAGTTGTGGGAGGAAGGGTTGATGGCGTCAGGACCGAGTTTCAAAGTCATTTTATGAAGTTGAGAAGTGGAAGAAGAATGGCAAATGCTGTAGACTTTGAAGATGAAGATGATGATGCTTGTGATAGTGATAATGAAGACTCAGATTATATGATTCCCAAAAACTTCAGTGAAGATGAAGATGATGTTTTTTTTGATGAATGGGTGGATAACCAAACTGAATGGACAGGGATTAAAGAAACTGGGAATGAGGCTACTCCTGATTGGCCTACAGATGTTGAATTGGATTCTGAAGATTCTAAGGGCAGGGATTATGCCAAGTATAATTCTGATGAGGAAGTTGATAAGAATTGGCCAGAGTTCAATGCTGCAACTGACATGGCAGATTCAAAGTTTGAGATTGGGATGTTGTTTAGTGATTGTAAGGTGTTTAGGGCAGCTGTCAGAGAATACTCCATATTGTAGAATAGGGATGTAGTGTTTATTCGGAATGAGGCTTTGAAGCTGAAGGCAGTTTGTGGTGACCCAGATTGTGGGTGGATGATATATGCTTCAAAAATGCAACATGACAACACATTGCAAGTGAAGACATATGTAGGTGAGCACACATGTACACAGCTATGGGAGAACCCTACTGTGAAGTCAACATGGATAAGCAAGAAATATGGAGAGAGTTTGAAGTCCAATCCCCAGTGGCTAGTCAGGCCATTCAAGCAAGCTGTTGAGAAGGATTATAATACAGGGGTGTCAAGACAACAAGTGTATAGGGCAAAAGAGAAGGCACTAAAGCTGATTGAGGGCAGTTTCAATGAACAATATTCAAGAATTTGGGATTACTGTGAGGAATTAAGGAAGAGTAACCCAAGAACTACAGCAATGGTTAAGTGTGATTTCCAACAACAGTTGGGGCAACCAAAGTTTCAAAGGTTGTATGTTTGTTTAAGAGCTGCTAAGGAAGGGTTCAAAGCTGGGTGCAGGCCTATTATAGGTTTAGATGAGTGCTTTTTGAAGAGTGTTTATGCAGGGCAACTGTTAACTGCTATGGGTATAAATGCCAATAATGAAACCTGGGTAATTGCTTTTGCAGTTGTGGAATCAGAGTGCAAGGAATCTTGGATTTGGTTTCTGGAGCTATTGGTTAAGGACTGTCAGATTGTGAATCAATTTGGCTTCACCATTATATCCGACAAACAAAAAGGTTTACTACCTGCTTTTGAGCAAGTGGTCCCTATGTGTGACAACCGGTTCTGTGCAAGACACCTGTTTTCCAACTATAGGCTACTTTTCAAAGCAAAAGCCTCAGAGACAAGTTTTGGGAAGCATCATATGCAACCACTGTCCCCCACTTTACAAGGGCCATGGAAGACCTAAAAAAACTGTCAAAGGATGCATATGAATGGCTAACCAGTCCAGATAAACCTCCAAGGCATTGGTCCAGGTCACACTTCAACACTCATTTGAAGTGTGACATGTTGTTAAATAATCTTTGCGAATCTTTCAATGCTACCATATTTGAATGTAGGGATAGACCAATTCTGTCAATGTTTGAGTATATTAGATGTAAGTGTTTGTGCCTAATAAATCACAGCCATAAACTGACTGAAGGAACTTCCTCTCGGCCATGGCACCTGCTCATGAACTAAAAACGGCCACGCTTCGTTAGGCATTTTGCCCTCCTAAAGAACAAAAGGATACGAAGGCAGAATCCTCTCGGCCTCGCGACTGCGGTATTATGGGCTGAGGCCGTAAGAAACACGGCTGAAGATACTATGGTCAAAATCACCACGTCGCCTCAGGGCCCCCACGCCCCATTTAATGAAGTAATGCCTCTGACTCTCATAGTAAACCCATTAGTCACAAGAAACATTTAATGCACGAGGGAAGTGACTGAAGTCAGGATTTGGCAACAGGAATCAGAGTGGTTAGGCGCAAACATTCTCACAAGTATTCTTACAACTTGAGGTCAGATCACCAACCACTAGACCAGGGCATTAAATGCGTTCCCACGGCCAAAGACGCAGAACCCATGATTAGGGCGGTGGCCGAGATTTGCCGAGATTTATGGGGGTCACACCACCATGCTTCATGATCCCAAATGCCGATTTGACTACCCACTTGCCCCGATCAGACTCCACCATGTAGATCTTTTTGGCCACCATGCAGATCTTTTCAGCCTCAATTGGCCCTCCAGGACTCCCCCTACAAATACTAAGCTCAAGACTACATTCAAAAGGTCCAACACCAAACCAAAAGGTCCAACACCAATCCAATCCTTCCTTGGTAAGGTCAACTTTTTAAGACGGTTCATATCCAATTTGGCAGGGAAAATCCGGCCGTTGACTCCTCTTCTAAAACTGAAGGACGCGGAGCAGTTCATGTGGGGGGCAGAACATCAAGCGGCCCTCGACGACATCAAGAAATATTTATCTCAACCACCGGTCCTTGTGCCCCCAAAAAGAGGGAAACCCTTGAGGCTTTACATTTCGGCTTCAGAGGGCTCTATCGGTTGTCTGCTGGCTCAGAACAACGAGTCTGAATGAGAACAAGCGATGCACTATTTGAGCTGCACCCTTAACATGGCTGAGCTAAACTACTCACGAATCGAGAAATTATGCTTGGCATTTTATTTCGCGGCTACCAAGTTGCGCCATTATATGCTTCCTTCGGTCGTCCAGATCATCTCCAAGACCGACCTCATCAAATATATGCTCACTCGGCCGATCATACGCTGCCGAATCGGGAAGTGGACAATGGCATTGTCCGAATTCACCTTCCAATATGGGGCTCAGAAGTCGTTCAAAGGTCAGGCATTGGCCGATTTCTTGGCTCACCACCCGACTCAGGGGCAGGAAGAGGAGTTGGAGGTCGAGATCGGCATGGCCCGCACGGAGAAGAACTATTGGACCATGTACTTCGATGGCTCCAATACCGAGACTAGATCTGGGGCCGGGGTCGTGATCGAGCCCCCCAAGTACAAAGGTGGCAATTTGCGTCCTAACTTGATTTCAAATGCACCAATAATCAGGCCGAATATGAAGCACTCATCATCGGTCTTGAAATTCTAAAAGAGATGAAGGCAACCCGTGTCCTGGTCTACGGTGATTCAGTCTGGCGTCAAGATGAGATGGTTGGTCCGGAGGCACGGCTATTATTTTCCGACCATGTTAAAGAACTGCATAGAATATGCTAAAGGGTGTATCAGGTGTCAAATCTACGGCCCCATACAAAGGGTACCAACTGAAGCCCTCCACCCAGTTACTAAACCATGGCCGTTCAGAGGATGGGCTGTGGGTATCATCGGCAAAATCTACCCAGCCGCGTCCAACCAGAACGCCTGGATTTTAGTGGCAACTGACTATTTCACTAAATGGGTCGAGGCGGAGTCCTATCGGTCCATTTCTAGCACACAGGTGGTCAGGTATTTCGAAAATCACATCGTCCACAAATTCGGTATACCGAAACTATCACGGCCGATAACAGCCAAGTTTTCGCATCAGCCGAGACTCGGGAGTACGCTGAAAGGATGGGGATCAAATTGGTCCACCCGACACCCTACTACCCACAGTCTAACGGACAGGCCGAGGCAAGCAACAAGGTAATCAAGGGCATCCTCGAGAAAATGATTGAGGAAAAACCTAGGGCATGGCACGACTTACTCCCTGAAGCCCTTTGGGCTTACCAAGTTTCAAAACGATCGGCTACTGGGACATCCCCTTATGCCTTAACCTACGGCCATGACGCCATCGTTCTGATGGAGTTAAAGGTTCGGTCTCTCCGTGTGACCGAGCGACCTGGGCAAGAAGAGAGGGACTATGCACAAGCCATGGCTCAGGAGTTAGAAGATTTGGAGCAATCCAGACTTGACGCTTATAACCTAGTGCATGCACAAAAGCAGATCGCGGCGAAGGCCTACAGCAGGAAGGTGAAGCAAAAGACTTTCGCCGAAGGCGACTTGGTATGGCGTGCTGTGCTTCCTATCGGGACTAAGGACCCTCGTTTCGGCAAATTCTCACCCAATTGGGAGAGGCCGTTTATTATCGAATGAATTCTTGGCCGAGGCGCATTTCAGTTGAGAGATAGGGATGGAGAATGGCACAACTTGCCAATAAACGGCCAGTATTTGAAGAAATATACCCCGTAATTATGGGAGACGACTGAAGGTGGGTTATAAGGATTACAATCAAATGGAGTAAACAACACAACAAAGATAAGCATACATTCGGTCAGGAAAAAAAGGGGTTATGTTTTATTTAGATTAAAAGAAAAGAGTCGCATTTACAAAAAGAACGGCCGGTCCTGGCCAAATGAAAAAACATACATGTGCGAAAAATAAAGTACATTCTAAATCTATGAACGGCCACTTCTTGATCCCCTCGCTAAAGCAGGCAGATGATCCTTCCCTAGGCGGTGCTTCCACCGCCCACATCTTCACTATCCGCGACCAGAGGAAGGGGCGTCACTCGGGCCATGGGTGAAACCAGGTTGAAGTCAAGGCCGTCACTCACAACATGGCCGAGGTCATCAAGCTGGACATGCCCAGGGCTGTCATTCTGGGCACAAAGGTAGCTGGGTGAAGCCAGGGCCGTCACTCTGGACATGGGTGCGACCGAGGTGCTGAGCCAAACAAACGTGGCTAAGTTGGAATCATCATAACAGACCCTCCCATATTCATCAATCGCATTACAGTTTCTCCACGGCCTCATCAGCAGGAGGGTCATCCTCCCTCAAGGCTGGGAAGGAATCTCGGCCACACCATGGCCGTGGCCCACGTCGACTTTCCAAAACGAAGGATAGTTGATGAACAGTAGGAGATGAGAGGCCATCTGGATCAGGCCACGATCAGCGGATATGGATCAAATCCAGCTCTGGAGAGACTACAGGTAGGGCCATCAGAGCAGGCTAGAATGGAGGAGAAAAGGGTGAAAGAAGAACGAGGCCACTGAACAAGAGAAGCGTTTTTTCTTAACCAAGGAAAGAAGGCTGAGGGAACTAGAAAGGGCAGAGAGAGCTTTTGAGGAGCATGGACTTGAGGATTCTGGCAAAGTAGAGAAAAATGAAGAGGGCAAGGCTTTTTATATCGGCGCTAGAATTCAACGAATGGACGTAGCTCTCTCGAGAATGGACGTGGCCCTCTCGGGAATGGGCGCGGCTCTCTCAAAAATTGGCGGCACGTTCGAAAGCGCGATGACGTGTCGGGAGCCCAGAGACTGTCGCTTCAGTTGACGAAACGAAGCGACGCCTCGAGCGAATCAAGGCAATGATGGCTTAAGCGATGTACCTACGCATTTAAAGCGCCAACTGTCAATCACTTCAAGTGGAATGCAAAGGGTCCATCCCTTGGAATCCATTCGGCCTCTGCCCAGGCCGCGACCGAAGAATCCAAGGAGGTGAGGGCAATGTTTGTGCCTAATAAATCACGGCCATAAATTGACCGAAGGAACTTCCTCTCGGCCAAGGCACCTGCTCATGAACTAAAAACGGCCACGTTTCGTTAGACATTTTGCCCTCCTAAAGAACAAAAGGATACGAAGGCAGAATCCTCTCGGCCTCGCGACCGGTGTATTATGGGCCGAGGCCGAAGGCCGTAAGAAACATTGCCGAAAATAATATGGTTAAAATCATTACATCGCCTCAGGGCCCCATGCCCCATTTAATGAAGTAATGCCTCTGACTCTCACAGTAAACCCATTGGTCACAAGAAGCATTTAATGCACGAGGGAAGTAATTGAAGTCAGGATTTGGTAACAGGAATCAGAGTGGTTAGGCGCAAACATTCTCACAAGTATTCTTACAACTTGAGGTCAGATCACCAACCACTAGACCAGGGCATTAAATGCGTTCCCACGGCCAAGGGCGTAGAACCCACGATCAGGGCGGTGGCCGAGATTTGCCGAGATTTATGAGGGTCACACCACCATGCTTCACGATCCCAAATGCCGATTTGACTACTCTCTTGCCCCGATCAGACTCCACCATGCAGATCTTTTGGGCCACCATGCAGATCTTTTCAGCCTCGATTGGCCCCCCAGGACTCCCCCTATAAATACTAAGCTTAAGACTACATTCAAAAGGTCCAACACCAAACCAAAAGCCTCCCACGGAGCAAATTATCTTTTCCTATACTCCACTTTCAATACCTTTAATTGCTTTCCTATGAGTAGTGGTAGATTGTAAGGAAAATCCATTCATCAATATATAATACGACCCTTGATTTTTCGAGGTGCCGGAGCACCATCCCTGTTATCGTCTCATTCACCCCATATATCATACGACCGTCGCTCTCTTAGCAACGCGCCGGAGCACCGCCCAAAACCCACTATCAACACCACCACTAAACGACCTTGTAGCTCAGGCCGTGAACCTAGCGGCCGAGATAAGTTTCTATCTTGGCCACAATCGTTTGATTGGAAGTCCAACTCAAAACAGGAGCATCACTTAACCATATTCTACCCAAACCTCATCACCATCTCTATGCACGGTAGACCGTGCTGGCACGCCCGCGCACAACCGCACCGCATCCAAAAGAAGGACGTCACGTGTCAACGCACATCCCCTCGGCCCGGAGCACCAGGCCGTGAGATTTGCGCAGCCGATAGTAAGTTGATGAAGAGAATACAAGGAAGAAGGGACAAAATGCTGAAATGGAACAAGCCTATCTGCCCAAGGATATTTAAGAAGGTGGAGGGAAATAAAGCCAAGGCAGGTGCTTGTGTGGCAATGTGGTCAGGTGGAGGTAAATTCCAAGTGTCAGCTGGTGGCCATGCACAATATATTGTGGACTTGGAACTGAGAACTTGTTCTTGTAGAGCTTGGGATTTGTAGGGATGGCCTTGTGTTCATGCTATTGCAGCCATAAATTATAAAGGGGGTCTTAATGTCATGGATTTTGTGGATGACTGCTATTTGAAAACAACTTACTTGAAGACATATGAGAATCTCATACTGCCTATGAATGGGATGGATATGTGGGATATGAGTGACTTTCCTCCATGTCTTCCTCCTTCTTACTCTAAACAACTTGAAAGGCTACGAAAATGTAGAAACAAAGAACAGGAAGAGCATAAGGGCAAGATGAAGATGAGAGCATCAAGCAACCAATTTGAAACTGCATTGTCTCACATTCCCAACACACATGACTCTCTCAAATGTGGCCAATGTGGTAAAAAAGGGCACAATAAGAGGACTTGCCATATGAATCTTCCCCCAAAAGCCAAACCTGCAACTAAGAGGAAGATGAGTACTGAAAAATACCCAGGTATAGCAACTCAATCTTGTTCAATTCTATCCCTTAATAACCTTAAGCTTTTGTTGCAAACTGATGTAGTTTTTATGTTGTAGACCACTCCATCTGACACATCCACTCTAGGTGGTGGTCCGAGCACCCTAAAGCAAAGATCCAAGCCTCCAAGGCGTGTGCAAAAAGGGAAGCCAAAACCAAGTAAGAAAGGACATGCCACTTCTGAAGCACAACCAGCCTTCCCTTCATATCCTCATGCATCAACTTCTGTTTCAACTGCAGGATCAAATGTTGTGCATTGAATGATTTTGGTTTGATTTGTTAGACTGGCAGTTTGTGATTAGGAGGTTTTTGGTTTTGATAAATTGGTCCTGTATAACTTAAGTGTTGACTTTTTTTAATGGATGTAATGGCATTCACATAAGCCTCAACCATTGTGAATGCAAATACATCCACTGAAGATGATGTTTTGGAATGAATTTGAATGGACATGAAATATGTACGATATGCAATGTCATTATATGGCTATTTTGAGCCCATTTTGAATGCAGAATTTTCTGAGTTTTTGGGTTGCCACTTTGCTTCATTATTTTGGTCATTCAAGCAGGCAGTTCCAGGTGCATCCATTTTCTAAGCCATTTTATAACTTCCCTGCTACATTGTTTTTGCCATTCCATTTTCTACAAATTTTGCCATTCCATTCACTTCATCAACTTACAAAAAGTCAGCAATTAAGCCCTTAAGCCTTACCCCTGAAACCCTAAGACCCTAAAACCCTAAACCCTTACATAACAATTAAACCATTACAAAATGCTACTAATAACCCAACACTTACTAAATCACATAAAATACCCTAACCAACCCACAAACAATACATTCATTCAATGGCAGAAGCTAATTCCAAGCTCCTCTTTTTGTTCACTCCACATCCACACATCCCTCCCAAAATGATGCTTGCAAATAGAACCCACGAAGCCACCAACAACACCCAAACGACCTTTTCTCTTTGTCTTGCCTTTGCCACTGACTTCTCCAGCTTATTCTGTGATTTTAGAAGCCCAGGAATCACTGCCTTTGACCGTTCACACATGGCCGGATCAAACCATGCCTAGAATTGACAACCCTGAAAACCCTTCTTAGTTTCACGTACCTTTGCTGCACACATGGAAAATCGCCTCCTAGGATTCGAATATGTCCTAGAGGTTCAAATTGTAGCAGCCTTTCCGCACCAACACATCGACGCCTCTTCATTCATTTCACCCAGCCAATTGGATCCTCTTTGTCAGTTTCCCTTCACTTTTTTCCTCGCTCCTTTGTTCTTGAAAACACGAATCCAATCCATCTAAGTTTGTTCGATTTTTCAAAACTTGGTAATCGAAGCACGCTTTGGAACGCGTGTTGACCGTTTGTTTGTTTTTTTTCGGAAATTGCCCATCGTCTCATCTCTTTCTAACTGCTGTTTGGTTATGAGGTGGGTCCCACGACTGCCACGTCAGCATTTAACGGCTGACTTTGACGGTCAATGTAACGACTGGTATCAATTGGTAATATTTCGAAATGTTGGGTACGAAATTGATAAAAATAAAACCTTGGGGCCCATTTCGATACTGACACTAAACCTCTGGGGACTAAAGTGTAGTTAATCCAAAAAAATTATATTGGTTGAGACTTACTTTTTCTTGTTGAACACATGTATCGCGAGTCAACCTACTTTCTTTTTTCCTTTTTTTTCCTTCTTCTTTCTCTTTTCTATTTTTATTTAACTTTTTTAAACATTTTTTATGTCCCCCTTTTTCTTTTGTACATTTACACGTTATACAAACTGATATAAACTATTTGAGACCAAAAACAAACAAACAAATTGATATAAACAATTCATGCGCTCCACAGCTACATGATAATAGAATGGAAGCTTTTCAGTTCTTAAGTTTACCTTATCTTCAACTTTATATTACATATTGTACTAATCTTTTTAAAAGCAAGACTTATCTCTTTTTTCTGAGCTGTAAAATAAGACAATTTTGTTTGTGCAATCTTTTGACAATACTTTTTTTTTTTACTTTTTTTTTTTTTTTAAGGATATTTTTTATTGAGAAGAGCGATAGTATACTAAACTCACACACACTGCACGGATGCTAGGACTCGAACCTAAGATCTTTTCTTGGGATGCTAAGACACGATACATCCTTATCTTGAGCTTGTTCATCAATTTTGTACATAATTGAGTTAGTCTCTTGGTATGTAACCTTTTTACTGTTTTTCTTTATAAAATTTAATTTGCCTCCCCGAGTGTAGACGTCAATTTACTCTTCAATATGAAGTTTAACTAATTTAATATGATTTCCTCGACTTCAAATAATTAAATATAATTGGGTGACGTACGTGGAGTTGTTGGGCTATGATATCATGATGCAAGTTGAGTTTCCATCCCAAAATCAATTGGGAATGGAGGGAGTGACCAAAATCCTGATAAGCCATTTGTAACTTTTCAATGTAGGACATTTCTTACCGTTCTCATACATATGCACATATACATATATACTATAGTAATGTGAAGAATTAAAACTTGCTACTCTAGCTAGCAGCTTTCTCAATACACTACTACAAAAATTGAAATAGACGACGGGAAACCACCGTCGTGAAATCGACCCGCCATCTTTTGTACAATCAACAACGACGGTTAATAACCAACGTTGTTAAGGAATTCAACATCCATATTTATTACTAACCGACGTGTAATTACTATATAATTAACCTAAAATGAAATCTCCGACAACATTAGACGACGGTTTTATTAAAAAGGAGACATCTAAAGGCTGTTACATGTCATGATCCAAAGAAGAACCGACGTACAGATAATTATCCACGTCTCTAAATGAAGGGAAAAAGACTTGGATAAGCTGGAAACCGTCGCGGTTAATATTTACTAACGTAAAAAAAAAAAAAAAAAAAAACAACCATAAACAACGACGTACACACAAACCAACAAAAATGTTTAAACAGTATTACATGTCATTTGTCTTTCAATGGCCGCCGTAAAATAAAATAACTACGTCCTGCACTAGGCATCACCGATGCTTATGTATTTATCCACGTCGCGAACTATAATACAAACCGTCGTGTTAACTCGTTGACACGTCTGTTTTTTTCAAGATTCGTTGTTTAAATAGAATAAAGAAGGCCCTTTAACAGAGGTAGACATCACTTTTTCTAAATAAATGACGTCTAAAATATTTAAAATGACAGAATATTACTCAATATCGACGTACAAAACTCTCCCCCACGTCGGTTTATGTCAAGGGCTAACGTTATAAATAGTATTTAAGGCGTGGATAGAAACATAACCAATGTGGATTATAGATTCAACGTCTGTTGCTATAAAATAAAGGACGTGGTTAATTACTTCACTACGTCTACAGATCCACCTGCTTGACGTTGTAATTGCTTACCATGTCGGTTCTTATTACATAATGACGTGGTTGTCCTTTTAAAACTCACTTGTTTGACCTGCCGTGATGTATGTATGCGCGGAGACGTCAGTCGTTATAGACTAGCAAACGTGCAGAACATCTGTCACGACAGTTAATGGAACTGAAAGGCCTTTATTTTGTGGTTTAGACGATGGTTTATTTTAAGCAAATTGTCTTAATTTATTTTTTTGTTTTACGATCTGTTGCCTTTTGAAACCCGACGTTGTTTTTATCTTAGACGTCTGTGTTTCCAATTTTTATCCCTGATCGTCGTACTTTACAGCTTTAACCCAGCCTTTTTAATTTTTGATTTGTCTTGCCCAAAGCCTGCATAATGAAAATGTGATAAGAATTAAAATATTGTACATAATTATTAATTAATGTCATACAATTAACTGAATAACTAAGGTCATACATTACAACAATCAATCCATCCATATATCTTCACACCCATCTCTAATATTTTCATTCCCAAAGTCACCCACTAGGTCATCAAATGTGTCAACATTTAGTATCCCTCTAATAAATGGCTCACACTCAATTCTAGTATCACCTAGCACATCATCACCAATAACATTATTATATTCTCTATTAGGCATTGATAACACTACCGACCAACCATGATGCATTGGGTCGTTAATATAAAATACTTATTTGACTTGAGAAGCCATAACAAATTGGGCATTCCTATGTCCAATTTTACTCAGATCTACAAGGGTAAATCCAAGTTCGTCGACTACAAGGCCCGAAGTGTTATCTATCCAATCACACCTCAAGATTGAGATTCTAAACTTTTGGTAGCCAAGGTCCCAAATTTCTTGAATAAGACCATAAAAACCCATATTGGAGACAATAAGGTTTTTATCCTTGGCACTAGCAACTTGCATAGTATGTGCAAGTAAATAAACTCCACTATTTTGGATAGTTCGCACATCATCTTGTGCCTTGGTGTTAAATTTAATACCATTAATAAGATAGCTCCTATATGATGGCACTGCCATGCTTGGACCAGCTGCTAGCCACCTCAAATTTTTTGATACGTCATTATTCTCTTCCCCATTAAGTTCACTTTGAACCTGCAAATTAATCATATATACCTTAATTCAATCTAACATATAGAATGGAAGAAAATTAAAAGTTGATGCATGTCATTCAATAACATATATATACCTTAAAGTGGAGCCATTGAATGAAAGTGCTATTGTGCTTATCTTGCAACCACTTTGTTCTCTTTCTAAATTTTGGATATGTGGTCTTGATGTGGATCATATGTTCCCTACATTGACACCAAAAAATCAAGCATTATGATTCCTTGTATATAAGATAAACATAAGGAATAAAATGGCTCCATATGAAAAATAAAAGTCATACGTACTCGATATAAGGCAAGACTTCCTCCGTATTCTCCAAGACATATAAATGTGCCTGGTTTAACAAGTCTCGATCAACTAAGCTTACTGTGCAACCTGATAATGGCTTCGAAACTCCCATCTTCTGGCTTGAAGGCACTCCAACTGTATTAACTTCAGATAAATGCTCGGTGCAAAACTCTACAGCTTCTTTAGCTATATACCGTTCAGCAATGCAACCTTCCGAACGAGTACGGTTCTAAACATACCCTTTTAGCACTTTCATATACCTTTCAAACGGATACATCCATCTAAAATATACTGGGCCACATAGACGAACTTCTATGACAAGATGTACTACTAGATGAACCATGATATCAAAGAATGAAAGGGGAAAGTACTTCTCAAGCAAACACAAAGTAATTACTACATCTTCTTCAAATTATATAATTTCACCAAAGCCAACAACATCGTGTACTTACTACTACCAGGGTACAAGGGTCGATCTCCATCCCCAATCACATTGGCAAACTCATAAGGATCAAATCCAATATCGCCTAAATCATTATCATCCATCCCTACTTCTTCAGAAACAAAACTGAACCCACATTGCTCATCCTCTTCCACATTTCTACTAGCATTAGTAGTCCATTCCAAAGGTTCTCCGTGCCATGTCCAAATCTTATAGCTTTGGTCAATTCCATTAAAGTAGAAGTGGTCCCTTATAATTCCAACTCCAAACAATCGAATATTCCCACATTTAACACATGGACAAGGAATATGAGTTGTATTTAAAAGATTTTCTACAGCAAAATTCAAAAATCCTTCCACACCTAACTCATATGCCTTCGATCTTCTATCCGCATGCATCCATGACTTATCCATCTCACACACTATAAAATCATACATATAATAAAGTGAAAAGACCAGCAATGAAACACTACAATATTGACAGAGGAGAACAAAGTGGGAAAAATGAAAAAAAAATAGCACAATAATCAGACGACGGTTTGTACAAAATAATCGTCGCGTAACATATATTAGGATGATGGTATGTCTATTTACCGTCGTCTTTAAGCAAACAACAAGATATCTGTATTCTTTTTGAAGAACAGGGCTGGGTTATGGTAGACTAACAACGACGACGGTAGTAAATAAAAAGCCGACGTATAATAAAAATTTAGACGACGGTTGGTGAAACCAACCGTTGTTGTGGTCTACAAAAAACCAAAGCCTAATTCTTCCATCCCCATTCCATTTCAAAGAACCCTTAACAGAATGTAAACATCAAAACATAAAAGAACCCATATATAGCTCCCAAAACATAAAAGAACCCATATTAAGAAACTAAAGCTGAGAGAATATACAAACTAACAAAATATTTAGAGAGATCTAAGAGAATATTGAGAGAGTCCTGAGAGAATATATACAAACTAATAATAAGAGAATATTGAGAGAGAGTTGAGAGAATATACTTACATGGATATTAAGAGAGAGCTGAGAGAAAATATCAAATGTTTGAGAGAGCTCTGAGAATATACCCAATGCTTTGAAAGAGAGCTCAGAGAAAATACCCAATCTTTGAGAGAGAGCAAAAACTTTAAGACAAATTTATGTGAAGAGAGAGAAGGAAATACTTTAGGGTTAAATGGAAATTTGGAAAATACGTAATAGCCACACTCTACATTTGTTGGTTGTCTAGGAGTGCCTTGTAGATTTTTCCATATGGGTGATTTACGTGATGATTGTTTCCCTGTGTGAGAGTTATACATTTTGATTGAACTATATCAAGAAAACAAAAGTGTTAATGACAAAACTAAAAATCAGCATCAAAATTAACCATCGTGGTAAATAATTGAAGACGACGGTTTTGTAAAACAAATGAAGTTGTATTTTATATACAACGTTGGAAAATAAGAACCGTCGTTGTGTTTCATTCTAACGTCGGTGACGAAGAAAAACGACGTATAACCAAAGTTAATTTTAAATGAAAGTTTAATAGAAAAATTTAAAAGTCCTAAAATTAAAAACAAAATCGACGTGGTATTTCAATTACGACGCCAGTTTCAAGAAAATACTAACGTTGTAAATGATTCAAAACATCGGTTATAATATACCGTCGTGTGTTTTCACTACAACGTTGGTATTGGAAAAAGCTGTCGTATCAATCAAATGTAGATATAAAAAATCATAGGTTTTCATTAAGAAACCTACGTATTCACTATATTTCTCATGTCCTCGTCAACAGAGCGGTTTGGTAATGAATTCATGTAATAGACAGTCACCTTAGCTAGTCTCACAATTTTTAACACCCAATGACCCCTACACAAAATTATCCATAAATATTAAATATACTACAAAGAAATATATTACAAGGAACCAATTAAGTGTAGAAGGGGACTAACCCTGGATTATAAGGCACCAAGTAAAATTGATCCCCATCTGCCTTTTTCAGGCTTTCTGAGAGATGTTTTGAGCAGTGAGATAACGTTCCAGATTGAGAGCTGACTTGTCCAGGGTCCACGAGGCCAACAAGTTTTACCATATTTGCCATTTTTAAATAGTCAAATAGGTACCTAATTAAATATATGAAATTCAATTAAATGAAATTTTAATTTAAAAGAAAGAAAATGTAAAAAAAAACAAAATTGGATTTCTAGAATTACCTCATGTATACTGCAATCACTGTGGCTCTAATCGCAACCATGGAAGCAAATTGTAAAATGTCTTCACTCAAGAGCCTGGTATCATGATCAGTGCCAAACATTTCCTCAGGCATGTGAACTGTAATGGTCTCGTTAGCAGGCTTTAACTTGGTCTCGACATATTGGCATAGGGCTAACAGAGGAGCTGGCATGTCAAGCTTTGACAGATCCTGTAACAAGAAATAAATAAAGAAATAAAAGTTAGTGTGTTCATGAAGTAAAATAAACGACTCCAACAAATCAACAAAATCGACGTGGTATATAATATCAACGACGGTTTCTAAAACATACTGACGGGGTAAAGGTTATAGACGACGATAAATACATAACAGTCGTTGTGTAAAAGTTATAATGTCGCTACACAATAGAAAGGTCATCTAGGTTAAACTAGATGACGGGTTTTAAAATAAATACCAACGTCTATTTAAAATTTAAAATTCAGAAAAAGAAAATGTCAGAGATTTTACAGTTTGATCTTGACGGTTTTCAGCAGCATCAGCATTAGCATCATTCATGGGATTGTCTTCATCCAATTCAGGGGCTCTCACATTAGAGCAGCTTGCTTTGTCAGACATTGGATTTTTTGGGCTTTGCTCTTGAGGAATTGGAGGAATTGGAGTAATTGGTGTAGTTGGTGTAGTTGGAATTTTACTGAGCATGTTGGGATCAAAGTTGGGAATTAGTTGACTGAATTGTTTCAACATAATTTCCCTCTCTACTCTGACTGCCTCCATAACACTTTCCTTTGCCCTAGCCTCCATCTTTTTGGTTTCCTCTCTCACTGCTGCCATAACACTTTCCTTCAATTTGTCATCAAATTTTACTCTCTGCTGTCTCGGCAAATTGAAGAATTGAGTTGGGGAAACCCCAGCTCCAACACCTCTGACCCTCCCACCATGCTCAGGTGTTCCCAAAGCCATGGTCAAAACATCGTTGCTCCCAGAGACAGTCAGAGTGCCCTCGGAGACTTGTTTTTTCAAATCATCCTAAAAGTGAGAGAGAGAATGTCAGTGAGTGAATAGATAGTAAAACTGAACAAATAAATAAATTAATAAAACTGAACAAATCATCATAAATGAAATCCAACATTTTCAATTGTCTCCCACAACGTGTTGTTATACCTTTACAAGGACAACGAATTCTAGTTGTACCTGGGTTGTGTGTACGTGCAAACTCAATAAAATCCTCGATTTCGTCCAAGTATTCGTCTGCGCATCTATTCGGGTTCTGTATCCACCTTCTGTTCATAATTCCTAGAACCACAATCACAACACAACAATCACAACAACTTCATACGAAGTCATAATGTTACCTTATGCCTCCGATAAGGGCCCTATCCCACTTGGGAATGCATAGTCATGTCACGTAATTTACGGCTACATGAAATTAGATTTCAACGTGGATGAATTTCAGCAGCATCTTGATATAGTTCTTGAGGTGTACTGTGGGTATAAATACCTACGTACCACCCGAAGAATGTACAGAGATAACAGCGAAATCTCCACAATCGAAACTTAATCTTGTAGCCGTACATTACGTGACATGACTATGCATTCCCAAACTGTCCAAATAATGGGACAATTCAAGAATTAATTGGACCCTCATGCTCATGCTTTATGCATCCAATCCAACTAAATCCAACTAATCACGAAACTAGGACTAACTAAAAAAAAAAAAAAAAAAAAAAAAAAAAAAAAAAAAAAAAAGAAGTTAATTTCAATTAACTTTGTACATCACAACACATTGTGCTACGTCAAGCACAATTTAACAACATAATATAAATATAATTTCACAAAAAAATAATAAACATAACAAACTAAGTTTAACATAATGTAATTAATTTAATATTTTTTAAATATAAAACGAATAAAATACATTGTCAATCGTTCCCCACCAATCGCTAATTACAAATATCCCTAACGAGAATGAAATTAATAGTGTTAGTATGAATTTACATTAACACTTTTAAATTAACGACAAAAAATATTTACCCAATGAATGTATTGAATTCCCAACAGAGGCAGAGGCAAAGAGAGGCAGAGTTTTTTTTTGGCGTTCTGCCTCTATAATGGCAGAATCCAGATATGAAGAAGAAGGCTTTTGTGCGATGAATCTATTTTTTCATTGCGCAAATTACCGTCGCACAAAAACACTTTTACGTCGCAAAAGTGGTCCATTTCGTCGCACAAAATAACTTTTTCGTCGCGCAAGTACGTGTCGACATCCCACTTTTGTGCGACGAAGAATTGGATTCGTTGCACAAAATTTCATCGCGCATGAACGTGCCGACATCAAACTTTACGCGACAAATTATATTTCTATCGTGCAAGTATTTGGCGCCAAAAAAAATATTACACGTTTTTCTTACGCGACAATAAAGCTTGTTGTCACACAACTGTTTGCCGCCAAATAACAAAACCCTTTGTTTTCTATCTACCTTTACGCGACGAAAAAGGCAACCGTCGCGCTAGGTTTTCTTTTGCGACGATATTTGTCGTCACGCAAGTGTTTGGCGCCAAAAAAAATAAAGCCGTCTTTTTCTTCCTCACTTTGCGCCACGACTATGTTTTTTGTGAGCAACGAAACTTTTGGTCGCGCAAGTTTTTGGTGGTTTGCGAGACGAATTTTTTTTTCCGTCGCTGAACTGTATTTTGCGCGATGAATTTTCTGTCGTCGCGTAAAAAGTAAAATGTAGTAGTGATACACGGCTCTGGCCACCTAGTTCTCACCATAAATACATCTCCATATCCTATTTTTAGCTATTGTTTCTCCTAGATTCAATCGACCTAACTTAGGCATCGGAGGGTCTATGGCCAACACTCCCTTTTGTGGTCAATTTAGGCCTGGTGTGGTCAATTACTCTGGTTTTTTTTTACAGGAATCGAGGAAGAGAAAGAAGGAAGATTAGAGAATCTAATTTGGATCTAAACATATGAAGTGTATGAAATGCTAGATGCAGATTTTGAAGAACAGAAGCAGATTTCAAAAGCAATACGGAAATCTAAATTCGAAAACCATGGCCTCACCAAGTCGAAAATGCATAGTAAAATTTTTTTTATCAAAAAATTCTTAATGGGTGAAGTCCGTTTCAAAAATAGAAACAGATTTCAAAAGCTATTTGTAAACCTCATTTTAAAAACCATGAACGCTCTCACAGAGAAAATGGAAGAGCTAAAAGATGCCTCTCATCAACAGTCCAGAAGTGAAAGTGTTGGATGATCTCTACCATTAGCCACCCTTTTGATAAATTAGGGCATCACAAAATAAAGACACCTGTGAGCCAATGATAAGAGCTAGAATTGGACAAAAATGGTTAAGATAGAAAAACTACAGCTGGCAACAGAGGCAAGCTCACGTGAAAAATAAATGATGTGGAAGTGACGCGTGACAAACAATGATGACTAGTCATGCAAAAGAGAACACTACAATACATGCAATGCAATCAAATATGAATTACCTTCAATGAGCTTTGAGAGCATGAATCCATCATGAAGTTGATCTCAGCCATACTAGATTATCTTAGCGCTATCCTAGATTAGTCTAGCCTCTTGAGCTTGATTAAGTGCATAAAAAATTAAAATCAAATTTACATGTTTGCCCAGGAAAACTAAAAATTTAGTTAAGCAAAACCTAACAACCCACGACCACATCCCAGACCACACGCAATGAAGCGACTTCATGCTACAACTTAGGAACACATACACAGCATAAAAGCGACGCGGTAAGGCCAGGTCATGGTTTTGCTAAATGACGAAAATTAACCTGTGTAAAGAGCACAAGTTTTATATTATTTTCTTTACCAAATAAACAAGTGATATAGTAGTATATTTTTTTTAAAACACACAAAGATAAAGTAAATCAATCTTAAATAAATATAAGATTAAAATAAACTGTGTTAGCATATATAGTTGTTTTCTTATGCGAACGTCCGGGCGCCATTGTAAACGTGGAGGAAAGTTGGGAGGGATAATAAAAATACATGTCAAAAAGAAAATGAAGGAAAGAAAATAAACGGTCCACGAGTAAGCTAAATATGAATGAGCATGCAAAGACTTCAAAGTAAGTCTTTTGTAGACTCTAAAATTTGGAAAAGCAAAAAAGAAGAAATCAACGTCCGGACATGTGTGGTCCAACATGACTTTTCATACGAAGACTTGATAGTCTTTGGAGTCACATACCTTGCCTTGTGCGTTACTTGAAGCCGTACTGGAAGGAAATTGATGGACATAGACAGAAGCAGCAACCACCAGCGCATTGCTTCCCCAGAGTTCTCTTGGCTTTTGTATGAAAAGTATACAAGAGAATAGTACTTCCCTTCCAATTAATTTTGTCAAATTAAGTCCACAAAATGTGATCAACTAGGTTTCAAGTGTTCCTCTCCTTTACGCGTCTTCAGTTCAACGATGTAAACAGAAATTCTTATTTCTCCCTCTCTTCCCCCACCACCCCAATCTATCCTCAAGGGTCTATAAGTTCACTCAACAATCTTGTCTTCACCTTAATTGTGTTGTTAAGAAAAACATGGCATCATCCTCCAAGACTTTTCTTCTTCTTGGCTTTATGTTTGCTCTTGTGATCCTCATCTCCTCTGAGGTCTCAGCTCGTGAGCTAGTGGAAATTACGAAGCTAGCAACCACTATTGGTGAGTTTCTAATTTGTTTTTTTATAACTCAGATGTATGTTTATATTTTTTATTCCACCGATCTGTGAAAATATATCTATGTGTGGGTATATGTGGATGTTCATATTTATGACCTCTACTCATGTTACTCAACTCATATTATTTTCTTCGTGGGTGTTGTATTATCCTTACAAATAATACAAACTAAAAAATTTTGGCAAACATTAAAATCACCTTAAAGATAAACTATGTCACATAACCCTATACTTGTCACCTGATATAATTTTTTTTTATATAAAGGACGACTTATATATATAGATTAATCTTATTTCAGGGGGTAGAGTCTTAAAACCCGGGCCAGCCATCAGTTGCGGTCGTAATTCGTATTCTAAATGCCTACCTAAACCGAGAGGGCATGGCCCCCCAGCCCCCGGTCCCGGGAGAGTATAGGCACAGCCAAGGGCACCATGAAAAACCAGGACTTGGTGTTGCTGAGACTGAAACTGGGAATTAAATAAATAAACCCTTTTTCAGTGGATATTGCAGGTACTATGTGGTAATAATTAAGAGTTTGTTTTGTCAATAAAGGTTAATGTAATGTATTGGTTGAGTTGTTAATAAAACTCTCAATCATAAATAATTAGGATTATAAGGTTTATCTTTGTACTAGTACTCATTTCATACTGTGTCTAAGACATGTGGCTTTCTATCTTTATATATATATATTTGAAATCTATCCTAGCAATTTCTTTTTCCATAATTTGTGTATCAATGAAAATCTCCATTAAGAGTAACTATATGTTGATGGAAGTTTTAAAATTAATTCAAGCAAGCCTTTCATATCATAATGTATTAAAAATAAGTAATTTCGACTCATTTTCTTTACAATATGGATCTTTGAGAAACCGAATAAAATCTTGGAATTCATCTCAGCCAAATGGACCTGCTTGACAAAAAAAAGGACCCGCTCGACTTTCTTTGGCTCTACTTGAACACTGGACTTGTGCAAAACGAATATCAACAAAGTCCTAATCCAATTTAATAGCCTAAGATGCCTGATGCCATCGCTCATCTCTTTTTCATTGCTTCACTCTAAGTCTTAATCTCTTCCTCTAATTTTGGTAACCATTTTGTTTTCAATGTTGAGTTTTTGTTTTGAAAACTTGTGGGAGCAAACATTTTAGTCTCCAATCAAGAGACGCTATGTGGACAAGATGTTAGTATGAAAATTATATTGGCATTTTCTAAACTCTAGCATAAGTCGGGAATTAGTGTGTGAATACGTTTTACTGGAAGTTTTGGCACAACACATTCAATTCCGGATTTTCAAAGTATGGCTGGATCGATATGAGAAACTTGATTTTCAGGTAAATCATGACATAATCATTCATTCATTATAGGATTCCTAGCTGGAGTTATTTTCACTCAAATGTTTATATTAGTTCTCTTTTCAATAGGATTAGATTTTATCTCTTGAGATTATTTTCCTATTTAGACCTTATTTTGATTTAAAGATAAAATATACTTTTTCATCTTTAACTTATTGAAGAGCACGTCCTATTTGGTTTCAATGTTTTCATCTTGGTTTATATTGTTTCCTTATATAAATTGATGGGATTGGAAGTTATTGAAAAGCATGCATAAGCTGGCATGATTGTTTAAAAGAATCAAATCTCTTTAGGCAATATTTGATCTCTTGGCTTTAAGCAATTCCCTTGGTAAAAGGAGAATATGTCTATATAAAGACATGGCGTGACTTCTTGATTTTTTACATAGCTTTCATATGTTTTGATTGATCATCTAAATTTCTCAAGAAAAGCTGTTGTGCATATAGTTGAGATAAGTTATCAAGTGTTCCATGTTTACTTGGTGATTTATCAAATACTTTCATCATTCATATTGCATTCATGTACATGTTCTGTGACTCATACGATTGAGGGCACCAAAACTGTTTTGGCGGTTTGTCTCCGGTGAATTTGAAGCAATTGTGACCAATATTGTGTTCAACATAAGGAGTGTCGAAAGATCATTCTGCAACATAAGTTGGGTTACGAAGAAGTCGGTAAACATTATTTAGATTGCGTCTAGGATAAGTGTGTGAGTACTTCTTGTAATCATCATTATATAGTAGATTTATTTTGAACTGAGGAGTCCCGTAGATTTTCCCCAGAGATGGGGTTTTCCCATGTAAAATAATTCTTGTGTGTTCTTTTACTTTATGCTCTGCACGTTTCAGGACTGATAAGCCATATCAATCCTGCACCGAAGTTTATTTTTATTTATTGATTATAATCTTAAATTAGCCTATTCACCCCCCCTCTAGTAATTTTTAGTCATCCTGTAGGTAATTTCACAAGAAGAATATCTCCTAGGTTAAATTAATTAAGTTATTTATTTGGCAAGATATTTGACACCAAAAATAGGGATATTATCTTTATTTGAAAAGATAATATTAGTAATTAAGATGTTATCCTTATTTGGAGATATTATCATCAAATTAGGAGATTTGATCCCAATCAAATCCATAATGGACTCAATCTCTACAATTTGGGGAAAGAATAAACTTTGGAGATATTATCATCAAATTAGGAGATTTGATCCCAATCAAATCCATAATGGACTCAATCTCTACAATTTGGGGAAAGAATAAACTCTTTTCTAATAAGAGTTTCTTTGCAAAACCCTATCACGCAAGGAGCTTATAAATACACGGCTATACCAAACATTCAAGGTAATTCTAAAACATGAGAAAATACCCAAAACTCTCCATCTCTCTCTCTCCCTAGCCAACTGCGCCACCACCGCCGCTAGCCACACCACTCTTGTAACACTCTCGACCCAATTTAATCGTTTTATTCAATTTATCTATTTGTGAAATTACAATTTTGCCCTTGGGTGGTAAGGACACTTTAGTCACTTTTTGTTCTGAAAGGATTTTGATGAGTGGCACCATTGTGTAGAGCTCGTCGATACAAGTTCATAGACAGGCGGCACGCTTAATTCCTAATTGTAACAATCGCGTAAAGGTCTAGAAACAGAAAGGCCAAAAAGAGAATTTTGAAATTTGTTACCGTTGCTACAATAACTAGGCCAATTCTCTTTCTCTTCTCTTCCTCCCCCCCCCCCCCCCCCCCCCCCCCCCCCCCCCCCCCCCCCCCCCCCTCCCAGGACTTATTCTTCTTCTTCTTCTGTCATTTGCAACAGTGATTGTTCGACTTCTAGGCCACCAAATGACGTCGTCGTACACCGGTTGGCCGTGCCAGCTTCACGAAAAATGTTCCTCTCGTCCACCTCTACAAAACCCACCCAAAACCCATTTTGATTTGTTGATGGTGAGCATGATTCGAAGCTGAGAAAAAGGGTTAGGTTTTTCTGTGTTCTTGCATTTTACAGCGATTCTGACAACCAAATCCAGTGAGGTATGAAAATTCATCCCCTCATCATGCTCTACCTATTTATGTACTTAGTTTGGGTTAATTTTGTAGTTTTGGAGAATGATTTACCTACCTATATTGGGCCTACAATTTTGGCCCTTTTTCACCCATTTCCGACCATTTTTTGGTCGTGGTCCAAGAACCAAAAATGCTCCCTTAGGTGTAGTGAACGTATTTGTAAAGGTATTGTAGGGTGTTTCAAGACATGGCGTTGGATTTTCTGGCGTGTGTGTTGTAGAGTGGTAGTCCCTTGATTGGACAGCTCATTCCTAGACGCATGGTAGAAAGTTGAAACCCTACTGTTCACCCGTTTTGTGTTTATTCCTGAGATGGAAGGGCAAAGTTCCCCATTGGCTTGAAAACCGTTGAGTGGTCAGCAAGTCAACTTTCTTTGGTGTGCGAGCATGCCACTGTTAGCAAATAATCCTAGTAGACTTCTTAAAAATGGATAACTTGCGCCCCAAGTTACTGATTTCTAAACAAGTGATTGTGAATTTGGGTGAGGAATATCTCACAAGTAAGTTCTTTTCTTGCCTCAAACTGGTGATGACGTCATAATTTATCTCAGTATAAAATTGGTAATTCTGGCCAAAGTAATGGATGATAAAGTGAATCGTTTTAGACAGAACTGCCTTTTACAAAGCTATAAAGGAAGAAATCAACTCTAAAAAAACAAAAAAGAAAGTTGGAACTCCATTTCTGTCTGGGTATAAGCTTCTGATCCGGGCTGGACTGGGTATGTTTCTGCTGGACTGGACTGTCAGCAACTCTAACTGCTAGGTTTCAGCTGTAAATCGATACCAACGTTTGGTTTTGGCAGAGCCTTAATCTATTTCAAGCCTTGAAAGGCTTTTTGAACAGGCAGAACTGCGGCCTCTTCAATCTGCAAGGGGTAGAAGTGGCTGAACTTGAAGACTTGCTGAGCTGGAACTGCACTGTGGTACCTGTTCTGTTTGATCAGGGCTCTTCACAAATTTGTTGAGGTTTTCATATTTGTGAAAAAACTCAAATTCTGCTTGTTTTGGCTTTTGCTGAACCAAATTTGTAACGAGAGCAGTCTCGTTTTGAATGACTTTTTCTCTAAGTCTGGACTTGGGAATTCTAAGAGAAGGAGAGAGATTTTGATTGCTTTAGTTTATTTGAAGGTTCTTGATGATCAAGTGATCATTTGGAGTTTCTTTGCCTTTTGGCTGATTTTTGGTTGTTTGATTGATTATTGAGTTGAGTGTCTTATTCTGTTCACCCTCTCTTCTATTTATAGGAAATGTTTTCTGGAGTAGGGTAATTCTTTTAATAATGGGCGGCAAAATTTCTCAAAAATATCTCTCATTTTTTAAATACAAAGAAAAGGGGATTGTATCAATTCTGGCAGATAGGCTTTCAACAGTCAGTTCCTATGGCAATCACTTCCCTGTATTTGAAACAAGAACCTAACCCCTTTCTAATCCCAACTGCCCCTTGTGAGAACTCAAACCGTGATGGTTAGTTTGTTTTTCCAGCTTCGAACAACTCCATGTTCTCCTGCTTATCTCTGAATATATATACATATATATAGGGATTTTGATCTTCTGTTTTGGCAGAGTTTTTCAGAGATGTCATCTTTCTATACCTGCCCCATTTTTAGCTCTTTTATCTCTTTCATTTGATATTGTTGACTTTCAAAGTTTTTAGATAGTCACGTGGGCTTCACGTGGGCTCCCTTGAGAATAGTTCTTTCAAAAAAGATCTGTTGATTTGCTCCTGGGTTTTTTTGAGAGATATAGTAGATTTGGGCCCATTCTAATTCTTTTTTTATCGATTTGTTTAATTTGTAATTGCCATTTAATTTGGCAATTTTTTTACATTTATGCTATCTCCTAAAAAAACGTGGGTTGGGCTTTCTCTTGATCTGACAATTGAAGCTCGTTTCTCCATTCCTTTTCTTTCGTGGGCCCTTTCGGGAAGTGGGACGGCGTGTGTTTGTTTTTGGCCCAAACAATGCCCCCTTACGTCTGAATCGTTTTAAAACGGCTTCAGACTTAATGATTGACCCATTAATGATGCACGTCATTTCCTGCCGTTGCACTAACGCGCGTCTGTCTATGCGTTTAGACTTCGTGGGGAACTAGGTTCTAACGGCTAATTAAATCTGAGCAACAACTCCTTCCTTCTCACTTGCCCACGATCTTCCTGCTTAATTTTATAAAATTTATATCGCATCTTCAATACTGATTCATCGAACCCTAGTTTTGTCTCGGCTCTGTCTCAATTCTTGTATTCCTTTTAAAACCGTCTGTTCTTTTGATTCCGTTCTTTCCAATTCTCCCCTTTGTTTGTCTTACTTTGAAAGAGAGAAGGAAAGAATGTCTTCTCCAAACACTCATGCCAAGAGCTCCTCTCCTTCACGACTTCCTGCCTAATTATTTTTTTATCGATCTATTTAATTTGTAATTGCCATTTAATTTGGAAATTTTTTTACATTTCTGCTACTTCCTCTTCTTCACGCCTTTCTCATGATCTAACAATTGAAGCCCGTTTCTCCATTCCTTTTGTTTCATGGGCCCTTTTGAGAAGTGGGCCGGCGTGTGTTTGTTTTTGGCCCAAACACCTGCTAGCTAGTCAAACAATCCCAGTGTTGGATTGTTTTCCCCGGGTACATGATGTGCACTATGATATGTACCTTCCTTGGTTACGTAACCCACACGTGGCTTTGGATTTTCCGGTGCATGGGCTCACTTAGTTACTATCACTTTACCGCACGTGACGTTGGATTTTCTTGCGTGTGGTAAAGGTCCGGGCACCTTTGGTCGGGCGTCCTGTAGGCCCTTGGTAGGGCATTCTGCGCACGTATGTCATGGTTTGGTTTGGCCACATATGGCGTTAGATTTTCTGATGTGTGTGCCGTAGAGTGGTGGTCCCCCGGTTGGACGGCTCATTCCTTAGCCACATGGTTATTGAGGAATCTTCCATATGGTCTAGTCAAACAATCACCCGGTTGGATTGTTTTCCTCTGGTACATGATGATGGTATGGGGTGTGTTTATATATATACTTATCTAGGTAGGAAAATATGTCGAGTCGTTTTCGGGTTGGGGTTTCTTGAGCATATGCATGGTGAGTGCTCTGCACAGGTGTGATCATTGTTATGATTTTTGGACAGTGTTATTTTGCAATTTACGCCTTGGATAGGGTATGGTTTTGGGAAAGAAATGATTTTGGAAATGTAATTTGAGTTCAGAGAAAACGATTAGTTTTAAAAGAGTTATGCACAGTTCATGTGAGTTTCTACACGGAAATGGTTTTGAGTTTGAATCATGGGAAGAAAGGAGTTTATAAAATATTTAGTTATATGCCTTGCAGAAATTGAAGTTAAGAATGGATCTAAATTTAATTGTTGGTTTTACTTGGACAATATCTGTATGTTTCTGAATTGTGATCCTTTTTGTCATAAAAACTACATGTGACTTGATCCCTCACAAAGAGGTACGTAGGTAGCCAGGGGTCTCACCCAGGTGCAGCTGCAAATTAAATTATTATGTTTGTTAAGTTTGGTTTTGAATATGTCGGTGGGCCTGAAGCCCGATTGAAACTTGGGTGAGATTAAATGCTTGTTTTTATTCCAATTTTACTAAATGGATGTGGTTAAAGTGTGTTTGTGGCTATGACGGGTCTGAAACCCATTTTGGAGTGATGATTGATTTTCGCCTGAGTCCTTAGAACTGCTTGAGATTGTACATAAATGGTTTTAATTGCACGTTATGGCATCGTTTTCTAAAATGTGGGGGTTAGTATGTTGCTATTGTTTAACTTTAAAACTTTGTTTTTGTTCATTCACAATTTTCTGTTTTGCGCTCCCCCAAAGCAGTAGTTGACGCGAACTGAGCAGTTAGGCCGAGCCTTCCTCTTCTCGTGCCTCGGCTTAATTGTAGGACACTTGTTGTCCATTTCTTGAAACTTTTACTTTGGTTGTTTAACTAGAGATTTCATACTACTTTGACATTCACTACATAGGGTTGAAGTTAAGGCCGGAGGCCTATTTTGAAATCAGTGTGCTGCTGCATTGTGTGTGTTGGCAGTTGGTATTTTGTTTCTGTTGTGTTTGATGGTTGGAAAAATTTGTTTAAGTCCATTTTTCAAGGGAGACTTTGCCGAAATTTCGGTAGAAGTCTCAACCCCTTTTTCCTTAGTTTCAAAGAAGGGGATGTTTTTAGTAAGTGCGCCCAACATTAGTTTGATGTTAGATGGGTAACGGGGTTCAACATTTATTCTGAGGTGGAATTTGAGTCAGGTCCTATCAATTCGCCTCTCTCCATAGTTTACATACAAAGTTCCGGCCACCACACACAGCTCCTGCCGCCCGGTTCTTACCATAAATACATCTCCGTACCCTTTTTTTAGCTATTGTTTCTCCTAAATTCATTCGACCTAACTTAGGCATCGGAGGGCCTTTGGCCAACACCCTCTGGGTGTGGTCTATTTACTTTGGTCTTTTTTATAGGAATCGAGGAGGAGAGAGAAGAAAGAGGAGAGAATCTAATTTTGATCTAAACATATGAAGTGTATGAAATGCTAGATGTAGATTTTGAAGAAGAGAAGCAGATTTCAAAAGCAATACGGAAAAAATCTCAATTCGAAAACCATGGCCTCACCAAGTAGAAAATGCATTGTAAAAGTTTTTTCTCAAAATATTCTTAATGGGTGAAGTTGATTTCAAAAATAGAAGTAGATTTCAAGAGCTATTTGAAAATCTCATTTTAAAAACCAAAAACACTCTCACAGAGAAAATGGCAGAGCTAAAAGATGCATCCCAACAATCCAGAAATGAAAGTGTTGGATGTTCTCTACCATTAGCACCCTTTTGATAAATTAGGGCATCACAAATAAAGACACCTGTGAGCTAATGACAAGAGCTAGAATTGGACAAAAAAGGTTAAGACAGAAAAACTACAGTTGGCAACAGAGGCAGGCTCACGTGAAAAATAAATGATGTGGTAGTAACACGTGACAAATAATGATGACTAGTCATGCAAAAGAGAACACTACAATGCATGCAATGCAATCAAAGATGAATTACCTTCAATGAGCTTTGAAAGCATGAATCCATCATGAAGTTGATCTCAGCCATATAATAGATTATTTTAGCGCTATCCTAGATTAGTCTAGCTTCTTGAGCTTGATTAAGTGCATAAAAAATTAAAATCAAATTTACATGTTTGTCGAGAAAAACTAAAAATTTAGTCAACCCAAACGTAACAACCCACGACCATACCCCAGACCACACGCAATGAAGCGACTTTATGCTACAACTTAGGAACACATACAAATAACATAAAAACGACGTGTTAAGGCTTGGTCATGGTTTTGATAAATAACGAAAATTAACTTGTGTAAAGAGCACAAATTTTATATTATTTTCTTTGCCAAATAAACAAGTGATATAGTAGTATATTCTTTTTTAAAACACACAAAGAAACCATATTCTTGAAGAAACCAATCAAGAATCTGATTTCGATCTAAACATATAAAGAGTATGAAATGCTAGATGCAGATTTTGAAGAAGAGAAGCACATTTCAAAAGCAATATGGAAATCTCAATTCAAAAATCATGGCCTCACCAAGTAGAAAATACATAGTAAAAGTTTTTCTCTCAAAAAATTCTTAATGGGTGAAGTCGATTTCAAAATAGAAACAGATTTCAAGATCTATTTGAAAACCTCATTTTAAAAACGTGAACACTCGCACAGAGAAAATGGAAGAGGTAATAAAAGATGCCTCTCAACAATCCAAAAATGAAAGTGTTGGATGCTCTCTACCATTAGCCACCCTTTTGATAAATTAGGGCATCACAAAACAAAGACACCTGTGAGCTAATTATAAGTGCTAGAATTGGACAAAAATGGTTAAGACAGAAAACCTACAGCTGGCAACAGAGGCAAGCTCAAGTGAAAAATAAATGATGTGGCACTAACACATGACAAACAAGGATGACACTGGTCATGCAAAAGACAACACTACAATGCAGGCAATGCAATCAAAGATGAATTACCTTCAGTATGAGCTTTAAGAGCATGGATCCATCATGAAGTTGATCTCAACTAATTCTTTTATTGTTGGGTTTGGATTCATAATTAATCCTATGGATCCTTAGGATTGGCGAAGCCATATCAGATTATCTTAGCGCTATCCTAGATTAGTCTAGCTTCTTAAGCTTGATTAAGTGCATAAAAATTACAATCAAATTTACATGTTTGTCAAGAAAACCTAAAAATTTAGTTAACCAAAACCTAACAACCCACGACCACACCCAAGACCACATGCAATGAAGCGACTTCATTCATGCTACAACTTAGGAAAACATACACAACATAAAAATGAAGCGTTAATGTAACATCTCACATCGACCAACGGAGAGAGGGTGATGTGCCTTATATATATACATGTCCACCTCCATCAAGCACGAGGCCTTTTGGGAGCTCACTGGCTTCGGAGTCATGGGAACTCCGAAGTTAAGTGTGTTGGGAACAAAACCGTGAGGGCAGAGAGGGGGGCCCCAAAGCAGACAATATTGAGAGGGGTAGTAAAAAATATATGTTGTCTGTATGGTAACAACGTGTGAACCTTCACATAGAAGAAAATCTGTATATATTGTATATGTCTATAAATATATATATATATATATATATTTGTATATGAAATGTTTTTGAGAATAAGAGTTCATTCATAAAACAAAAGGCATACAAAGACATGAAACTTATTTTACTCAAGATATATGTGTAGACTTGATTTTCTTCTTTGTTCGTTAAACGATTTACAAAAGAAGACAAACCATCAACGTTTGTGGAAAAAAAAATGAAGGACAAAAAGAAAATGAACGTTTGTCCACGAGTAAGCTAAACTATGAATGGGCATGCAAAGACTTCAAAGTAAGTCTTTTGTAGACCCAAAAAATTGGAAAAGCAAAAAAAGAAGAAATCAACGTCCAGACATGTGTGATCCAACATGACTTTTCATACGAAGACTTGAAAGTCTTTGGAGTCACATATCTTGCCTTGTGCGTTACTTGACGCCATACTGGAAGGAAATTGATGGACGTAGACAGAAGCAGCAACCAGCGCATTGCTTCCCCAGAGTTCTCTTGGCTTTTGTATGAAAATATCCAAGAGAATAGTACTTCCCTTCCAGTTAATTTTAAACAAAATAAATATGAAATTTTGAACTGGTGATTTATTTGTATATTTTTTAGTGTTCTTTGTCAAATTAAGTCCACAAAATGTGATCAACTAGGTTTCAAGTGTTCCTCTCCTTTAGGCGTACGTCTTCAGTTCAACGATGTCCACAGAAATTCTTATCTCTCCCTCTCTTCCCCCACCACCCCACTCTATCCTCAAGGATCTATAAATTGGTTGAGGCCAAGCCACATTAAGTTCACTCAACAATCTTGTCTTCACCTAAATTGTGTTGTTAAGAAAAACATGGCATCATCCTCCAGACTTTTCTTCTTCTTGGCTTTATGGTTGCTCTTGTGATCCTCATCTCCTCTGAGGTCTCAGCTCGTGAGCTAGCGGAAATTTCTAAGCCAGCAATTCCTATTAGTGAGTTTCTAATTTGTTTTTTTTAACTCAGATGTATGTTTATATTTTTTATAACTTGTTTTTTTAACTCAGCTCGTGTGGGTATATGTGGATGTTCATATTTATGACCTCTACTCATGTTACTCAACTCATATTATTTTCTTTGTGGGTGTTGTATTATCCTTACAAATAATCAGTCAAATCATAAATCACAAAAACAAACTAAAAAAATTCGGCAAACATTAAAATGACCTTAAAGATCAACTATGTCATTAATTAAATTTGTTGATCATTCGTAGGGATGATTTAAGAAAAGGACCTAAAAAATGAATATTTCAACACATTTTCAACCCACAAACTTTACCATTCAAATCATAGAAATATAGACATTACATATGTATGATGTATCTATGTCATTTCTTTTGATCCGAGAGGAGAAGGAATTTGAATTTGAGATGCATATTTTTACAGTGAGAACATATGTACTATTAGACTAAGTACTTATTGGCATCTATGCCATTTTTTAAGAGAACTATCTTTGTATGTTTGAGTATAAATGTGAATTATGTCCCTAGTCTAGATAAAACAATTTTAATATTAAATTTAAAAATTAAGGGCAATATAGTAATTAGCAAACCCTTAATCTTCACTCACCCACTTTTACCCTCCTAGACTAGACTCAACTGTGGCTCTATTCTAATTTCTACCTTTATGTGAATTAATAGTCCCAATAAATTTTTTTTTTAATTTTTTTTAAAAACAAAATCTCTCAAGATCTTCTCCATGTTAAGTTCATTTTACTAGGCTGCTGTTTGCATGGCTTTGCTCCGTACAAAATACAAACCATCTATGCTTGTCAAAGTGATATAAATTCTTTAGACTTATATAGATTACTTTTCTTTCAGGGGGGAAACCTTATCCCTTTAAAGGCAGACCAAGTACGCCAACTGTCAGATGCAATCCGTATATTAGAGGATGTGTCCCGTCTCCGCCCCCGCCATGCAATCCGTATAAGAGAGGATGTCACCGGCCCTCGCGGGCCCCCGCCCCGGGAGAGTATAGGCACAGCCAAGGGCACCATGAAAAACCAGGAGACTGAAACTGGGAATTAAATAAATAAACCCTTTTTCAGTGGATATTGCAGGTACTATGTGGTAATAATTAAGAGTTTGTTTTGTCAATAAAGGTTAATGTAATGTATTGGTTGAGTTGTTAATAAAAATCTACTTGATTTTAATTAATTATTATTTTATAAATATAATAGCATACATACAATTTTATGTTGAAAAAATAACGTACATATTACTTCTTTTACGAAAAATGATGTACCTAGTATGAATGTACTTATTATTCAAATAATATACCCAACTTTTATAAACGCATTTTGGATATAATTTACCTAATAATTTCCTATTATGCAATAATATAACTTGTAATTTACCTATTACGGGTATATTGTAGGTATATTAAAGCCAACACATTTATAGGTATATTATGAAAATAAATTCCTACCCGAATTGGATATATACAAGATAGGTAAATTTGTAAGTACATTATATTGTATTGTTAATAATTTACCTACTATATTTTATTGGGAAAAAATTTGAGAAATTTTTTATTGGTAAAAAATTAAGACTTTTTTTAATTGGTCGAAATTTTAGGGATTAGAGGGAATGCCCAAAAAAAACAAAAAAAACAAAAAAACAAAAAAGCTATAAATGATGAAGTATTAATTAGAAATGAGTCTTAATGACATGCTTGAAAACTGTCATGTTTACTTATTGAGTAATGCTATTTAAACATACAAAATTGACCACATTAGATGACCACCTTATGTGGCAGCTGATGTAGTCATGCCACGTCAATTAATGAAATTGTCATGTGGATTTTATTTTTATTTCTTTCTTTCTAAAATAATTATTAAAAACAAAAAATAAAAATTGAAATAAAAAATAAAAAAACCTTAGCATCCCCGGACTCTTCGTCTCTAGCACTCCCTTCTTCTTCATCTTAACGAGTGCAGAACTAATGTTCTGGGAGATGGCGTGGGTGTCGCAGACCTTGGGGATCTGGAAGTTCTCTATGTCCATTACACAGACATCTCCGCCTTACCCATCAACGCTGCCGCCGTCGCCATCTCCGCCATGCTGCATCCGCTCACATCCCCACACGTTGGCGCTCTCCAAATACTCTAGATCTTATGGTCACTGCTCACTTATGATCGAAGATGGGGATTATTGATTCTTAAAAAACCCTCAAAACACCAAAATTCAAAATCAAAATCAAAATCCTCTGGTTTTGATTGGGTTCCTCTCTTCTTGTAATTTTGTTGTTTTTCTTGAATTTGATCTCTTCTCTAGTATATCTATATCTCTTCTCTAGTTTTGAAGGGGGAGGAAGAAGGGTGTGCTGGAGACAAAAAAAAGTCCAGCTTTTTGTTTTTTATTTTTTTTATTTCACTTTTTTTTTTTTAATAATAATAATTTAAATAAATAAATAAAATAAAATAAAATCCACATAATAATATTAATTAATTGACATGGCATGACCACATCAGCTGACATATAAGATGATCAGTTAATGTGGTCAATTTTGTGTGTCTAAATAGCATTATCATTAGTTATTTGATGTATGGTGGCAAACAATGTAAATATATAGAAGTACTATGACCTTTTATATATTTTAGTTTGAATTTGGGTTTTTTACATAGATTTCAAAATTAATGGATTGATGTCTAGAAAACAGAAATTGTACGGGCCTACATTAGACTAACCCATTATTCTAATAGGTATATGGTAGTATAATGAACCTTTTAGCTGTAAGAACAAATTATACATTGGAGCACGGGGTTCTTTTGGCATGAATTTAAGCACCTACAAAAGAAGGGCACTGTCCTTCACAAACATACCCACACATAAGGTGATTAAAAAACATGCTTCTCGTAATAGAGAGGTCATATAACTCTTGAATTATTTCAAGGAGATATTTAGTCCACACGGTTGACTTGTAAGAGAACACTTGTTGACTTTTATTAAGAGATATAAAACCATAAACCTAGCTAGTGATTTAAGAAATTAAACGACAGCAGAGAGGACTCATGAACCCTCAGTTATTCAAACAGAAAGCTAACACACATATTGACTTCTACGAGAGACAACCAAACATGGAGCTGTCTGTTTTCCTATTACATTCACAGGCTATTCCAGAACTTGTTTACCCTTGTCCTTATTAAGCTTAGGACCCTCGATTCCTTCCATGCTTTTAAGGAGAGGGTCTTGCATGGAGCTGTCTGATTCTGATCTGCTGCTAGGTCCTGCCTTGCCCTCACCGCCATCATGGTAGCGCTGATCATTTGTTTCTTTGGTCTCAAGAAAAAAGGTAAACTTGTCCTCATAATGATATACTGGACGGAAACCATACATTTTCGCGTACAGCCCTCCCTTATCGCTTGCAAATGAAGCGTTTACGCGACTACACCCATTCAACTGATCTTGAAACCACTTCCGTGGTATACAGGACAGCCAAATGAATCCTTCATCTTCTAACCACTTTAATTCTCCCCCCGTTACAGCTTGGCAAGGATAGCTTGCCGTGAGCATGTATATTTGGTCTTACTTGATGGTATAAAACCATTGATTTTACACAGTTTTAAAGAGCACGAATTGATGTGCAGCCTTGTCTTGTAACAACGGGAATAATGAAATTGCTATTCACGCTCAAATTCTTCAACTTTCCACTTTTGTGAAATTCCTTTCAATTACTAATATCGGTGCCATCTGCTTTAGGGATTATTAATTGAATATTTTTTTATATCCAGATTTTATAGCTTTTCAGTTTAATTCTCATTCTTAGAGAGCAAACATCTGTCTTTCTTAGATATTAGTGATCTAACAAGTAAATAGTTGGAAAATGTGGATAATATATTAAATTTCTTTCTAATCTTGGTCATAACGTTGTTTTTTTTTTTTCTTTTGTAATCTTGGTTAATTCGCACCTGTTGGTGGGTGTTTATATGTCCCTATTGCTGCCGTTTTTTTTTTTTTTTTTTTTTTTTTTTTGGGGGTATGCGAAGGTGCTGCGCATCAAGCAAGCATAAAAGCATTGAAAATATTCGTAATTTAAGCTTTAGTGTACAAAGTGCCTTGAATCTAGAACTTAAAATTATTTTTCTTTACACCTCAAAAGGGAAAATCGACATAAAAAATACGTAATAAATATCTAGACCTAAATATGAAAAAATTCAATACGCCTAGATCAAAGAAAAAATAGAGAACGCTTTGGATCTCGTCATAACATCGGTGTTCTTCAGTTTTTGGTGGACCTATGTCGATCAAATCTTTTGTTTGGCAGATCTATTGTCTCATATTTGGGCTGACTTTGGTTGTGCCTCATGTAGCGAGGTTGCCCTTTGAGGTGTTTCGACTTTTTCATAGTAGATCAACTGCTCATTAGTGCGTTGTTGAGGCATCGGAGTAACTATGTGGCATTCTCTATAGACTATATGTCATGCCCAGAAGGAAAGATTAGCGGTGGTTGGTGTTCCTTTGGCCAACGTTGTTTTATTTATTATTTATTTTGGTTTAGTTTGTTCAATAAAGTCTAGAAACTCTATGAGTTTTGTGTGTTATTTCCCTCTAGTGATTCTAGAAACATAGTTGAGTTTGTTAGGTGTTCCTAGTCTCTTTAAGAGAGCGATGCCGTTAGCAGCTAGTTTTTGTCTTTGATGTCATTAGACTAGATTCTGGAAAATAATTATGATGTTTGAAAGAGGTTTTAGAAAAAATATTTTCGAGTGTGATTCTCTCTAGATGGTTACAGTATGTGTCCTTTGAACTTTTTATTTTTATTGATCTAATAAAATTTTATCCTTTTTTTTATACATAAATAAAATAAAATAAAAATTCATGTTAAGATTAAAAGCCTCTTAACAAATTAATTAATGTGCCAAACATCACCTTCAAGTTTCAATATTTTCCAGAACAAAAAAAAAAAAACGAAAAATTGCAATTTTGTTAATGGGCATATATAAGATTAAAGTTTCAAACAATTGAAGAAGTTAACTAGGTACCTGGCTTTATCCAAATCCCATCCCTTGATAATGGCTATTTCCGTTAAAGCTTTCCTCCACTTGCCCACCTCCCCCAGTACGGTATTTTCTTCATGTTTGGCAAAGGCCCGGCTAAAGCTTCCAGTTTGATTCTCACCTCCGATGGTTTGACGTGATAGAAAACCGGGAAAACTTGGAGTTCCCTCTTTTTCATGCATTCAACAATATGTGCAAGTTCATCCAAACACCACGTTGAAGAAGCATACTCTTTTGAAAGAATGACGACTGCAAACCTCGATTCTTCAATGGCTTTCAAGAGTTCTGGGGCGATGAATGTTCCTCTCTTCAGTTTTTCATCATCCCTAAAGGTATCAATTCCTCTCTGGTTCAAAGCATGGTATAAATGGTCCGTAAAACTATTTCGGGTGTCCTCACCCCTAAAACTGAGAAACACACCATGTGCCCATATTTTAGGCGTTGAAGAAGCGGATGATGGCAGCATTTCGGTGTGGGTGCAATCGAATCAAAACTGATGCAGTAGGTCGTACAAGAAAAGTAAGCGACAGAGAAGAAGATGATCGAGCACAAAGAAAAAAAGAGGGAGGAGCAAGAGGATGAAGATGAAACAATGATGTTGATCGATGGATGGCAATGGAAATTATGATGTCTAGTTAATTTAACATTATTTTATGATTAAACATGTTCATTTATTCGCCAGCTGTCCCCGAAGATTATGCATAATCAATTGCCAATCAAGTCATATATATATATATATATATAACATTTTATAGTGAAACATTTGATGAGTTGCTCATGCTACACACGATCAATATTAAATTGCTTATACAAAGTATTAGTAGTGGAGTTTCTTTTCAATGATATTATATAGTGGAAATTTTGATGAGGGAGTTGTTATTACTAGTTATGTGCACCACTTTTATATTACTTTCTCTAGTAGCGCTATGCCTTACCTTTTTTATTATTATTATTATATTTTTTAGGAGCAGATGCTTTTATAAAATAGTATCAAGGATAGCAAAATCATAAGAAACTCAAATGTGAGAGGCAGACAGACACAATAGTGTAGTCTTTAAAAATATTTGCAGCATGAACCATATACTAGGCAACAAAAGAAAAGAAAAAAGAGGAATCTTGGACACCTCTTCAATCGATCGCACCAAACAGTAGTCCAGCGACTGAAACACCCTACAAGAGAAAAACTTCAATTTTGAGACCTTCAAGATCTGGGAAGGGAAAAATGACGTACTCACAAGCAAGCATTTATATGCACCATTCAAAGAAATTGCAACCCATAAATTTGGGTTAGGCTAGTTGGCTGTGACAATAAATCTGCCACAATAGCTTCAAGCTTAATTATTAGTTAATTGATTTTTACGTGAGACCAATGTGTTACGTATATTAGAGCAAGTCCAATGTGTTAATTGATTTTTTGACTCTCATCAAATACATACATTCAATGATTTCCCAACTTTAATTAATATAGGGTTTTTATCACAAATGATTCTTGAGGTTTGTGAAATTATCCATTTTGGTTTTTTTTTTCATGCCATTAGGTTCAATCTGTTAGATTGTTGACATGGGTAGAGAAAAAATGGAGGGTGAGAGAGAGGAAGAGAGGGAGAAAGGGAGGGAGCGGGTCGGGGAAGGGGGGATTGGGGTTGGGTAGAGGAAGTGGGGGTCTGAGAGAGAGAGAGAGAGAGAGAGAGAGATTAGAAAAACACTTCGTTAATGTAATTACAAGAAAAAAGATCAATAGCGACCAAGTCACCGGTCACTAATAGAGCAGGATCAGTGACAAAATATGCGAATTCAGTCACTAATGTTTGTTGACCACAATGAATTTCTTTTACACATTTATTTCCACTTTTTAATCACACCAATATTTGAGATTAAGTAGTGATCCAGTTTAGTTTGGTCACTGAAAGCTGCTTGCTTTTAAACCAAAACAATGCCGTTCTATTTTTAGTGACCAGGAATGAAATCAAGAACAGAATTTGCCTCTATACAATGGGGAGGGGAGAGGGCTGTTGCCTCACCTTTACAAAGTTCTTAAAATGGGGAGAGGGCTGTTGCCTCACCTTTACAAAGTTCTTAAAATGAACGGATATATTCAAGGCATCTTTTTATTGTTTATCAACAATAACAAAAAAATAAAAAATAAAAAATAAAATTATATCTATTATTGTTTATCAGGAATTCGATGAAAGATGATACCACACAAAAGGAATGTTCTAGTAACTATACCGACTATCCGTCACATTAATATAAATAAAATATCTCTAGCAGACAAAATACTCTTAAAGACTTACCCTTTGAACTTCTCCCAAATGTAAAGAATGAAACGCAAATGAAACTAGCCACCGGAAAATCCACTGGTACACTTATTGGAGCAAGAAAGCGCAATCTGTTTATGCCAGAATTCCAAAACACAGATCAACATACAACAAAACACAACAAAGCCCCAATGACAACATCCATATTATAATTCACTAAATTCCCAAAAGAAAAAATCCGCCACTTCACTGTATTTGCTCACTCACCAACCCAGGAACAAAAGTTAGGTGGTCAAGAACATCAAAATAGTCCAGGCATATGAGATCAAGTTAAAGTTGCAGATCGAATTCTATAATTTTAATTCTAATCTAAAGTCATACTAAATTATCATAATAATGGACCAGAAATCTTACATGGCTGTGCCCTGAGCAGTCCTACATTGCGAAAATACATTGAAGAATGTAATATTCTCCCACAAACTTGTATTCCGTCATGAAAACATCAGATAAATTACAAAACCTAGCTTCTTGCACATGAATGAGTAGTTATAAATCAACGAAACTCCCAATCCTTCAATTTCTTGCTTCCTTTGGGTTTTGCAATAGGCGTGTTCATTCCTGCCATTTTAGCATTATACTTTGACCGAAGAGGATCATTGTACGTCCATCTGAAATACAGAAAACGGTAAATAAATGTGCTTGTTTGGCAAAAAATTTCGGGATCAAATAAAACGTATTCAGATGTACATAGTCTGGAATTTAAGATTAAAAGAGAAGCCAAAGTGGATCCTATTACTCATGATACAGTTATATTCCCCAAAATACTTATAAGGTATTCCAAGCCACTTCCTTTACCAAAAAGGGGAAAAAGCCCTATGAAAAATTCATCAGAATTTGTATGGTATGTTCACCTATTCACAACTCAACTTTTGTTCTCCCTCAAACAAAATTCACATCAATTTAATATATATTCATACCACAAGACAGCTCCCCTTAGTGGAACCTTAACTTTACATACTAAGAAATCCAAGTGACACAACCACCAAAAAATAATACTTATACTGACATATAGAACCCATCCAAAATATGTTGATATAGAAATGAAAGTAACAATATGAATATGACCATAAAAAATTGCTAATAAAATTGAAAAGAACAATAACTTTTCCCATGTTCTATTACTTCAAAGTTAAGCCACCAACGCTTTGTTCCAAAACTTTAAATTATTCCTATGACCACAACAATATCAATGTAGTTTTTCTATATATTGTTGAAGAAGTTTTAGCTTATTATCCTAAAATTTTGACTCAACCCATGGCTATTCTTTTTTATTTTTGTTTTCCTGTCATTCCATTTACAGATTATGGATTCCTGGCCAACCGGACTTTGGAGTCTTGAAAACATATACAGATATAATGATGTAGGACAAAGAAAAAGTGCAAAAAGATATGGAATTGGCATCACTACTAAAAGTTTATTGGATCACTCCTAGCAATAGATCAGAAGGTGTCTTTGGCTCTCTCCAATATCATTCAAGCTACACATGAGAGTGGGAAATCATAGAAAACTATAATTTATGCGATGTTCAGGTGAAAGACAGTTTTTGGTTAGGAATACTTGTACAGGTGAATTAGGTGATGTTTATGTCCATCTTCTGACCAAAAAATAAAAAGTAAAAATGTTGACCATCAGTAAAGTCAAATACAGTGATATTATACATTTACCATAACCAATTTTCTTTTTGATTCCCTAAAGCATTTTATAAATCAAATTTTACTTATCAATGAATATAACCTATTGTTTAATTATTATATCAAACTATTTAAGCTAATAGACATATGTGCTAATAAATCACCATACTGCTATTGGACCACACATACTTTTCTACAAGACTAATGCTCATCAAGTGCTACGTGAATGTCCTCAAATCTTACTATTCTCCAACCCATAAAATCTTACGATTTGACTGAGAAATTCAGTAAGATTAGCCCTTCCATTCGTATTCACTTCAAATAAAATGTGGGTAAACTGACACAAACTCTAACTTCCCTTAAGAAAACAAGAAATATAATAGTGCTTGTGGTGTTTAATGAATTCAACACAAATATAAAATAGGTAACCAGAGTGGTTAATGCATTAAAGAAATTGAACTTACGGATTGTTCCAATCAGTGGTATCCTCATTGACAAGATGAGTCCATTTCGTCCTTCCACTACGACCAAAATGTTTGACCTGCATTACCTTGGGCAATATTGTTTTGTCCATCTTATCTTCTCCAGTTGGGGCAGAGAAATCACGTGTGTAAATTCCATCTGTTCCAACAGTTGTAGCATAGTCATCAGGTTCTGACTGGAAGAAAGCACCCTTGTGGTAATATTTCTGCATAAATCTCCACTTCTGCTTTGGTTGTGGTGCAGCTTTCGGATGCTTCCTCTCCCAGTCCCTCCTCTCTTCCTCTGTCATGTTTCTAACCCTTTCAATCTCTTCCTTCTCCTTTATCATTGCTTCCCGGTCCTCCCTATCCCTCTTGATCCTGGCTATCTCTCTTGCCTTCCAAGCTTCATACTCCTCTGCCTCGTTTATTTCATCATCAGTATCAATATCAGCAATATTTCCTTCCTGTTCCAATCCCTTCTGAATCTCTTCGTCCTTCCGAATCTCCTCAACCACAATCTGCTTTGTCTCTCTCTTCCTTTCCTCCAAATTCCTCTTCCTTGATTCCTCAAGGGCTCGTTCTTCAGCCTCAAGTCGCTCACGTTCAGCAATAGTATCTCTCTCTGACTTCGGCACAAAGACAGGCTTCAACATCACCATACCAGTAAGCTCTTCTTCTGAGTCAGTATCATACTCAGACTCCTCTTCCTCCTCTTCCTTTACTTCTTCCTCGTCTTCCGACAGAAGGAGTGGAGCTTCTTCTTGCTCCCTTTGACGCAACTTCTCCTTGATCCTTCTTCTTCTTTCCTCCAAAGCATCTGCGTCCTCTTCCTCTGCTTCTAACCCTTCCTGCCTCTTGGCTTCTTCTTCAATTGTTGAAACAATCTCAGCTTGCCGGATACGCCTATGATCAGCTCGAACATCCTCACGATTATCTATCCTGCTCTCAGCCAAACGGCGCAGTCTAGGATCATCTTTTCTAACAACATCAGAATATTCCTGCGTGGGGAAAGCTTTCTCCAATGAAGCAGCTGCGGACATCCTAATATCCCCATCTTCGTCGGCATCATCTGCCCACTCGGGAGCTTTTCCAGGCCAATACCTTTTAACTTTTGTTTGCCCAATTTTACCTCTGAGCTTATCCCTAACTGCTATCACAGTATCACTAACACCTGCTGTTACCGACATTGTTGCACCTTATAGACACTCTCTAAACACTGGTTTAAAACATTACACCACAACTTCTCATAGACAGCGCTGAAAAAACACTATAATAGGTTATAATAGAGTTATAGAAAGTGCCTTGTCAGCCAAAGATATGAAAGCCTGAGCTATATAATAGCGTTTTTTACCCGCTATCGAAAGAACATAAACTTTACAAAGAACAGTGCCAATGACAAAAGATGCAGATAATTCATCAAATCTATTGTTGTGGCTATTAGAGCACAAAAAGCCAGATATTCATTTTATTTTATTTTTAATTGCCTGAAAACCTAGGAATTCACTTTGAGCTATCAGCATTACGAAGGTACAGGAGCTTTACACAATAAATTAAGAATAGAATTAGCTTTCCAATTCCAAATCTCCAACCCCCAACTTGAATGCTATTCTTATTGTCTAAGTTGTAATCACGAATAAGAGCAAAGCTCCTTAGCTAGTCCTATTTTCAAGCAAAACCAAGAAAAAATTCAGAAAACTTGCCCCAATTCAATACTCAACAAATTTAACCCTAAATCAAATTAGGGACATAACAATTGTTTTGATATACTGATTTGTCGGATGCCTAGACCACAACCCTAAAAGAATGAGAGTTATCACCTGTCACAGAGCTTCAGACGTTGGGACAAGAGCAGCCAGCGTGAAAGATAGTGCGAGTTTGATAAACAGACAGCGAGCTAGAGAAAAATTTCCACCATGAGAGAAAGAGAGTCAGAGCGGGAGAGAGACAGAGAAAATCAGAGCGAGAGAGCGAAGAGAGATCCGATTTTTTTTTTTGTTTTTTTTTTTTTTTTTTTTTTTAGCGATGGAGAGAGAGAGAGGGTCACGCCTAATGTTTTTTACGCCCGCTAAAGTTTTTAATTGTCCGCGCTTTTTAAACCAACACTTTTCTTTGGTCATTTAATACTTAAATTATAAAGCTATTAAATTTTATTATTATATAAAAAAATAAAAAATATCATTCAACTTAATACTTAATCTTAGCACACCCCATCACTCTTCGTATTAAGTTTTAGAAAAATATGAACTCCTTCACATTGGCAGATTACTCTTTTCTTTTAAAAATGTAGAACGTTGAGGAGTCTACCTCTTTAAAAGTGAGTGTGAGTTGATAAAAAGGCTTTTTGATTACTTGATTGTAATGATTTTATTCTCTTCCCTTTGTTTCATATATCCAACATTTCAGTATATATGCCGGCGCCAATAATGAAATTTAAGAGTTTAATGATTTAAGTATTGGAGTAGACAAAGAAAAGTAAACCCAAAAAGTGCGAGGTTTAAATAGAAAAACTAAAAAAATAAAATTATCTTTTGAATGAGAATGCCCTGCTGTTGCAGTGAGAATGCTTGGGTTTTCACCTATAATAGAGATGCTCGATGCTAGCATCTGTGTCTCTTTGGGAACAGATGGGGCACCCTCAAATAATAGAATGAGCATAGGTTGAAATTCTGATTGTCCTTTCTTGCATCTTTTCCTTATTGTGGGTTTGCACATTGGAAGTATAATACTTGAACCTGGAAATTCATGCATGAATTTTGTTCCTTGCAGTTGATGAGATGTACCTGGCTTCTCTGATTAACAATGGACGGGAAGTTCATACAAATGGGACAACTGATCCTACTGCTCTTCCTGCTGAAACAGTTCTCAAGCTAATGGCGACTTTAAACTCTGATTTACCATTCACAAACAATAGACCCAAGGCTATGGAGAACAAAAGACCCGCGGCCTTCATCATACCCGCAAACCCACATGAATTGATTAATAAAAAGCATGCTTCTTGTAAGAGCACATATATATAGCTCTTTGAATTATTTCAAGGAGATAATCCACAACGGTGACTTAGACAACATTGCTTGACTTGTATTAAACCTAGTGCTTTGAGAAATTTAACGACAGAAGAGGACGTGAAATCAATCCTCAATTATTTCAAATACAGGACACAACCAAACACCTAATATTGCATGCATGCCATTAAGAAACGACACGTCTTTACTAACAAACATCTCATTCCAAACAGTTCAAGATAATGCAGACCCTGTGGTTTTTATTTAAACTAGAGCAACCATGGTGAACCAGCTCATCTCTCAAATACATCCGCAGCCTATTCCTGAACTTGTTTACCCTTGTCTTTAGGCTTATTAGGACCCTCGGCTCCTTCCAATCTTTCATGGTGAGCGTCCTGGATGGAGCTATCTGCTCTGCTAGGTCCTACCTCGCTCTCACCATCATGCTGGTATACGGGACGGAAACCACAGATTTTCGCATACAGCCCTGCCCTATCGCTTGCAAATGAAGCATCCAATAAGTGACTACATCCATTCAACTGATCTTGAAACCATTTCCGTGGTATATAGGTCAGCCAAATGAATCCTCCATCTTCTAACCACTTTAATTCATGGCCAGTTGATCGATAGGAGTGGAGTTCCAAACTAGTGTTGTCAGTTTCCAAGTGACAAATCAGGTTGTGAGGATTTTCTGGATCGAAGTTGTCTAGGGAGGCAGTTGGATTCTCAAGATCTGAGAAATATGCATAAAGCGCTAGTCCTGTCCAATTTCTCTGAGTACATAGAGATGGCGGCAACGGGATCTGCACTGAAGAACCACTGACGTGAAAACGATACCACTCTAGAATTTCGGTAATCGGACGGAAAATTGCGTGGAGTATGATGTCTCGATTAAAGTCCTAAAAAATATAAAAATTAAGTAATGTTATTGGATTCAGATAGCTGATGTGGGAGAGAAAAAAGGAGAGAGTGAGAGAGACCTGAACATGGTGTGGTTGGGGCATATGATCTTGCTTTGGCTGCTCGGGAGAGTGACCTTCGACAAACTGACGGATGGGATCCGCATTGTCAAAGAAGGAGGTCCAGGATTGGATTATTGCTTGCTTAAATTCCTCCTCGTCTTGCTGGTATATGAGACCGATACCAGAACTTTCCACTATCAAGGATGGGCAATTGTTGTAAATTCTGTGCACTACAATATCAGAATTAGCAACACTAAACTCTGGTAGTAAAACACGGGGTATGTAGGTCACCCAAATAAATCCCCGCACATGTAACCACTTGAATTTCTCTTTTGTTATGGAACCCATGGTGACTGGATTCAAGCAATATTCACCCATTCTTAAGTGACACAAAAGTTTGACAGTGATATGGGAGCCCAGATCTTCAAGGGTGGCAGTTGGACGCTCATGGATTGAAAAAGAAGCAATTATAACAAGCCCCCTCCAATTTTTATCATCATACAGCTTTGGAGGTATTTCGAGTCCTTTCCCGGGTGACATAGTAGTCCAATGTTTGAAACACTCTAGATAATCCTTCCGAGGGAAACAAAAATTGTATGTGTTCCGAGGATCGAAGTGCTTGAAAACAGAAATTTTATCTCCTTTAAGACTGAGCGTTGCCACCAGGGACTTTTGAAGGTAAGCCTGTAGGTACCTTTTCCATTGTGCTGGACTATAGCCTCCATAGAGTTGAGTCTCAGCCAATACATGTACATGACCGACCAACAACGACAACGGTGGTGGAGCATCTTCTTCTGCAACCTTTTGTTGGGTAGAATCCCTGTTGGTAAACGTTAAGCGTTTTGAGTGGACTATTATTACTTCACCACACTCCTCGACATCATGCTTTCGTTTGAGATAGCATCTATACTTGTGCAGTATTGAAGTAAAATCCTGTTCTGGTATCAGAAACTCTTGTCCAGATTCAGCTAACCGTTGCCTATACATACAACTTATATTAGTCCAAGTAATTTAAAGACGTTAAAATATTTTTCTAGGATTGAGAGAATTTAAATATATAAACAATCCACACACACACACACACACATTTCTATATATGACCTTTGGATCCTCATGGAATCAGGAGCGATGGGCATTTCTCTTTCCTCTGCATTATTGTTGCGCATAGCTTTGGCTTCCTGCTGAAGGCGATTTTCCGTTGTTAGTGCAGAAAAGGCTTGGGCATACGCACAAAGCTCCTCAAGCATATCCGATCTCCCCAATGTCAACTCAGTTAATGAATGGGTCAAGCCTCCCAAGTCTTCCTCGTATACTAAACGGGCTCCACAGAGTTCAACCTCTACTGCTGAGTTGGTGGTTCTAAAGAATGCCCTAATAACCTGACATTGACTCCACACATGTTGTTGAAAATACACACGTGGCACGTGTAACACAACAAGTTCATGGGACCTTGTAACTTTCTGAGGGAAGGGAATGTTTATCGGGACACATCTTGGTATTCTGCTGCTTTCTTGGTCACACAAATCAACACAAAGGAAGGAGGGAAGATGGAAGAGACTCGAAATGGATTGACGCCAAGAAAATATAACATATAGTTCTAATCCTACCCATCTGCTTTCATCAAACAAGTTTTGAGGAAGGTCACACAGTGCTACATTCCCCAAGTAGTGATTGTCGAACCAGTTCGGAATTACTACTACTTCATGACAAAAGCTAAAAAATAAATCCTTCGTGCGTCCATTGTGGCCCTGTCGATGTAAAGCGCACAAGTAACTAATTAATTAATGGCTAAAACCTTCAAAAATCAACTGCCTTAAGCATAAATTTTGATTTTTTTCCTTTGTACATTATTCTAACACACGCATATATAGAAATGGAGACAGTGGGAGTAACCTCATAGAGCTTTGAAAGCAACGATTGTACTGGTGGGATGCTAGAATCAGTACTAGCTGTGGTAGAGCTGCTGCTGCTGCCCTGATTCACAGTTGAAGTTGACGGTGGTTCCCGTAGACGGTAATCAAGTATCGTCACGTCACCAGAACTTTCCAATTTCATCACCTCATCTAACATATGCTTACAATGTGGACCAAAATTCGAATCGAGGTGTTGATTAGCAGTCTGACTTAAATCTTGGGCAAATTTTGCCGCATCTTGATGGGAGATTAAACGTATTCCGCACCCTTTCACTCTCAAACTGGGTCGATTTGTTGAGACTGATGCTCGAAGTACTCCTTGGTTTGCTTTTTTCAAATTCCCTGCAAATTTGCGTGCCGGCTTATAGCAACAAACTGCATGCGACCCAACTACGAAGTTTTCAAAGTTTCCAATGACTACTCGATTTTGAAGACGACCATCCGAGGCGTGAAAATGACAGAAGGTCTCTTCCATTTCCGAACTCTGCTCAAGAATTTCGAAAAACACAAAAAGGACGACTCCCATCCATATACTATCTTCTGGATCTGATAGTTGAATTGTTACAGAAGTCCCACCCGAATACTCACTGCACCAGTCTGGAATTCTAGTATACGGAACACGAATTTCAAAATCTTGCTGACGATCAATCAGATCCTGTACAAAATAAGAAAAACAATAACATTATATACATATATCATGTATGTATGAGCAGCCCCAGGATCCCTTTTTGCAATTCACTAAAAGAGGTCGTAGGTGATCCAACCTGATATAGGATCATTATATGTATGTATGTATATATGTACATATAGAAAATTCCCCTATTGGGCTGGAACTGGAAGGCGCCTTAAGGGAACTTACAAATGTATATATGTTGAGAGAGAGAGAGAGAGAGACCTCAAAGTATTTAGGAAAGAATTGTTCAAGATGCTCTTCATGAATTGGCAGTGGGTGGTGGATTATCTCATCTTCAACTCCCTCTGATTCTTGGCAATCTATGAAACAGATACCATCATCAGATGTCCATATGTTCAGGGTTTTTGGATAGTTTGTCTGCGAAGGACAACCATGTGCATCCAAATGTTTTAGGCTCGGTGGAAGAGGTTTTGGCAACAATCGCAGATTGCAACAATTGAACAAGGTAAGTTCTGTAAGCTCAGAAAGTTGAGATATGCTTTCAGGTATGCTCTCAAAATTGTTTTCACTCAAACCTAAACTCCGCAATGAGGATAAGCATATGCCAATATCATCAGGAATTGCTCCTTCTCCTAGACCGCATCCGCTAAGATTTAAGTATACCAAAGAGGATAAACCCGAGAACGAGTGAGGGAGCTGCAAACCTGTACAACCAAATAAACATAACCGTTGGAGGTTCTTCAGAAGTAAAATAGACAAAGGCAATCTTCTTATGGCTGTTTGACAGGCATCAAGCTCTTTTAAAAGTTCCAGGCTCCCTATGTTTTCTGGCAGTTGGTCAATCAGTGAGCAGCCTGACAGAAATAGATATTTCAAGGATGCCAAACTGCAAATGATGCTTGGAACATTCAAAAGGTTCTTGCATTCTCTTAGATTTAACACAATAAGGCCAGTCAAGTGCTTGATTGATAGCGGCAACTCCCTTACCCCGGTCCCATCTAAATGAAGTTCTGACAAGTGTCCCATGTTTCCCACAATCTCTGGAAAACTTTCGAGTCTTGAACATCCTGAAAGAACAAAATTTTGAAGAGATTCCAAGCAAATGGAATGGGGAAGGCTCTCTAGACATTCACAACCCTTCAAGTTCAACGAAACCAGATGTTGGCGATCCCAAATTGTTGCGTGAAGCTCTGATAACTTCTCACAACCTTCAAGAGTCAAACCCATAAGATTTGGGACCTTACTGAAGTCTGGGGTCTTGGTCAAGCATTTGCAGTTGGAAAGATCGATTAGCGTCAACTTTTCCATCATAGGAACGCGCTGTTATGAAGGCAAGAAAACAGTAGTAATTAAACAAACTTATTGTAGTAATTAGCTTTGGAATTAATAATTTCTGTCTAATTGAATGCAAGAAAAACATATATAATTAAGTGAAAAGTTACCGTAGTACCATTTCATGCCATAGTTGTTTAATGCGGCTGTTAGGCAACCTAAGTTCAACAAGGGAAGATGGCCGAAAACTTGGGGGTAGGGACTCTGAAGGATATTCATGCCATTCCAAAAGCCGTAACTGTCTAGAGAAATATTCAGGACATTCAGAAAAGTTGGCATTACAAATCTTCAACAATTTTAGTCCGCGCATATTTGAGAATGGATCAGCATCCAACTCTATCTCTTCCTTTGCAGGCAAGGTTAGGAACATTCCGTGAACAGCAATTGTTCCCTATACCACAAAATCATAAAGGTTCAAGTGTAAGATGTATAAGAATTATTGCATCTGAAAAGTTTAGGTTTGTTTCAAAATGAGCAAATATGCATACTATGTTTTACGGATTGATATATACAAAGGCAGTCATAAAATTTAGGTTTGATATATCATATGGTTATTGTAGTGAAGCATGTATATATGGTGCCTACATGTAGCATATTATTTAATATCCTACCAAATTATCCTCGAGTACAGTGTTGACGTCATCCCACGACCTGCTATCTTTATACTCCGAGACATTCTCACTAACCCATAATCTGCTGCGTTTGCCTGGCTCAGAAGATTCTCCATGAACAATGCTCCAACCCATTTGTTGTAGTAAATCATGCATCCACAGTCTGTTTCCTCTATTAATTTTAACTAGACATTTATCCTGGAGGACCCTAATACCGATTGTTGGATGAAAGTGACAAGCATCCAAAATTTTATCTACACCATTGTGATCTTCTCCTTTGAAGAAACATGCAATGTCCAAGAAGATTTGCTTCTCTGTTTCCTCTAATCCATCGTAACTTATTCGAAGTGCAGGAAAAATGTCTTTGTCATCAGGATCTTTTTTCAGTTTAGCAAATTTACTCTCCCATTCAGCCACCGTTTTCCCACACAAGGCGCCACCCAGAACTTCAAGAGCTAAAGGGAGGCCATTGGTATATTTGACAAAACCCTTGGACAGCTTTGTGTAGTCATCAGCCATCTCATGGCCTTTCTTGAAGGCTTTCTTACAGAAGAGCTGAAAGGCTTCTTCATCGTTCAGTTTCTCAACCTCAAATATGTGGTACGCTCCATATGCCTTCAACAATTGCTCATTTCTAGTCGTTATAATGACTCTGCTTCCTCGACCCAACCAATCATTTCCAACTAAAGCTTGTACTTGTTTCTGATGATCAACATCGTCCAGAACGATAAGCACCTTTTTAGTACGCAGTCGTCTCTTCAATGAACTCATTCCCATATGGACATTATGTATGTCATCCCCGGAGCAACAGAGTAGTTTTTCGAAAAGAACGTTCTGCAAGGAAACTAGACCCTGTTTTTCAGATTCCTCTCTGACATCGTGAAGAAAGTGGCTAGTTTGAAACTGGTTGCGGATCTTGTTATACACTAGTTCCGCCAGAGTTGTCTTGCCAATGCCCCCCATCCCCCAAATCCCTATGGTACGAACATCATCACGCTCCTTAAGATCCAAAAACAACTCCATTTTCTCTATACGAGGACCCATTCCAATTAAATCTTCGCCAAATGACGGCATGCGGTGTAATATAGTTGAAATCTTATCGGCTATATCTTGAGTAACTTCTGCTTCCTTACTGAAAACAGAATACAAATTAGATAATTTATAAAGCCTAGATAAGCCAATAATTAAGAAAACTATATATAAATCCAAAAGCATCAGTGCTACAATTATTTTTATCGTAGTAAATTTTGCCACTGATGACTCTTGCAACAAGAGAGTAAACAGCTGCCTTTCTTTGTTTTTTTCCAGTGTTTCGTTTTGGTTTGGTTTGGTTTGGTTTGGTTTAGTTTGTCACTGATGACTCTTGCAACTAAATTTGAAAATAAAATTTCCATTACGTTCACTTTCTCACTGAAAAAAGAAGAGGAGAGTTGTGTGCATATTCTTTTAGAACAAAAATTTCTCTTATTTTCCTTTCTTTTTCCATATTTTACTTCTTTAGGAACAAAACCCCTTTCGTTGATTGTTTGTCCAAAAATTGATGATTTCATTGAAAAAAAAATATGCAAATGACAAAATTAACCTCAATAAAGTATATGCAATCTAATCTCAAAGGCCAATTTTATCATTTGGAGAATTTTGTTTTGTATAAAATCATCAATTTTTGGATGAAAAATCAATGAAAAGGAGTTTTGTGAAAACAATTTAAAACCTCAAGGAGTGTTCATATAATTTCTAACACTCAAGGAGTTTTGTGAAAAAACCGAAAACTTCAAGGGTATTAGTGTAAATAACTCTTAAGGATTTGCCGCAAATGATTTCGTGTATATCTTTGTCACAAATATATAGCGGTGTTAAATCTTGTTATAGGTAAATATTTATGAGGCGTTTGGTATCCTATTCAAATAGGGAACTCAAAAACTTTGATTTTTCTTAAAAACAAGGAGTTCTTCAATCTATTTTTAAGATTCAAAAACTTATTTAGTATGTAACTTGAAAACTGTTTTCAAATCTTAAAAATTTGAGAACTTGTGAGTTGTTAAAAAAAACTGAAAAAACAGATATTTTTTGTTTTTAATAATTGTGGTGTTTTTTTAGTTGTTCTTGAGTTTGAGTTTTTAAAAATAGGGCTACCAAACAGGTTTTCTTTGTTTTGGCCTTAAATTCTGTTTTTGAATTTAAAAAGTTGGATTCAAATTGAATATCAAAGAGGCTCTTAGGGATCTAACAAGTAAATAGTTGGAAAATGTGGATAATATACTTTGTGTGTCATAATCTTCACAAATTTGAGAATGCTTTTTATAATTACGTTAAATTTCTTTTTTATATCTTTGTTATAGAGGTTGGTTAATTCGCACCTGTTGGTCATGTTATATGTCTTTAGTGCTGCCTGTTTTTTTTTTTTTTTTTTTTTTTTTTTTTTTTTTTTTTTTGTATTTGGATGCAAGTGCATCCAACAACCATTAAAGCATTGAACATTCGAAATCTATAATTTAAAATTAATTTTCCTTATACCTCTCGACATAAAAAAATATGTAATAAAGTATTTGTATCTAAATTTAAAAATTAAAAAATTTCGGGTTAAGATATATATATATCATATATCTAAAAGCTAATTAAAGTCCCATACATCACCTTCGAGTTTCAATATTTTGTTAATTGAAGGTGATAAAATATATTTTGTTAATGGGCATATATAAGATTACTTTAAAGTTTTAAGTAATTGAAGAAGTTAACTAGGTACCTGTCTTTATCCAGAACCCAACCCCAGATAGCGGCTATTTCCCCTAAAGCTTTCCTCCACTTGTCCACCTTCTCCATATTGCCCTTGAAATTTTCTTCATGTTTAGCAAAGGCCTCGCTAAAGTTTCCAGTTTGATGTCTCACCTCGGATGGCTTGACGTGATAGAAAACCGGGAAAACATGGAGTTTCCTCTCTTTCATGCCTTCAGCAATATGCGCAAGTTCATCTAAACACCATCCTGAAGAAGCATAGTCCTCTGAAAGAATGACGACTGCAAATCTAGATTCTTCAATAGCTTTCAACAGTACTGGGCCAATCGATTTTCCCCTCTTCAGGTTTTCCTCATCCCTAAAGGTACCAATTCCTTTCTGGATCAAAGCATGGTACAAATGGTCCGTAAAACTAGTTCGGGTGTCTTCACCTCTAAAACTGAGAAACACATCATGTGTCCATATAGTAGGGGTTGAAGAAGCGGAGGAAGCCATTTAGGTGCTGATGAATGGGTCGCAGACGAAACCTAAGAAGACGAAGAAGAAGAAGATCAAGCAGGAAGGGGGAAAAAAAAACAAGCAGAAAATAGGAGGAGGAGGAGAAGGAGAAGGTTGAAAGAAAGGAAAATTTTTTTTTTTTTTTTTTTTTTTTTTTTTTTTTTTTTTTTTTCTTTAGATGCTTCTATGAAATGGGAAACTTAATTGATAGCTAAAAAGGCAGCTGAAATTAATTAAGTTGCTTCAAGTAAGAGTTCAATCTCTTTTGTTGCGTTGATATCGATGAAATTGTTGTGTTGATATCGATGAAATTGTTGTGTTGTTTTATGATATTAATTTTTTTTTTTTTTTTTTTTTTTTTTTTTTTTTTTTAGTATTTTTGCATTAGATTATGTGAGGCCCCAATTTAAGTTCGCACAGAGCTCTCAAAATCTCAAAGATGGCCTTGATCTAATCCCTACACCCCTGCAAAGCTCCCATCCGAGTAATCTCAACTCACCAACCACCATGCAACCAAAAACCAACTTCAACCACAACTACTAACACCAACAATCAGATCCAGTCCCACAGTGCCAATGAATGATACACATCAAAACTGAAATTTGGGGTTTAATCAACCACAATATTTATACAATAAGTACACGGATATTTTCTGTTTATACCAAAATGAACAGCCAATGAATATCAAACACGTGGGCTAAACCAAGGCCAGGTGTGCCTTCGGCACCCACCTTCGGTACCGAACCTACCGATCGCAACATTAGGGCAACCTCGCCCCCTTTGACGCGTGGCAGTCCCACAACTTACGGCATACTGTCTATTGATCTGCAGTTCAAACTTATTAAACCCGTACTTACTTAAGCATCGGAGAGTCTTCGGCCGGTACCACACCGGTGCCCTAGGACTTACCGTGTGTTTGCTATCTTACAGATCGCACACCCTACCGAGGACATCAGATACCGAAGAGACTAAATCACTAAGTTGCGCGGGAAAGTGCCGAACCATTTTTCTGCGTCAACAGTTTGGCGCCGTCTGTGGGAAACGATAAAATCAAACCTACAATTCCTAAACAAAACAAATGGGAACCACTTCAGGACCACAGTTCCTATCGGAGGATGGATTACCGTACGGTATGCCAAGTGGAGCAAGCCCCGCGCTGCACCCTAGCACCCCCTTCGGTAATCCTCCTGCGCTTCAGACCACGGTCGAAGCGGAGCTTCTGGCTCAGATGACCTCCCTTCGAAAGGAGATGGCTAAACTCCAAGAACGTAATAATCTCCTTTCGTCCAAAGTAGACGAAACCCAATGGTTGCTTAATCAGCAGGAAACACAAAACGTTCAGACCACCGAATCTTCCCAGAGTCAGCAGACCCCCGGTCGGCAGAGGAAGGGAAAGCAGGGGGCAAAGGCAACGCCTGCGCCCTCCAAACAGCTGGTGGTCCCGGCACCCCAGGCCCAACCTCACGTACCGAAGAAGGTGTACACCGATTGTCGTCATCGGATCAACGACAAGAAGGATGCCGAACGGCATAGGTCCCCAATCAGAGTGAACGCCCGCTTGAGGGACTCCCGGATGAGAGTCCTGGGGGATAAATCGCCCCTTCGGAGGGCTCAGGGTTTGGATTCGGCGCTGGAGTCCGATGATGAGTACATCCCCACTAGGGGCACCGAATCAAGCTACCGTTCGGAAGCTCCCCCGGAATACTCGAAGGCGAGATCACCAAGTCAGAGGAAAACTTCCGAAGACTTCGGTTCCGAGGGCGTCCCAAGCCGAGACCCCGCTATCTGGCTACTTTTCCAAAGAATCCAGAAGATGGAGGAGGACCAAACCCGGTCCCAAGTCCCTGACTGGGGAAAACTTCGGCCGGGACCATTTACCGAGCGCATCAAGAAGTCCAGACCGGACAGGGAGGTGCAGCCGTTGCGCATAACCTTCTATACCGGTGTGGAGGACCCTTTGACGCACCTTCACTCCTTCCAATCGGCAGTTGGGTGTAAGGGCCTCGGCGACGAGGGGCAATGTCTGCTGTTTCCGTCATCCCTTACCGGAGCTGCCCTGAACTGGTTCTACCGTCTCGAACCAGGGACGGTAGACTCCTTTGACGAGCTGAAGCAAATTTTCCTCAACCACTTCATGATCCAGACCGACCGTTTGTACTCTGCCGACGATCTGTACACGATTCGGCAGAGGGAAGACGAACCCTTACGGGAATACGCGGCGCGCTTCAGTCACGAGTACTCGAGGTGTCCCGAAACGGACGATAGGGCAGCCTACGGCGCCTTCAAGAGTGGCCTACGGTCCTCTCACTTCCGGTACCTCGTGCACAGTAGCAACTGGCGCACGTATGACGAGTTAATGAAGCAGGCGGCAGTCCATGCGAAGGCCGAATACTTCAATTCCAAACCCGGGCCTTCGGCTCGGAAGGAGGAATCGGCCACCAAAAGTTATCCGGGCCGAACCGACGACTCGTCGGCAGGACACAAACGGAAGGACGACCGTGATAGCCGTCAGGGAAACTCCAAGAAAGGACGTGGGAAGTACGGTCGTAACGACCACCGGGCGCCCCTACCGAATCACGATCGTGCTCAGGAAGTCTTCACCCTGCTGAACACGACGTACGAAACCGTTCTAATGAACGAACATGACCAGATCCCGAAGCCAACCAACCGAAAGCCCAATCGGCAGGATAATCGGGACACTGGCAAATTCTGCCGATATCACCAGTAGAACAGCCACAATACCGAAGATTGCATCAGTCTGAGGAAAATTGTCGAGCGTCTGATTCGGGAAGGAAAGTTGGATCAGTACCTCGCCAGGCCACCGCAGGCCCCAGCACCGAACGCAAATCGGCAGATCAACATGATCAACACGATCAGCTGCGGCCCCACCCTGGCGGGACCCTCTAACCGTTCGATGAAGCAGTATGTGCGTGCCGCCCACTGCCCTCAGGTCTTTGGCATAGAGGACGATCGGTGCCGAAAGCTGCCGAAGGTGGGATGGGAGCCCATCACATTTTGTAAAGAAGAGGAGGAGGGGATCATCTACCCCCACGACGACCCAATGATCATTCGGGCCGAGATCGCCGATTACGATGTGGGTCGGGTGCTGATTGACACCGGAAGCTCGGTGAACGTGATCTTTGCCGATGCGTTCAAAGGACTGGGGATTGCCGAGGGCATGGTCAATCGGCAAATCACGCATCTACTCAGTTTTTCTGGAGATCTGGTCCAACCAGTCGGTAGCATCAGTCTGCCCATCGCCTTCGGCGTCGCCCCCAGGAAGACCATGACCTACGATCAATTCCTCATTGTTGACTGCCCAACGGCATACAACGTCATCATAGGACGAATGGCACTCACCAGGGTCAAAGCCCACTTATCTCCACACATGTTGCTGATGAAGTTCCCGACACGCAACGGTACCGGAGTCATCCGGGGCGATCAGCTCAGCGCACGGACGTGCTACGCCACGGCCCTTAAGTCGGTAGCCAGCAAACCGCCAATGGAAGCCATGACCGTGCAGGGGCTACCGATCGGTAGCGAACTTATTGACGACCCCAGGGAGGAAAACCCAACGCCGATGGCACAGCCCGCCGAGGAGCTCGAGACCATAATCCTAAACGAGGAATTCCCTGATCGGTCGGTGAAGATCGGCACCAATCTGGATCCCGACCTCCGAAGACAGTTCATCGATTTCTTACGCCCACAAACCGGTCAGGCAAAAGCGCCGATCGTACGATGCCGAACGGTACGAGGCAATGCGTGCCGAAGTTGACAAGCTCAAAGCCATCGGCTTTATCAGGGAAGCTACGTACCCTGTTTGGCTCGCCAACTCAGTCATGGTTCGGAAGGCCAGGGGAGGATGGCGGATGTGTCAGGACTATACCGACCTAAATAAGGCTTGTCCAAAGGACAGTTTCCCTTTACCAAGGATCGACCAGCTCGTTGACGCCACCGCCGGGCACGAGCTGCTCAGCTTCATAGACCCTGCCGATAGAGAACATACGGCATTCATCACGGATCGCGGTTTGTACTGTTACAATGTCATGCCCTTCGGCCTGAAGAACGCGGGGGCAACTTACCAACGGCTCGTCAACCGGATTTTTGCTAAATACATCGGCGGCATTATGGAGGTGTATGTCGACGACATGTTGGTAAAAAGCCGAACGGCAGGGGATCACCTGGAAAACTTGGCCCTCATGTTCGGTATTCTAAAGGACTACCGAATGAGGCTGAATCCGGTGAAGTGCGCCTTCGGAGTATCTTCCGGTAAATTTCTCGGGTTCATGATCAGTCAAAGGGGAATCGAGGCCAATCCCGAGAAAATAAAAGCCATAATTGACATGGAGACGCCGAAGACGCAGAAGGACATTCAGAGCCTTACCGGACGTGTCGCTGCCTTGACACGCTTCATCTCCAAGGCTACCGATAAATGCGTGCCGTTCTTCAAAGCTTTGAAAGGGGGCAAACATCATATAACATGGACTCCCGAATGCGACCAGGCATTTCAAAACTTGAAGAACTACATGAGCCAGGCACCACTGTTATCAAAACCGCTCCCAGGCGAGGTACTACTCCTATACCTTTCGGTATCCAACACTGCCGTTAGCTCGGTGTTGATAAGGAAGCTGGAGAAGGCGGAGCTACCGATCTTTTATGTTAGCAAGGCGCTCTAGAGCGCAGAGCTTCGATACCCACCCTTAGAGCAGCTAGCACTGGCCCTGGTCGTCTCGGCGCGAAGACTTCGCCCTTACTTCCAGGCTCACGAGATCACAGTTCTGACAAACCAGCCTCTTCGGCAAGTGCTCCAAAAGCCGGAAACATCTGGCCGATTGGTCAAATGGGCAATCGAGTTGGGGGAGTTTGACATACAGTTCAAGCCCAGGCCTGCAGAAAAAGGCCAAGCCGTTACCGACTTCATCTCCGAGCTCACACCTCCTGCGCTATCAGAGCCATCATCGCCGAGTTGGTGTTAACCAGCAAGGCTGTGGCGCCGGCAAACCAGCAAGGCTGTGGCGCCGGGTTGGTGTTAACCACTCCTGACGGTAACAAAATCAAGTATGCCCTCCGATTCAACTTCCGGACCTCCAATAACGAGGCAGAGTATGAGGCCCTCCTGGCTGGCCTTCGGCTAGCCCAGAGCATGAGCGCGAGGCAGATCAGCATTCACAGCGACTCCCAGCTCATAGTAAATCAGATAACGGCAGACTTCGCAGCAAAGGATGCCTCCATGTCAGCCTACCTATCGGCAGCCCACCAACTACTACAAAAATTCCAGGCCTACGAGATACGGCAGATCCCCAGGTCGGAAAACAGCCATGCCGATGCGCTCTCACGATTAGCCTCGGCAATAAATGACAAGATCGGAAGGAAGGTACCAGTGGAGATATTGTCCCAACCGAGTACAACCGCCGCTGAGGTATGTACCGTTCGGTACGAAGACACATGGATGTCTCCGATCTATGCCTACCTGACAGCCGGAACCCTTCCTACCGATAAGTCTCAAACTCGGAAACTTCGTTATCGATCGGCAAGATACACAGTCATCAACGATGTTCTGTACAAACGGGGCTACACGACGCCGTATTTAAAATGCCTGACCAAGGAGCAGGGGGACTACATCCTTCGGGAGGTCCACAGTGGAATCTGCGGTGACCACTCTGGATCCCGATCGCTCGCACACAAGGTCTTCCGGCAGGGTTATTTCTGGCCAACTCTGCACCAGGATGCGAACACACTAGTCAGGAAGTGTGACAAATGCTAGTGGTTTGGTAGTGTCCCTCATATTCCTGCCGAGCCGCTATCACCGATCGTGAGCCCGTGGTCGTTCGCCCAGTGGGGACTAGATCTAATTGGTCCGATGCCAGAGGGCAAGGGTCAAGTCAAATACGCTGTTGTTGCCGTAGACTACTTCACCAAATGGGTAGAAGCCAAAGCCCTATCGACAATAACGGCAGCCAGAGTCGAAGATTTCGTGTGGACGAATATTTGCTGCCGGTTCGGCATCCCCTACGCCATCGTCACGGATAACGGCAGGCAGTTTGATTCGGAAGTCTTTCGGGAATTCTGCACCCGACTGAAGATCAACCTATTCTTTGCTTCGCCAGCACACCCCCAATCGAACGGACAGGTCGAAGCCATGAACAAAATTGTCAAGAAACTGTTGAAACGGCAGCTTGACAAAGCCAAAGGGGCCTGGCCGGAGAAGCTTCCAGAGGCGTTGTGGGCCATCCGGACATCATACCGAACGGCAACAGGGGAAACACCATTCTCTATGGCTTTCGGTTCAGAGGCCGTAGTCCCAGTGGAAATCGGAGAGCCTTCTTACCGAACGGAAACCTTCGCACCAAAGGCGAATGAGGAAGCGTTTGCTTTGAGCCTCGACCTGCTCGAAGAACGCCGAGCACAAGCCAACCTTCGGAACGAAGCTTACAAGCAACGCGTCTCCCGGTACTATGACTCCAGGGTCAGATCCCGCTCTTTCCGAATCTTCCTGGGAGGAACCCTACGGAAGGAACCCTCGGACCTTCCTGGGAGGGACCCTACGAAATCATCGGTATCCAGCGATCGGGGACTTACCGACTCAGAGACTCCAACGGAAAGACCCTCGGTCATCCTTGGAATGTAGAGCATTTGAAGTACTATTTCAAATGAAGTCACCTGGCCTACGGCAGGGTCACGGAGGAGTCCCAAAAGCCTTCGGCATCTCTACAAGCACAGCCTACGGCATTATAGCGTTTCCTAGCCAACGGCGGGTTCTAAATTGTAAAAGGCACTCCTAATTGTACTCTTACCTTCGGCAGTTTATCAATGAAAGGGCCTTCGGCTCATATATTCAGAACTTTTGTTGTACCTTTCAATCACTCCATTTTTGTCAAAAAAAAAGGACCATCGGTCGCAGTAATCTACACATTTTGGCATCGCCATTATCCTACCGATTAAGGGTCAACTTTGTAGACTTTATTGACCTTTATAGGCTTTCGGTAATTACGGGCCGTTGCCTTGCCATCGGCAAGCACGCCTATTGGTTTCAATTCCCTAACATTTGAACCTTTTTCCGTAAAAGGAAACTTTACTGGCCAACGGCCAATAACTTTTGTTTGAGAGCCTTCGGCATTAAACAGAAAAAATTTCCTAAGTACGTTACCGATTCATAAGTAAGATGCAACTAACTTAAAATGAAAACATAACTTTAATAAAAACATGCCCACGACATTAATTATCCAAACAAAATATGCCAACGGCATCAGAGTTGCAACGAAATTACAAAAATGCCCTCAGCATCAAAGTTACATTAAATAAAGGCAGGTGATCAGGATGAAGTGCCCTCGGCATCCACCCCTTCGGCGCCAGCGGCTTCGGGATCCTCCGAAGCGTCTTCCCCCTCGTACTCCTCGATCATCTCTTCTGTAACGCCTTCGGGAAGGGGAGGAGGATCGGCAATGAAGTTCAAGTTGAGCTTCGTCCCAGGATTGTACCGCTTGAATCGGTAGATGAGATCCACCATCTCCGAGCCCACCTCCTTGTCGAGCAAGGTGGAGAAATCGGGAGAGTGGCGATACTTCTGAATGGCCTCCCGGACGGCAGCCTCAATCTCCGACGCTTTGGCCCGCTCCGACTCCTCCAGAGCCACCTCAACGGCTTCCTTCGCCTCCAGAGCCTCTTTGGCCGACAACTGTGCAGACTCCAGGGCTGACGACAGATCTGCGAACTTGGACTCATATACCCTGACCTGCCGTTCGGCAGCTTGCAAATCCTTCGCCAAGTTCGCATGGTCCTGGATAGCCTTGCCAGCCTCGGCAACCCTGGCCCTGCCGTCTTCATAGGCCTTCTTCGCCTTCTCAGCCGCATTGATGACCCGCTTCATGCAGAGCCACATGTCCATCGAAGCCTGCAGAACAAAGGGCACGTCAGCCAAGGTATAAAAAATGATCGGTAATCTGGACCTGGAAATGTTCTGGACTTACCGATGCCTGAAGACGGAAGGCGCGACCCGCCTTCTCTCGAAGAAGCTACTTCGGCAGCTCCTCGATCTCGTTCAGCTCCATTTGCGAACCAATGATCATATGGTTCGCGAACTGAACCGTCTTCGACGGACAGGCCAGGGTGACGGGATCGGCAGGCTCCTCGTCGTTGTCAGCAGCGAAGATGGCCAGAGTCGGCTCGGCCTGCCGTCCGCGTTTTGGGGCTGGTTCGGCATCTAGGTCGACGATGAAGGGCCGTTTGCCGGCAGCTCAGGAGGAAGTCCCTTCGGTAGTAGCGCCTCGGCGGGGAGAAGGGCCGACCGCTGCCGCCCCGGTCTGTGCTGAATCGGCGTTGAGCTCACGGAGACGGTCAGCCAGCGTGTGGTCCTCCGGGTCTACCGATGCCGAGCCCTGCGGCTGGGTTTTCTTCTTCTTCCCCTGAAAGCCCATCATGAGACGGCGCTTGGAGGACTCGTTCATCCTCTTAGCCTCAGCAGCTCTCCTCTCTTCCGTCACTGCGAGAAAAGGGTTCGGTAAGACCCGCAAAAGAAGAAAAGAAACAATTTGTAAATTACAAAGTATACTTACTCTCTGCAGGATCGACCAGCTGGGCCCGAATCAGATTGGTGGTGAAGAGGAACTGCGGATACACCCTCTCCTCGGCAGGGACTTTCCTCCTCACTCTCTCCACTTGCTGGATCTCGGCCTGCATTGCGATCGGCTGCTTCAGCTTACCTACAAGAAGAACAGAAAGGAAGGATCACTTACGGTAAACAGAGAACCCAAAGAAGGTACCGAACGGCACGTGGTCCTACCGGCCATTTGGAAGGTTGTGGGAATGCGAAATCGGACAGGCTGTCCCGAAGGCGACTCCCAGTCGCCCGAGAGAAGCACCAGCCGATTCCTCCACGACTTCTGTGAAGTCGGTACCTAGCTGACAAAGTGGCCACGATCGGCAGCCCTGAGGCAGTTCGCCTGCACCCATCCGCCGTGATCGGCACACTTGGACTTAGTAACGCTGTAGAGATGGGAGAACTGCTCATAGGAGGGGCTCCCTTCGCCAGCCATGCTGAAGGCCGTTATCACTCCCATGAGGGCCACCCAGAAGTTGGGGTTGAATTGCCCTGGGGCGTAGCCGAACTGGGCTAGAATCCTCTGTACCGCCGGCTGCAACGGCAACCGAACGCCTTGCACAAGGACGTCGGTAAAGAAGACTACTTCGCCGTCCTTCGGCGCGCTAAGGGATTCGGTAGGTCCCGGGATCCTCATCCGTACCGAGTCGGGAATGTGGTATTCTGCCCGAAATTTGGCAATCTCCCGATCGGTAATCTTGTTCGGCCCAAGATAGTCGACGCCGAATAAGTTTTCCTTCAGCACCCCCATGGGCATCCTAGGGTTGCTTGGGTACACTACCGATACCCTGGGCCCAGATGGCGGTTTAGCTGCCGACTCTCCACGGCCGGAGGTGGAGGTCTCTGACTGACGGCTACCGCTCGCCTCACCAGGCATACCGAGGCCCACGTGGCGGCCGTCACTATAGACGATTGACAACGGGACGGGAGCGGTCATTAGCCCCTTTCCGACTCCGTGTGTCGGAATGGAGCCGGGCCCTTTGCCGAGTATCTCGACGTCAGTATCACTCCCGCCCTCGGCATCAGGCCTGCCGCTTCGCCGTCGGAGTCAAAGAGACCGTCCGATGACTCCTCGTCGAACGCATTGGGTTCGCGCTCGGAGAATGACTCGCTATCAGACATCTACAAAAACAGGAAAAAGGGAAACTAAGGCTCATGCCGGATGCTATCCTACCGATCCCTACATCGCTACCTATGGCGACTAGACTACCGAATGGAACCCTATGGTCAGTCTAGTTCGAACCAAGGAAGGACGTAACCCTTAAAGCATGCAACAGATTAAAGAGAAAAGTACCGAACGGTACCTTAAGGTGTACTGTGGAAGATAAGCGCGATCTGCTCTTCAGAATGCTTCACTACCGTTCGAAACGCCGGAAATCGCCTGGTTACTGTTAACACACGTCGGAAATCGCCTAATTACCGGAAGCCCTCGTCGGAAATCGCCTCAGACAGAACTCTCACTTCTCACTAGATGCAAAGTGAGTTCGCCTCTGGGATCATCTCTATTTATAGGAGGGGTGATTGGCAACGGTACTCCTCGAAAAACCAAACGGCGCATTAATGCGCCGCGCGCCATCATTACTTTCGCCACGTGTCGCTCATCCTGTGGGGAACAGACGGCACGCGAGGCGCGGAAGTCGAAGCGCTCAGACGTCCCTTCGCCCGTCAGCTCGACGCGACCTTCTGACTTCACCAACGTCAACCTCTGAGCTGGTAATGCCGGAAGGGACAAGGTTTAGCCCCTTCCCCAAGTCGGGTTACCGAACGGTAGGGCCATGGTTCTTTCCGAAGGCAACTTCAAATCCCCTTCCGAGGACTCTCGCAAGGGGACTTGGGGGACTCCTGTTTATACCAAAATGAACAGCCAATGAATATCAAACACATGGGCTAAACCAAGGCCAGGTGTGCCTTCGGCACCCACCTTCGGTACCGAACCTACCGATCGCAACATTAGGGCAACCTCGCCCCCTTTGACGCGTGGCAGTCCCACAACTGACACCCAGAGTCCCACATCGAAACTCCAAACAAATTGCACACCTCCCAAGGCCTATAAAAGAGGACAACCATCCCAGCTTGAAGGTAATCAATCAGAACTTACGGCATACTGCCTATTGATCTGCAGTTCAAACTTATTAAACCCGTACTTACTTAAGCATCGGAGAGCCTTCGGCCGGTACCACACCGGTGCCCTAGGACTTACCCTGTGTTTGCTATCTTACAGATCGCACACCCTACCGAGGACATCAGATACCGAAGAGACTAAATCACTAAGTTGCGCGGGAAAATGCCGAACCATTTTTCTGCGTCAACATGTTCCAAAATATCCCTCTCCCCAAAAACGATAATATCTGCTAAAATATGAAAACTATGAAAGAATATTGATAATATTGATTAATTGATCACAATCACAAGATGATAATATTGAATATCAGATTGCCAGACGAGCTCGCTCGCTCCCAAGTTCCTTCCTAACCCAATCTTAATCTTATTCAACTTTGCTTTTCAGTTTTGAGAATGAACCCACATGGCGACAAAGAGCATGATCTATCAGATCAACTGATATTTTCCATGACGATATTCACAATTACGTGCCAGGATGTCCAACAAAGACAACGCTTTAATCAATCACACACAATCCTATTTCTTCCACGTCTTTGTCTTTTCCTCCAGCAATATATACTGCGATTGTGTGATACATACAATTACAATGAAAAGAGCAATGCATGCAGTGATCGATGTCTGATATCTGATGATGTCTCATATCTGATATCTGATATCTGATATCGATTGGGATATAAATATATATATATGGGAAGACGAAGAAACCCAAGCCCTCATACATACGCAACGCACCCCTCAGATTTCTTATCTTCTCTTTTCTACATATATCTACATCTACTTGTACATGCTGAAAGTGATTACATTAACATATACGGCACTTACACATGCATGCATATGTTATACATGTACCTTGTACGTATATATATATACACGAGGACCAGCCATTGCTCTTTTGTATTTTTCTTTTTCCTCTTTTATTAAACTAAACTAATAATGACGTCCTAGCTTACACAACAATCCCATATGTTTCTGAAAAAATGCATTAACTTATAATAAGTGGTTCCACTCTTACTAACGCCGATGCCTTTTGTGATGAAATCTCATACCTATTGGGTTTTGTATGTGGTTAAGTTGAGAACAATATCGGTGTTGCTAGTGGTGGCCAGTCCCACTTAAATTTAACATGGTATCAAACCGTAACCCCGATCTAGACCTAGACTCCAACCCAGATCTGCCACACCTTGATTGGGTGTGGCCACCGACTTGACCGACTGCCACACCTTGATTGGGTGTTGTCATCGATCCAACCGACTTTGACTCATACTATAACCTATGAATCTTCCACTGCACATAGACCTAGATGATTAACTTCGATGTGGATTTGGCTCCACGTGTAGCCCACTATGTGGTGGTCCCACGTGAGGCAGTGTGTTGAAGAATTTAAAGTCCCACATCGAAAACTTAACTAAATAAACTACAACTTATAATAAGTGGTTCCACTCCTAATAACACTGAAACCTTTTGTAATAAAACCTCACACCTATTGGGCTTTATAGGTGGTTAAGTTGGGGACAATATCGGTATTGCTTATGGTGGGCCACATGCCCGTCTCTCTAAAATTTAACAATATGTACTTTGTTGTTTTACGCTTCTTTATGAAACCAAATTGTTTTTCCAAAATTTTATAATTTTTAAGTTAAAATGTTCATAAAAGTAAAATACAATTACACAAATCCTAAAAGTAACTCAAAAAAACCGTTACCCAAGAAAAAAAAATTAAAACACTTTTTAGACATTTTAATACAGCTAGGGTTCTTTAGGATTGTAAGATTTGAGCAAAAATACTAGTTATGATACTCTATCACTAGATATGAGAAAATTTTGGTTGCGACGAAGATAACAATGTTTTGCTATTTTCGAATAATAATGATATGTTATATGAAAGTGTTATCATGCATGTCATGACACTATTGACCGAGAATAGCAAAATAATATTTTTAATTAAGCTTGTTGAGTTGGAGATAGGCCTCATCAATGGGTCAAGTCAGGTGCCCGACCTAAATTTAATAGGCTTGGGCCAAGCTGGGCCGAGCTTTAGATAGGAGAGAGAAAATAAAATGATGGGTCGGTCCGAGTTTTTTTTGAAAATTCAAATCCCAAGCCTAGCCCATAGGTCGAGCTTGAAAAAGCCCATCGGGCTGGCCCAGGCCTAAATGTGCCTACTTTATTTTGTATTTTTTTAATATGTTTTTTTTTATGTCAATTCTTTATTTTATTTTTTTTATGTTTTGGTGTGTTTCTATGTTTCCTCTTTTTTTCATAGTTCCCTATTTACATTTGTCTATATGTTTATATCTCCATTTTTTTCTGTGTTCATAACTTCATAGTTCTCTTTTTTTTTCCCATAAATATAAAGATATAGTTATACAACCCCATATTAATAAAATTATATTTTATCCCATACTTCAAATTTTTTTTTTTCAGTTCTTACAATGATAATAGATAATGATTTTCTTTATATTTCATTTAACTTGGGTTTTTTTAAAAAAAAATATATATGTATATTTATATGTATGTGAGCCCATGGGTCAGGTTGAGCCGGGCTTTCTTAGGCTCAAACGGACCGGGCTTTAGACACCCAAGCCCAAGCTAGGCTCACTCAACAAGAAGCCGGGCCAGACTCTTTCTTGATGGGCCTTGCGGGAACCCATCAACCCATGGGCTCGCGAGCCTAATAATGACCCCTAGTTGGAGATTCCCTTGGGAGCACTCACATTCACATAGAGTGAAACCATTTTTGGGGCGATGGGGGCATTTCTTTGACCGGGTCGGTAACGTAGGGAAAGGGCATATGCAATGTTGTGTAGTATATATCTCTCATTCCAGGCCACACGTAGTTTATTCTACTTAAAATAAATAATCCCCTTTCGACTTCAGCTGGGTTTGTATCTATCTAGCTCGACTTACATGTCCTTTTTGGTCGTCAACGTCTGTGGACCTGCAAGAGTCAATATTGTTAGCTCAACAACAATAAGTTTTACTATTATTTAATTATAATAATTAAATAAACACCATAATAGTATGTAAAAGTAAATAAACAAAACGAAATTCGATAATTAGTAAATAAAACACTAATGATGTGTTTACTAATCAGGAATTAGAATTTTGATCAGGAATTGAATTCCACCTATGGAGGATTCCTGTGTTTACTTTACATCAAAAAATTGAAAATTAAGTCAGCCCCATACAAAATTAGGAATTGAATTCCTAATTTAGAGGAATCCAATTCTTAAGTGGTAGGTGGTATTCTAATTCCTGGAGAACTAACCCATTAGGAATTCATCTTTTGTACCCATTATATCCTCACACAATTTTCAAAATTTCAAAATTGCCATCTACTTTAATCCAACAACGAGGACATTTTAGTAATTATTACCACTCATACTCCAATTCCATATGATTTAGTAAACAACTTCAATAGGACTCGGATTCTAACTCCCCTCAATCCATATGGTTTAGTAAACAATTTCAATATGAATCCGGAATCTAATTCTCCTCAATCCAACTCCTCAATTCAATTCCTCCTAATCTAATTACGGATTAGTAAACATGCCATAATGGTAGAGACTTACAGAATTGCAATGTCCTTGAAACATAATATTACCCTTACTCAGTGCTTGACATTGTCTTTCTTTTCAAACTTCTTTTTTGAACCCAGATATTTTGCATGTTGCCTTAATTTGATCCATAATTAATAAGTTGGAAATAGACAGACGCATGAAACCAGGGTCATTTTCCTTCTAAATATATAAACAAACTAAATCATATAAGTTTTGAACCTTTATTTAGTTATTTATAATGTTTAATCTTCCGTTTGCTAAAAGGTTTTGGAAGTACTTCAAAGTATTTTCCTTTTGTTTATTTTTTCTTACTATTCGATCACTAATAATTTTCTTTTATACAAGCGATATTGGAAGAGAAGGAAATCGAATCTAGAACCTAACATGCATATGAATAAATGTTCTTAACCACTTAAGCTACAAGTCTCTTGCTTATAAGTGTTCAATCACTAATATTGTAGATAGTAATAACGACATATATGTATCATCTAGACTACCTCTTGATTTCATATACACATACATATATTTATTAGAGAGGTGAGGTGGTCAGCAAATGTTTTTCCACTCCAAAATCACTCATGTATATTTCGTCCGAACACGATATATAGTAATAAAAATCTTCTAATCCAACGTAAATCACAAGACAACCACTTGTTTTTCACATAGTGTGATCAATTGATATGGTATCCTCGAAGAATTTTCTTCTTCTTCTTTTATTAAAGGGTCCATAAATAGGAAGAGGCAAGGCACATTATCTGCAACTTGTGTTGTTAAGAAAAATATGGCATCCTCGAAGACTTTTCTTCTTCTTGGCCTTGTGTGTGTTGTTCTCATCCTCATCGTCTCCGAGGCCTCAGCTCGTGAGCTAGCTGAAACTACTACTCAAATTAATCGTGAGTTTCTCTTTCTTAACTTAAACATATATATTTGTCTCTTTTTTCCACCGGTTTGTGAATTTAATTAGGCGCATTACAATCTGCACAAGGGACCATGCCAATAATTCAAATGCTATGAACTTGGAACATCCTTTTTTAGGCCAAACTACGAATCTGGAATACACTATATATATAATTAGGAACATGTGGAGGTTTAGTAATTTTGAATATTGTATGTTTTGCTCCTTACAGAACGGAAACTGATCAATAAGGTCCTGTTAAGTGACATCTGACCTTTTTTTTTACTTTTTTTTTAATTTTTTTTGGGAATTATTTCTATATGAATAAAGAAAATGGTGCCTATGAGAGAAGTGGACGTGGTGGCTACAATCGTGGAGGGCAAGGTACCTATGGACGTCGTGTCTACAACCGTGGAGGAAAAGGTAGTCACGGACGTCAGCGAGACCCCTACAGTCGAGGAGGGAAAGGATATGGTCGAGACCATGGCCACTATGAAAGACCAGGACCTGGAACTGCTGAGACTGAAACAAAGAATTAGATAACGTGTGGTCCTTAGAGTACTACTATCTTTATATGTCAATAAAAGGTCATTTGGTTGAGTTGTCTAATGAACTCTCAATCATAAGCCTGCATTTAATTAAGGTTTATCTATATATGTACTCTAAACAATGATCATAGTGTCAAAATGTCTAACAATTCAAGTTTAAGTTGTTTGTCTGTTGATTTCCTTTTGAAATCTATCCTTGCAATTTCCTTTTCTAATTTGTGTCATCAATAAAAACCTTAGAGAGGGCAAAAGGGAAAATGCCACGGTTCTAATAAAATGGATCTTGAGATCCACTTCATTAGAACCGGTGTCTATGACTTGGCTAGAATCTGTTTTATACATCGCTAACTGGTGTATGTGTGATTAGAATCAATTTCAAGCATCGCTAGTATATGACCTTTTTTTTAAATTAAAGATAAACTTCAACAGTATAATTGAAGACATCAATATGATATCTAAAATACCAATTTCAAAAGGGAAACAAACTAACATGTTAAAAACAAGGCAAAAAATCACTTCTAGTCCCTATAGTTTGCCATTTTTACCATTTTGGTCCCTATGGTTTCAATTTGGTCAATGTTGTCCATGTGGTTTCAATTTGAAGCAATTCAAGGACAATCTCTCATATCTGTCACCAAAAAACTTCTCAAGGCACCCCACCTCTCTTTGTCTCTCTTCTCCCAAGCCCAACCCCAACACCCACATAGTCACCTACTCCTCCAAGACCTCCCCCCTCCCTCGCCCCTGTTTCAAACCCACCCCTTATTTCCTAGCACAAGACATCAAACCAAACCCTTCGTCCACTCCTAAAAACACGGATTCCATCAACGATGGATCTAGATCTGGCCATTTGGTAACCTCTGAAATGTATTTGTAATATCCCAAACCATAATTTTGTTCAATAGGAGTACCAATGGCCTCATATCCTTTAATAAATCAAGAACATATTTTCTCTGTGACAAGAAAATTCGCTGTGCAGAACGAGTCACTTCAATGCCCAAAAAATATTTTAATCCACCAAGATCCTTCATATCAAACTCAGAAGCTAACAATAGCCCTTTAGTTTGCCAATTTCATCAAGATCATCACAAGTCACAATCATATCATCCACATAAATAATAAGATTTGTTAACTTACCACTCTGTCTCTTGAGAAATAAAGTATGATCGGCATTACTCTGCTCATTACCATATTTTTTTCATAGCAAAAAGAAATCCATTGAGTTCCAGCGGTGGTAGACAGCGACAACAGCATGCTAGTAATTTCTGATTTCTCTGCAGTTTGTTGTTGGGTATTCTTGTCTTCATCCAAGTCCACTGCTGTTTTTATTGGCCTCCCATTTCGAAGAGTTATCGCCATCACATGTTCTTGGCTTTTTAGATTAATCTTAGTTTGGCTTGGTAAAGCCCCATTTACTCTTCCTGTCAATACATTAGTTAGTTGGCCCATTTGAACCTCCAAATTTCAAATAAAGGCAACTTGGTTCTGAAGGGTCGTCTTGGTTTTGCTTATAATTGATTTGTATTGACGGAGAGAGTGTTGACGTTTCCAACAAGTTGAGTAATTATATCCTCCAATCCATGCTTCTTTTCTTGAGGTGTGAAACCAGGTGGAGGTCCCTGTACATTTTGGTTATTACTCTATGAAAAATTCGGATGGTTCCTCCATCTCGGGTTATAAGTGTTGGAGTAAATGTTATTCCGTTGTTGGTTAAAATCAAAGACTTGGTTCACTTGTTCGGATGGTGATGTGAATGGACTAGCTCCACACTCATTGCCATGATGAGGTCCTGCACAAAATTCACAACTTAAGTTAGTAGATTGAATAGCATTAACATTTAAAGTACCAAGTTGTTTAGACATAGTAGACATTTGCCCAGTTAACGTAGATATGGCGTCAATCTTATGAATTCCAGCATTCTTTGGTGTTGATCTCTCACTAGGCCATTGATAGTTATTAGACACCACCTCTTCCAACAAGTTATACGCTTCAGTTTATGTTTTTCCCATCAAAGCTCCTCTGGTTGTAGCATCAATTGTTGTTTTGCTTGTATTGTTCAAACCATTGTAGAATGCTTCAACTTGCATCCAAGTAGGTAGCGCATGATCTGGGCACTTCCTTAACATATCCTTGTATCTATCTCATGCTTCATAAAAAGGCTCCATGTCATTCCTGAGTTTCGCAGTCTTTGCAGGAGGAACGAATTTAGCTAAAAATTTCTTGGCCAAGTCGTCCCATGTACTAGTCGAATTAGGTGGTTGACAATTTAACCATGACTTTGCCTTTTCCTTTAATGAGAAAGGAAAAATCCTTAAGTGAACAACATCATTGGTAGCTCCATTGCACTTAAATGTGTCACATAACTCCAAGAAATTAGAGATATGGCTATTAGGGTCTTCTTGAGGTAAACCACAAAAGATGGAGGATTGATGAATCATTGAAATTATGGCTAGTCTGATTTCAAAATTATTGGCATCAATGGTTCGATGACGAATGCTCGATGGTGATGCCACCACAGATGGGACATCATAGTCCCTTACTGGTTTCGGTTCCTCAGCCATAGGTGATGGCTTTTCCAATATTACGTCCTTCCCCCTTTTGAGTTTGTTAAGCTTGTGAAGCGTTCGCTCGATCTCTGGATCTAATGGTATAAGCGTAAGACTCTGCGAACGTCGCCCAAAACTCATGCACTAGGTGAAGTACCTAAAAAATAAAACAAAAACAAAATTCAAATTAAAATCCAAATCAATCTATATTGATATTAATAAAATTTAAAACACTCCCCGGCAGCGGCACCTAAAACTTGGTGTGAAATTTATTGCAAGCGCAGAATTCGCACAAGTAATACAATGATGAGTGAAGTGTCGTTCCCACGAAGAGTGATTTAATTTACTAAGTACCGATTGTGATTAACCCAAGACTTTATTTGAAAATTGATGATAAGATTCGATTGATTAATTAACTAAAACAATGAATAAAAGCAAGCGTAGAAAAATAAAGTAGTGAGATTAAAGTTATGAGAGCACTATAGCTTCCGATTTCACCATAGCCGATTCTACCCAATTCCCTTAGCATGTTAATCCTAATTATTCTCCATGTTGACAGTTGATTTTCCTTACTTTATTCGATACTCCATCCCTGGTTATACCAAAAGTATTCTTATGACCAACCCACTCTATCCCTAGTAATGGAATTAAGATAATAAGAACCCATTAAATTCCTTGGAAAACCTACAAAACAACCACATAAGTCATGACAAACATCTCTGGCCAATCATGTAACTCATGTCATCTATTACAAGAAGCAACCCCAAATTGGATATCCATATCGTCAATTTAGCATCAAAACAATTAAATGTTGGCCAAACATTCAAAGTATTAAGCATGATAATAGATACTCAACATGGAAAAATACTTAGAATTAAAATTGACTAAAGTAATTGAGTATTCATGGCTAGGCTACATCGTAGCCCGAGCAAAAAGAAATTAGTTTATGACAACTTTAATAAAAACCATGATAAACAATATCATGGGAAAGAAAAAACCCATTGATGATTTTATCTCTGCATGACAACAACTCTAGGTCCAGGTCGTCTTATTTGTCTCTCTAAAACTCTCTCTCTCTCTCTCTCTCTCTCTCTCTCTCTCTCTCTCTCTCTCTCCTTTGAGTGTTTCGGCTATGAGTATGAATGTGTAGGAATTTTTTAGGGTAGATGATGGAGGATGATGGGTAATGGAGTATTTGAACAATGACTTAAACTCCCTATTTACAAAACTCGTAGAAATCCTACCTAAGGTATAATTACAATTGTTATGAAAATAGGATTCCTTCTAATATAAGGTCTTCTTTATTTCTCCTTGTTTGACTTTATAAGATTTGAACCATTTTGAACTATGAAATTTGACAACATCCCTTGCAACAAAAGGAATGACTTGGCTTCTTTTTAATTAAACTCCAATCTTCATCTTCTTGCCCTTTTTAGCACAATTTCTCCTATTTCACAATTCCTTCACAAATCTCACAAAACCAATTAAAAACAACCAATTTAATCCCAGAAAATTAACAAATAAATAAGCAAAAGATACATAAAATATACATAAAATACAGGCTTATCAGATAGCAGTGGGAGCAAGATCCTAGGATCACTCCTCTAATACCAACTTAAATAGAATTAGCGTTCTGAATAATTCAGTGTATTCTATTCTTCTCACAATGAGGTATTTATAGTGATACAAATATAAGCCTATCTAGGAAAGGAAAAAGAAAATAAATACAATCCCAAGCAATCCAAAATTCCTATAATCACACTTATATAAAATCAATTACAATAAAGAATAATTGAATTGATTCACGCCATCATGATTGACCAGCACATAGTTTGACGAAGGAAGGGAGGCGGGGAACTTATTTAAGATGATAAGGAAGTTTGTGGGCACTATCTGGTTCGTTTTGGTCCTTTTGATCTCAATTTTTTTACCCATATATGTAATGTGCAGAAGTTCTCTTCGTATGGGTATGAAAGTAGTTCTGTTATTGCAGATTTGTTGATAGTTCATCACTCTAGTCAAGTATTGGACCCTTTTAGTTTCAGTGGTGATCTGATGAGGTGATTTTTCGTGTGCTAGGCTTTGATTTGGCTTCTTTAGATGCGGCGATATTGCTTGTTTGGATGCGGACAACATGGGTTAAACAGACCAAATTGGGCAATAGAGGGCATTCAAGTGGTGGAGATTCAAAGGGTCAAGCCGTATATGTTTATTGAATATTTGTAAATTGTAATGAAGATGAAATCAAAGCCAATATGTTTATTGAAATGTTTACTGTAGAGGAAATTGCAATGAAAGTCAATATCTTTATTGAATTGTTTTTGGAATTCTAATGAAATTGCAATCAAGCCCGGACATCAGAATCTTTATGGCTGCATATTTTATTAATTAATCATTGGAAAATGAAAAGTAAGAAACATACCAATAGAAAATGTAATTATTTTAAATAAATTTAATACTTAATAAAATATATGAAAAGTAAGAAATATACCAACCAATCAAATACTTAATAAAATATATGTATAAATTGAAGTTGATTGGCTATATGATGGGCCCATTGTACTTTAGATGCTTTTGAAAGTCAATGAAATGCTTGTCACGAGTTTTATTAGAATGGTGACAATGGGCACTGCGACTAAAATTTTTGTTCACCAAAAAATGTGACTAAAGATGCCAATAGTCACCAATAAAAAAGTAACAACCGCTGGTTTCTTTTTTGTAGTGTTGAAAGATAAATAATAAAAATAGAATTCACATAGTAATATTCATTAATTTTATGAAAATATAGTTATTGAAATGATTAGGATTTATACGGCATGTGGAAATTGAGAAAGATAAAAAGTTCATATCTTTAATTTTCTATAAAAAAAAAGGATATGAAATCAATAAAAAGTTAGATACAATTTCAGGGGGCAAATTATCAGTGAGCCTCAAAACAAACAATTTTGAAGCATGAGTACAAACATTTAAAGCAACAAGAGCGCTTAAATTTTGTGCAGACCATCCCATTTTAACTTTTCCTTCATAAATACTACCAATTCCTTGCACTCTTCAATAGCTCTTGTGTCCACGCCGTTCCTCACTAACGGTGGAAAGAACAGCCAAGTCGCGGTAACCACCACAAACCCGATGGTCAACAACATTGACACAATCCAATGCAGTTGCCACCTTCCACCACTTAACGCTCTCTTCACACCAAACTCCACCACCAAACACATCCCATGTAGAACAAAATACCATGTCACTTCCCACGTGGGAGGCACACGTGTCATGTAAAAAAATATGAGCTCGTGCATCAAACCGGATACTAAAAAAGCAACAAAAACAGCTGGCAGCGGGGCCCACTTGGGCCCCAAGAAGTTCTCCATGGCCAACTGCACGGGCTTATGTACCGTGTGGCGAAGTGTATTTGTTACCATGAGGTTCCACCTCCGGCCCCAGAAATCTTGTAGCGAAGTGGAAAGGTAAGGCTCATTGGACGGTGATTCGAGTTGCACGCCAAGAAGGGCTCGCAAGGTAGCATTGCTCAAGCCTACTATTATGTCCACAAAAAGATACAACATGCAGCAATACTGGCCTAGTAAAATGTTGGGGTGCACATATTTTGTGAAGTCAGTTAGAGCAACCAATATGCCAAAAAGCAAGACTTTGGTTGGCAAATTGAGAGGAAATTTAGGGTTTTGAGGTGTCTTGTGGTTTGGAGCAATTTGGTGGTGTTGTTGTCCATCTTGCTTTGCCTTGATTGGGAGACAAGTGGTGAAGATGAAGAGGAGGAGAGAGTTTAGTGGTGGGCCAGATGAAAGTGGGCCCAGACCAAAGGAGAACAGTAGGAGCTTGAAGCTACCAACCCAGGTGATGAACAAGGCAATAACTCCACCAGGGAGGGCAGTGGAGAGAAAGAGAGGGAGGATGGTGAAGAGGCAGAAGATGGGGAGGAGAGAGAAGAACCTGAGTTTGCCTTTGGGAATCTTAGAAGCTATGAAATAGGTGTAGCAAAGAGAGGCCAAGATGGAGAGGCATACCTTGATTAATCTCTTGATTTCATCCTCCATCCCCATGATCGTTTGATGCTCTTTAACTTGTGTGATTTGCTCTCAGCCTCAACCTATCTATTGGCTTATCTTATCATGAGCCTACACATTCTGTGTCCCCAAATTGTTAATAAGCTCATGGTTTATCTTATTTTTCTTGTTCCTGTCTTGCGCTTTTCGGCGAAGTAGGTGAAATACCAACCAAGCCAAACCCTCACTATAGTGTAACACGACTTAAGGAGTGGGGCAAGTCTTGGTCTCAGTCAATATTTAGTTTGGACCCTACAAGGCATGAATAGTGTTTAGATCATTTGAATAATTTATTCAAAGCCATCTTTGTTGAACCATTTGTCATTGCATAGTACAATTTTTTTAATATATATATACAAATTGCGTGGTATAAAATTGTGAGTGGATAATTTTATAACTCTTATTTCAAAACACTATTCCTTTCATTTGTGCAAGAAATATTATTTTAAAACCTTGGGATGTGTATTTTGAATAAGAAATTTGTTGATGCACATGCGAATGTATGGTTATCATCACTCCTCGAGGATGTAGGATTTATTTATAATGAAATTCATATGCAGCGGCGGACTCAGAAATTTCTCAGGAGAGGTGCAATTTTCAAAAGCTAAGAGCTATTAAAAAAATAATAATAAAAACAACTAAACATCCTTATAATTTAAACAATATACATGTAAAATCATAATCAAAATCAGCAACAAAGGACAGGGAGTATAATCTATAAATAGACACCAAATTGCTTTTTTTCTTCTTTTATATTTGTATGTTCCACAGTAAAGCAAATAAGTACAACTATATCAAGATTCTAACTAGTTTTTGCTGCATTGACATGTTCAAAAGTAGGATTGCCTACTATTGACCGCTTACCCTATATTAGTCCTTCAAACCTTGACATAATGTCATAATTGCAGCATAACTTCAGAATAATAATCAAGTAGAAACTTCCAGTTCCACAAGCTAACCAATGACAGCCAAAGGAAAAAATTACAGAGACCAAAATTCACTAATTGGAGCAAAATCAAACATACCTAGAAAGAGAAAAAAAAAAAAAAAAAAAAAAAAAACAATTCTAACCAAAGTTTCATAGTAGCATTTCCTAATGAACACTTCTTAGATAAGAACCCAATTGGACCAACTAAAAGTTGAATGTAATTTACGTAATTGAGGAAGAAATGCAGCATACCCAGATGGAATTTCGCCTCTTCGGGTAAGGACTTTGAGCTTCTGTAGAGCCCAATTGAGTACAAGTTTTGTGTGCATTTTGAGAGTGAAGCAAAGGGGGTTTAGAAGTTGGCTTAACGAAAGCTGAAGGAAAAGAAGAGGAGGTCTTGCAGTTTTTTGTGCGCAACAACTGCAGCGCAGTGCCCAGGTGGTTTGGGCATTTCGTCGAACACATTGTGTGCGTCTCTGGTCTGAAGCAGAGGTGCAACTCTAGCTGCTCTAATGGACTTTCCGGCGACCGGAGGTGCAGGTGCACCTCCTTGCGCCTGCACAGGTCCGCCACTATTCATATGCAGCACATGTGCATGAGGCTCCAAAATTGATGGATGCAAACTCTATTGAGTGCCCAGCAAGAAAATTGGGGATTCTAAAAGTATCTTTCCCGCAATGGAGAGCTCTATATACGAGACTTTGTATTAAGAATTTTAAATTTTTATATGATGTAATTTGATCTATATAATTTTTTTTTTATGGTTAACTAATTTTGTGTTAATGTAATAGTTATGTCACAAATGAAAGGAAACAAATAAAATTGAGCAATGGATCCTTTTTGGCATAAAAATGAGCACCTACACATAAAGTGTGTATCAATCAACTATCTTTTGCACCAACAACGCGCAAGGGCAGATGAGCCTTGACAAAATCTACCATAATCCCATACTCATGTATAGCCTTCAAATCCACACCATTTCTCAGCAGCTGAGGGAAGAACAGCCAATTGCCCGTCACGGCCAAAAACACTATCGTCAATGGCCCCGAAACCACCGGGTGCAACCGCCACCTATCAGCTGCAGCCTTCTTCACCTCCACCTCAACTGCCACGCAAACGCCATGTAGAACGAAGAACCACGTCACTTCCCACGTGGGAGACACACGTGTGAGATAATAGTATATCGCCTCGTGCATTAAACCTGAGACCGCAAAAGTGGACATCACAGCCAAGAACCGGGCCCACCGAGGCCCAAGTATACGCATAGATATACGGCGTACGGGGTCGTAGGCGACGGGGCGTAGGATGTTGGTGACCATGAGGTTCCACCTGCGGCCCCAAAAGTCTTGAAGCGAAGTGGAAAGGTAGGGCTCGGTGAACTGCGGCTCGAGCTCAAATCCAAGTATGGCTCGAGCTGGGACGGCGCTCAAGGCCAGCACAAGTTCTATGCCAAGGTACATGTGGCAGCAGTACAGAGCCAAGATTATGTATGGGTGTAAATGTGGTCTATATTCATATGTCCTAATGATCAAAGCCAAAAGCAAGGCTTTTATGGCCAGCAAAATTGACTTATTGGGCACATTTGTGAGGGTTTGATCAATTGGGTTCACAGATTTCTTGGGTTTTGGGGTGGTTTGGTGAGATGGGTTTTTGTTATTTTGAGGGGTTAGAGGGTTTTGATCTGTGTTTTGGGGTGATTTTTGAGGTGGGTTTTGTTTGATTTTGATGGGAAGGCAAGCTATGGAGATGAATTGAACAAGTGTTGGTGGGGTTGGGGATAAAGGGCCAAGGTTAAAGGAGAAGAGGAGGAGCTTGAAGATGCCAAGCCAAACCAGAAAGAAAGTTGTGGGCCCACAGAGATGGAATGAGTGGAGATTCAAGGGGAGGATGATGAAGATGTAGAAGATGGGGAGGAGAGAGATGAGCCTGATGATGCCCTTTGGGATTTTGGCTGCTATGTAGTAACAATAACATAGAGAGGTGTTGGTTAGGATCCATACCTTGATGAAGTTGTTGATTTCACCATCCATTTCTTGATTCCTTCCTCTTTTTTCGTATTCTCTCTCCCTTAGCTTCTCTCAAAATACACATAACTCTGGGCAATGTTTTGCCTTCGTTTAAATGTTAAACCTTGATTTTTTATTTTTTTTTAATCGGAAAATGTTGAACCTTGTTAGTTGGGCCTTAATTGCACCAGCATTGGCTCTTTGGGTGAAGAAAAGAATAGCACTGCATTGTTTTGTTATTTTTTATCAATTACATTATATCACGTGTGTTGAACACAAAAAAAATTATAAGACAAGGAAAGGAGCCCAGGATAAAAGCCCAAGACGTGAAGGTTGATCTTTAGGGTTGCTGATTGTTCCTTCTAGAAATTAAAAAGGTGATAAGGTCAGTTTTCAAAAGAAATATAAAATAAAACAAATAAAAAATAAAATGTGGGAAGAGATCGTGTTTATCCTTGGCAACTCCATTCAGCAGAGAAACTACCCACTTAGCAAACGTGCTTCCCCAACTGCTGTTCATCTTTTGCCTATAAAAGACATGAACGTACAGAGGACAGGGGAGGAGAAAAAGAAAGGAGGTGTGCTGCAGAAAACTGTAAGAAGGCAGAAGTCTGGAGAGAAAACGAAGAGGCTGCTGGGATTCTGAATAAGGAGGAAGAGAAAGAAAAGGCAGAAGAAAGGCAAGGTATAAAGTTTATTTCTTCTGCCAGAAAATTTCATCATGTTTCTCTGTGCAGTATATTCCCTTGCTGCTCAAAAACAAGCCTCTGTAAATGGTAGATCATGAGATCCGTGTGGATGCTGACATCTTGAAAACACATTTCTTTATGAAAGCAACAAATAGCTCTCATATCAAGCTCTCTAGAATTGGATCAGCAAAGTCCCCTTCCAATGTTGTCTGCCATAAAGGCTTAGAAAATGTGCATTGCGACATTCCTCCACGTCCTCTCTGTCAAAGAAATCTCATGAGACTACTGCAGACAAAAGAAATTCATCGTTCTCGAAAAATAATTGAAGAAACCATGTCTCTGCTGTTAGAGAAATCTCAAGAAATCACACAAGAGGGAGCTCTCGCAAGGACCTCCCTATTGTGAAAATATGCAGATGGGCTTCTGCCAGAACCCCACTGTATTAAGTGCTATGAGCACCTCGCAGGTGTTCATAGGCATACTTGATGAAAATTTTGCAGGTGTTCATAGGCAACAAACACACACACAAACCAAAGAAAGAGATAGAAGGCAATGTGAGGCAAACAGGAGAATAAATAAAAAAGGGCTTATCTGATGAAGAAGAAGAACCCGCAGAAACAGATTTTGGAAATCCCATTATTCCTCCCATCTTAGTCTCTGCCAAAAGTCATAAATAAAGGGCAAATCCAATAGCAGAACAAAAGAAAATTCGGAGGAAAAGACACCGAACTGCTGCAGAAATCAAAAGAATAGAAGCAGGCAAAAGAGATACGAAGCTCTGTCACAATACCATTGAGAAGGTATAAAAAAATTCATCTGAATATCCTTTTATGTACAACTGACTTGCAGGCAAAAAAATATGTATGTGAGGCCATTGTACAGAAGCCTGAACTTCCTCCATGTTTGATACCAAGAAGTGTATCATATCAACGAAGACCTCAGCAGTGGAAAAACATGAACAAATCCTCCCAAATTGGCAATAATTGTGCTACTTACACAAAGAGAGCTCTCACAAGGACCTCTCTGTTGTGAATTACAGATGGGCTTCCGCAAGAACCCCACTGTACAAGTGCTGTGAACACCTTGTGAGTGTCCACAGGCACATTGTGGTACTCAGAGAAGACCTTGCGAGTGTTCTTGAGTACCAAAAACAGAAAACATCAAAATCCCAACTGCTTTGTGCCCAACCCACCTTCAGCACAACGAAATTCCAAGTCTGCAAATTGGAAGACAAAAAGATGGCGAAGCGTGCTGCAAATGGAGAAATCAACAATCCTGTTTTAGTCTCACAGATTGGCATAAACAGAAGAAAATATATTAAAGGAGATGCAGAAATTACTGAGTGACAGAAAGCTTACAAAAGCTGATGATTCACACCCACGTTCTGTGCTTCAAAGTTTGCCAACAAGGAAAAAATCCCAAGCCGGACAGCCCACGAAAATTATCAAGCCAACACTCCTCTGTAGCAAAATGCAAATATCATAAAAGCTTCTCACTTTGTTGCTGGCAAAACATGAAGCAACTGAGACAAAGCAAAGCCAGCACCTCAATTGGCAGTACGGTGGCCCTCTCAAATGATACGAGTCTGCAAAGGAAAATATGCAAAGCCTTAGAAATTCCAATCAAATTGGAAAGAAAAGGATGCACAAAGCATCAACAAGCAAAAAAAAAGCAAAAGGAAGAATGGCTCACCAAGAAGCCTCCTGTGTTGCGGCTGTTGAAGAACCCGAAAGCAACATAAGCCAAGAAAAAGGGAAGCCTTCCTGTCAAGTCAATACAGAACCAAAGATGAATATTTTTTATCCGAAGGACTCTAAACACATAATGGGTAAAGACAAAACCCATTTTGGTGGAAGTCTGCCACAAGTACATAGGAAACAACAAAAAGCCAAAAAAAAGGTCAGGCATGGATTCGTGGCTGAACTTTGAGATTAAAACATGGGAGAAGCTTCAGCCATGAAGTTGGTACTGCCAAACTCAACAAAATATACAAATAGCTCTTTGGCTTGTGCGTGTTGTGTTAGGCAAAGAAACCCAATTCGTGTTGCACATAAGGAAAAGAAAGAAGAAATGGCTTACAGGACCTACTCTAAAATAAAGGGGAGTTGAGGTTATGTTATTGTGTCAGAACAAAAAAAAGAGTTGGGAAGGGCATGGAGAGACCAGCAAAAGCAAGGAAGATGAAAAGAAACAAAAAAGACAAGGGAGAAGAAAAGCACAAAAAACAAAGGAAAGGAAAAAGTAGCAAAACAAAGTTCTGTACAACAAACGTGGCTTCTCAAAATTCCAAGACTTTCAATTAGTAGTTTAATAGGCTACAATGGTCTACTTTGACAGACATGACTAAAGGAAAGGATTTACCTTGGTTTTGGCGTTTCAAACCCAAAGCTCCGTAGTGATTGTGACAGATGAGTAGCTGAAGAGAGATATATATAATTTGGTCCAGTTTGGATTGATTTGAACTATTCCAGATAAAGATGGGAGTAACTCAGTTTGGATTAATCTCTACTACTCCGAATAGATATCGGTTTCAAAATTCAACTGATTCTCAAAGCTTTTCTGACATGGATTATTTGTTTATGGACCAACTGATGGAAATATCAAGGCCCGGAAACAAATTGATGGGTTGACAAAACAAATTACCCATTGACTCTCAAGAGCCCAAAATATTTTATGGGTGGTCCAAATAAATTATGTGGTTAATGGCTTAATCCTTAAAACCATATGTGAGTAAATTAATTGGCTCATCAAAATGCCTTTTAATTTTCTTTGGACTTTAACAATAAAAATGGTACAAAACCATTCCACATTTTCTCATGGGTCATCTACCCTGCAAATTTTCAATGAGATCAAAATTCAAATTTCTCAAACATAAAATTCTTTCAAAGGGTCATTTACCCTTTGAAGGTCCAATCCATTTGGAACTACGTCGGTTTGATCCCGCCAAGGGTACGTAGGCAGTCTAACATTCCGATAGACGCAACCGCAACTAAATTTGAATCCCTAGTTTTATCCTAACCAAATTCGGCCACACTTACCCATTAATTTTAAATTTTTCTCATAGGTTATCTACCTATGAAAATCCCCAAATTATCTCAAAGATACAAATTCTAAATTATTGGGTCACACTTACCCATTAATTTCTAATTTTTTCTCGTGGGTCATCTACTTATGAAAATTCCAATGAGATTAAATTCAAATATCTCAAACACAAATTCTAAATTATTGGGTCACACTTACCCATTAATTTCCAATTTTTCCCATAGGTCATCTACCTATGAAAATCTTCAAATCGTTTCAAAGACACCAATTCTAAATTATTGGGCCACACTTACCCATTAATTTCCAAACTTTGGAACTACGTCGGTTTGATCCCATCAAGGGTACGTAGGCAGTCTAACATCCCAATAGACGCAACCGCAACCAAATTTGAATCACTGGTTACCGCAAATCAAGTTGGAACTACGCTGGTTTGATCCCATCAAGGGTACGTAGGCAGTCTAGCATCCCAATAGACGCAACCGCAACCAAATTCTCACTAATCAAATCTTCACACAAATCCATTTGGAACTACGTCGGTTTGATCCCATCAAGGGTACGTAGGCAGTCTAAGACGCAACCACAACCAAATTTGAATCACTGGTTACCGCAACCAAATTCTCATCAACCAAATCCCCACAAATTAAATATTTACCTTTACACAAATCAAGGTCCGAACTACGTTGGTTTGATCCCTTTGAAAGGGTACGTAGGCAATCTAGAGATTCAATCTAGATGCAACCATCCCAAACACAACTCCATATCGAATCCCTGGCTTTTTCAGTCAAATTCACTCAAACACTCCTCAATTAAATTCATTCAAATTCCCCCTTTTTGCAATGAGTCATCTATTCATTGCAAATCTTTGAACTACGAGTGGCTTGATTCCTGTAAAGGATACGTAGGCACCCTGAGGTTGAACTTGGGAGCAGCCGCAAAACCAAACACATACATTCTGTTTCTTTATGATGGAATCAAAGGGTTTTCCCTTATAGCAAGGGATTGTAATTAAGAGACTTGCGTCTCGAATGGGTCGAACCTAAAATAATAAAACCCCATTAATTAATTAGTGGTGGTGAAATTATGTTTGGAGGTTTACAGTTTTATATCTAACAACGTGTAATAACTTTTGCATTGTTTTGCTATTTCCAATCAATTACATTATGTCACATTATATCACGTGTAATAACTTTTGCATTGTTTTGCTATTTCCAATCAATTACATTATGTCGTAATAACTTTTTCATTGGGTGGGTTGTTTTTCTTTTGTTGGTGGTAAGTTTAATCATTACAATTGACAGTTGAAACTCAGAGAAGTAAAAAGGATTGCAAAGAATGTGTACCTCACAAGGGATTAACTTTCTAGCCAAATTTATCGCATAGTGAAATTGAAAGATTTGATTTAACCAAACGATGTAATCCGCTGTATACTTACCATTTTTATTTATCATCTTAATTGTTTAAATCATTATTTATTATGAACAACTTATACAAAACCAAAGGATTTAAGATATCGTCTTGATTTATGAGCAATAAGCAAAAAACCACCTTCCTCTTCCACTTCAAAATGCCTCATCCAAACACAACCTTAGGGATTGAGATCATCTAGGCAGTTTCAGATAACAGTAACACGGCATGACCACAGAAGCCCAAATATAAAGATCTCAAATTAAAAAGGGATGGCAAATATGGGAGGGCAAAGCAATAGAAAGTTAAAAAAAGTTTCACTTCAAGATGCAACTAAAATAGTACAGTGAAATGAAGTAAAAGGTTACAATACATCTTCATAAGCATATGCTAATCTATGTACAGAAGCCAAAACCTACAGCTCACATGGAACATACTTACTCGTTCAGCCAACCAGCTGAATTTTGGCTTGAATAGCTTTGGTGAGGACCAGGAGCAAACCCCATGGGGCCACCATGCTGACCGGGTCGGGGTGCCCTGGGATCAAAAGGGACGTTGCTACTGAACACATGCGGGTCATATCCTAAACTAGGCTCAGGTCCTAAGGCACCCATCCTCAAGTGGTTCAATTCATCCAACCGAGGCGCATACCGCTGCATGGCTGATGTATTACTTCTGTAAGATGACCCAGCTGCTGAACCAAAATGAGTATGGCCATAAGTAGAGGGATACGATCCAATCTGGCCACTCACAGGATTCTGACCCACTAGAAAACTACTATAAGGATCCGAATCTGGCTGACCATAAAGGCGAACCTGCGAGCGTATGTCAGACTCCCTCCTAAATGGGTATTCTACCTGATTCAAATATGGTCCATAACCAAGGCGATCTGACCTTTCCCTCATGTGCCCCACAAACAGTTGCTCCACGTTTGTAGCCCTATAACCAGAACCAGAATTGGCAGCAGTGCTCCATCTACGAGGCAGACTGGAGTACGCCTCATCACTGCTCATGGCAAAGCTTCTGCCTGTATCATCAGCAACGTTGGCGTGGGTCCCACTATCAGTAGTTTCTATCTCCATATTAGAACCAGAATTGCTGGGCTCAGAATGCTGATTTCCTTTTTCAGCAGGCTCAGTGTGTGTCAGCATTTCCTTTCGTATCTCACTACCAGAAACCTTTACACCATCTAGTTTTTTTTCTGAAGAGTTCTCAAGCATACCACTTCGATGCTCTTCTCTGCCACCACACTGCAGTTTCCCTGATATCTCTTCAATGTGGTTCTTTCCATGACGAGGACTCACATGGCCATCTCTGTCAACACTGATCTTACAAGAGCCCTTTAATACCTGCATCGCAACTGACCCTCCTGCAACATCCTTGGGACTATCAGTCTTTATGGGATCATCATCCATCTGCACAAGTGTTTGACCATAATGCTCATCATTAACTACTGAATTATCAGGGATTAGGCAGTCGGAATGATCTTCTTCCATAAACCCTTGTGATGCAGAGTTGTGTCCATGCACTTCAGCTATAGCCTTGTTCTCAGCAGACCAATCAGGACGACTCCAAAGATACAGGGGTGGTGGCCTCACATTCCATTGCTCCAATTGTTTGTCATTCCCATCAACAGATCCAGGGAGATAGAATGACTGAAAGGAGGACAAGCAACCATTAAACTCACATTCAAAAATTTTGATTCACAAAATTAAGATTCAGCCACAAGGACAAACACAACTCACTTTACCTTTCCTGACAGAAACTGCTCATCTTTCCAAATCAGGTCATAAGGTGAATTCTTTTCATTTAACCTAATAAGAGACCCAAATGTAAGAGAAACTATATACAGATTTAAGTCCAACTCAAAGGCAAGCCCATGCTGATGCTTTTCTGTGTGTTTGTGTGTGTGTGTGTGTGTGTGTGTGTGTGTGAGAGAGAGAGAGAGAGAGTGTGTGTGGAAAGCAGCTACCTTTGAGTTTCTGGTGGAACAATAAGAATAAGAATCTTTGGATTGAACTCGAGAGCCTTGTCAATAAACTTGTTTGCCAAAGACGCTTTAACTCCGAAAGGAGGGTTCAACCCCATGATCTGCTCAAGAAGCAAAGTTAGGGAGAGTGAAACAATTAACATAAGGCTTTACGAACTCAAACATCTTGAACAAATAACAGGCCCCAATTCCTACCAAGTGTGACCCGGACGGTAACTCCTTTGGTTGAACAGTCATCCAATCTCTCTTCTCAAAATTGAAATCGTTCTGCCAAATGAAAATCCACATAAAACAATCAGTTTCCCAGTTTTTCTGTTTCATAAGCCTGTAAATTACCAAAATGCAAACACACAACAGCCTACTACCCAACATAGGGTGTGACATATGAAAACAATCATACGAAACAAAATTAATCACAGTAACTTTTTGAAGCAAAAAATGAGGATGAAGAGAATCAAGAACTAGGAATAAACTCCAAGTGCTGATTGTACAATTTGCATTTCACTATAATTACAAACCTCATAAACCCAAAGTCTGAAATACGGTAGGCATTCACAGTGGAAGTACAAGATTTTTTGTACTTGCCTATCTACCATAGGCTATAACTGGCCAATTTAATTTGGAAATCTGTACAGCATTACCTATTTCAGTAGGTCCCCTTACACATTATTTGAAAAGTATGACAAAAAGTTATCCCAATATCAGAGCCCAAAAACACTTCTTTTGATAATAAATTGTCTTAAAATATAAAATCACATCCCAGTACGTGATTCTTCTGAACAATTTTGCAATCTGGGCCTATAAATGGCAAAACTTCTAGAAATTATAATAATTTTAAGGAAAGAACAAACAAATTTAGGGTTTCATAATTGTAGAAAATTTGAGAACTGGAAAAATTAACAGGAGAAGAAATAGGAGAAAACATAGACAGAGATACTAAGACAGCAACCCATTTACAACTCTTCATATTTTACTCATCAAAATCTTAAGTAATGGAATTACTTATAAGCTTCAAATTGAACCCCAAAGACTCATAAAGAATTTCACATAGTAGAAGACTCAGAATTAACGAACATTGAGTCTCTCTAAGACAAAAATATATAAGGACCCTTAAAAACCGTTGAAATTAGGGTCCCGACGATTTGCAATAAGTAAAGGCACATATTTTGTCACATATCCCTAGCCCTCAGAAGTTTTATCATTTAATGGATGAAAACAGATCTGATAAAGAACAGTATTTCCTGTAATTTTTTATTGCATAATATATGAAGCATGTCCTGTCATCACACAGCAGCACTAAATGTAGGCTATCCTTCTCCCTCACTACCTCATTACTTTCTGACTCTGAAAGCCCACAACTGCAACTTCCGGGATAAACTATAAAGCTAACCAGCGTACATATTTCTAGCAAGTGGTTCGGACCCTTATAAACAGTTAGTAACTTCTGATACTGCAAACACCATTCTAGTTTCTACCATACATCATATCCCATGTTCAACTGTGTTGAACACTGGTGACCAATGCAACCATGTACACGTATATCATTGATAACATGATGTATGTTTTTTTTTTAAGGATAACATTGATGTATGTGAATTGACCAATATTTAGGACTGATATTGATGACAATTACCTTCGGTTGAATGAAGTCATAGTTTTTGTAAAAGCACTTCTTCCCCGTCTCTTCAAGCTTTTTATTCATTATGATGCTGAAATCATTAGCACCGCAACAGAAGTCTACTATCTGTTCATTGAGACCATAAGCAATCAGGTGAGCAATAATTTGATGAGGTAATGAACACTGAAAAAGTACATAAAATACTAAAATAATCAAGCCACTAGCAATCACATCTAACAACCTAAGGCTCATGATCCCATATTGATATCCCATTTATTATGGAATCACAACAGAATTTTTCTTTTCTTTTCTTTTAATGTGTACTGAAGAACAAAAAAATTATTTTTAAAGAAGCTATTAACTTATGACTTCTGTGGTGAATATATTTATAGCCCAATCAACTGTGTCATGTCAAACCAAAGTTCAATATCATGACAGGTTTTTCCGTTGCAGAATAAAAGTATAATATAATCAGATTCTTTTTTTAAGAATTTATTGATTCCAAAACCAGGTACCAAAAAAAAAAAAACATGGATAAGTAATCCACTAAATAAAATACATCTAAAGACAGCCTAAATAGAAACTTGACAAGCAGAAACAAAAATATATGAAAAGAAATATCTCCGAATCCAATGTTATTGACTAAAATCTGAACTTCTCCCAGAGCACAAAGCTCCTCCATACGAACCCTGGAATAGTCCTCAGAAATACAATAATTTACCCAAACCCTTCTTTCCCACGAATAGTGTTCCCTCACAAAGAATTGCAGCACAGCTTTCAGGGAGTGTAAAATATTCATCTCCTTAAGTTTTTCCTTTTCAAGAATAAATACCAACACTTCTGCTATCACTAAGATGATAAGGTCCTAGTCGTAGTTTCTAAACGAAAAACTGATATGCTTTACATTTGATAAATATAAAGCTGCAAGACTGCAACAGTTCGTATTGCAGTTTTAATCCATGTAGTCAGAAACACAAAATGCCAAATATACTATAATGATCTATTGAGTTGGCGTATATGTGAACAGTGACTACAGCTTCAGGTACTAAGAAGCTTCTGAAAAAGGAATACACACAGGCAAATAACCGACCATTCAAATAAAAAATCATGCATGACTATAATTTGGATAAGCATAATTCAATTCAGATCATTCAGCATCAGGAACATATACGAGAGTATTATCAACTGCATAACTCCAAGTAGCATCCAGAAGATATTTCTTGTTACAACACATAGTGCACTCACATACACCAATGTACTAAAACCACAACGAAAAACATATACAAACTTACTGTATCTCCATTCTTTACGTACCAATGGAGCCTATCAGCAATCTGCACATACCAAATTATTACTTTAGAATTCTTCAAGAATTCATGGAGTTCATAATCCACGCTCAACGGCTCAAATTTAATAAAGGGAAGGTGTGCAGACCAGATTAAAAAAATGGAAAAACTGTGTAAAGAGAGGCAATTTTTTTTTTTTTTTTTTTTTTTTTTTTGAGAGAAACGAAATTTATTAAAGCAAAGGCAAAAACACAGAAGCAGATAAGACAAACATTTATATGAAAACAGGAGTAAACAAACATCCACACCACTGTGTGAATAGAGAGCTTTTTGGGTGATTCGGTGAGATGTCATAATAGAATTTTCGAAGATGGGATTATTGTACTTTTCATCTAAAAGTTGAACCTCTTGTCCTAGACTGGGCATTACTTTGCAACTTCTTGACTTTGTCCACTAGTAAAGTTTTCATTAAAAAACAATTAAGAAAGAAATCCATCAGTCGATGCAGTGATCTCATTGTCCTTGACTGGAGAAACAAAAAAAACAACCATGCAATTTTTTCAATGTCAAGATTATCTTGAGCATAAGTGATTGTATCAACATGACTGGGATGGACATGTCCATAACTGCAAGTTTCCTCTAAGAATATTACCTTACAAAATAAGCTGACTAGTGCAAGCCAAAATAATAAGATAACAAAAAAGTGCTGTGTAACTTTGAAATAGCTAAAACATGAACACAACCAGATTACCTCTTCTAGTTTTTCCACCTTTGTGAAATGGCGACCGAAGGAAGTGTAGCGCATTCCGTGCAAAAAAGGTGCAAGATAGACTTTCAGCTTGTTCTGCATCAAAGTAAGTCAATAATATTAATGGGACAGCAAGAGAGCATGACCGTTTTCTAATGAACCATTAGTACAAATAATACAATTTTTTTTTAATAGAATGGCTTAACAGATATTACAAATATTACATATGAATAAAATGGCATAACAAGTTCAAACAGAAAAGAGAAAAAACAGGTTCAGCTTATCTCACATCCCCCATTGACCGAACTTAAGTTGAACTCAAGTTCAGCATATCTCACATACAAGCCAACCTCATGCTGGAAAAAAACATTCAAAGCACAACTTACAGCATAGTTAATCAAGCTTTCCTAACGCTCAACCAATTTCAATCAAGGCAAGTTTGAGCACTGTGATACTTGGTTTCACTTGGCTAGTTTACACCCATTACCCGAGACACAAACCAAGCATAACCTGAATACGCATATAGCGGAGAAGCGCAAGTCTAGCATATAAGGAACACATACCTACAAGCATTAATGCAAGAAACCTATAAATTAATATAAATAATCTTCACCTAAACACCCAAGTTAAGATAAGTTGTAGGGAAGTGAGACATAAAGAGGAATCCACCTTCCACTTAAAAATCTGGTTAAGAATTTCAGGCGCACAAACAGCCTCTGAATCTTCAATACTGCATCCTTCCTCTAGTTTCCGTAACGCCGTTCGAATAGCCTAAATATTATGGGCGACATTACAAAACACATGATAAAAGAAATCATAAAAACTCATAGTCCAGAATAACAGTTGAAATTCTCTCAGTTTAGACTACCTCAACTGAACCTTCCACCTTTCCCAGTGTAATGTTCCTCTCCACAGCATTTTTCGACGAAAATGCATGAGTAGATGGAACTTTGTGCTTTCTTATAACGTCTTCCAAAGTTATTGAGGATGCAGCGTCTTTCATTAAAGCCAATAATCTGAATTGCAAGAAATAAATCAGACAACTACACAACATGAATGAAACCTCAAATCAAAATTGTCTGCAGCCATGGTAAGTCCTTGTAAAGTAACCAAACACGTGTGTGTGTGCTCATGTATAGAGAGAGAGTGAGAGAGAGATGTTAAATTACAGGTGTACAATATACACATACATTAGATGAAAGAGGTAATGTTAATTGTTTTTTTTAAGTGTGAAAAGTAGATAAACAGATATATAGAATTCGTAACAATGAGTGAAACAGTTACCTCCTCTCTGAAGCTGCATCTAAAGATGGTTCTTCACTGCTCAACTTCTTTGAAGCAGGATTAACTGTTGCCGAATTACACTCACCATCAGGTTTACCCTGCTTCCCTGACTTCACTTGCTCAGACCCCTTCATGTAGTCAAATAGTTGATCACCCAACGAGGACTTCTTTCCCTCGGCTACGGAAGTCTTAATTTCCTTTTTCAATGAACTATTTACTTTCACCTGTCTTGATATATCTAACCGAGATGGTACTTTTTCACTAGTTTTGCTACCACCCACTTTTGCAGGAAAAGGTAACTTCAGCTTCTGTCTAGACAATGTAGGAGCGGTTTGCCCCCTACGGAATTCTTCAGAGGAAAGGTTTCTCTTCTTTGTCACAGATTTCTCTCTATCTAGAAAAGATTCTGTTGTCCATTTTCTCTTTTTCTCGTCAAAACCAGTCTTCCTTTTAACAATGGTAGTCTTCTTTTCTTTAACATCAGGAAATTTTACGTGATCCCTTATTGGAGTTCCAATGCTTTCAACTATCTCATGTTTCCTAATCCGAAGAAAAATAAAAAGCATTCAGAAAAATAAAAGCGAACAAAGGATTGAACAAAATTAGTTCAGAAAAATTAATACTTACGTGCAATATATTAGTACACGGTTAGGTAATAGATCTTCCCAAGCTCTTATTATTACATTCTCCTCTTCTACGTCTCCCGCTTTTTTCTCAAATACAATCTCCCTGGTACAAGCAATTCAATCATTGGCCATCTAGAAACAAGTAAAGGACCAATCCATGATCTCCAAACAGCATATTAAAAGGAAAACAAACAAAAAAATACAATTAAGAGTACCGTGGCAGGCATTTCCTATGGTAGGATTTTGGACAACGCCTACAGACAGCAAAACGCATCTCAGGATCTTTCTTATTCTCTCCTTGTTTACAAACGCAGCATTTATGTATTGGGCACGTAAAAGATTCCCCTTTAGAAATGTTTTTCTCAAGCTCTTCAGCAGTAACTCCATTGTCTTGATAAACGAGTTGTGCAATACAATGTGGATGGTAAAATTGACCACAGGTTGCAGAAACACAGGGGAACACCTGACAGCAATTAACAAAAATGCTTTAAGGTAAACCAAACATAAGAATAATAGTAATACCCTGTAGATGACAATATGAAAAGGCAGAAAAGAACATATTGAAAACTTCTCGCTGATATATATAATAAATAAAAGAAGTTCACAATAATCCAGATAACGCTACCAACAAAATCGCAAAACGCTTTACAAAAGAAAATGAATTTCTTTAGTAAAAACATATTTATTCAGTTACTTCTAACATGGGGACTTCATATTTGTAATTGATTCAATGGGCTTTGGTCAAAATCAAAGAACTAAAAAATATTATGGAGGTGCATTGTGATGACCATTGTTGAAGGGGTACCACTTTCTTTATTTATGGTAATTGGTCTCTACATGTTCCCAACAGGCTGGTCTTATGTTAATATCCTGTATGGCCACTCTTTCAGTTGATTTACTGACAATGAATGCTCACCTTTCCTATGGCTTCAAATCCCTTTCTTTTTCAAAGAAAAAAAATAATTAACCAGAGAAATTATATGTGTAGCCTAAAACAGATATAATAAAATTCATATCAGTGCCAGGGAAATTCACTAAATCAGCTATGGGATATATGGAAAATATTGGGCAAAGAAAAAGTTATTCTAGCTAGACTGAGCAAAATGAGTCAAAAAAGAATAATACATTAATATAAGAAACGGAAAAGAATGCCAACCAGAAATAATGCACAAAGGATGAATTGGGCACTACAAACACACTTAAGAAAAGATCCACGTCCCAGAAATAGGGAAGACAACATCAAGACAAGCACAACAAAGGAGAGAAAAAATATAAGTATAATCAAAGAGCAATAGAGCATAGCAGAAGACAAGGAGCAAGTAGCCCAAACACTAGAAAATGATCCCAAACAGCTCATTTCTGAATAACTCATCACGTTGCCACACATCCAAAGAAAACAAAATTGCAGCACACTTCATATTAGAGTGCCATTTGCTAAATAATAACGAAATAGCAGCACACTTCACATCAAAAGAACAAAAATATTAACAAAACTGTACTGAGTATTGCTTCATTAAGACACGAAACGAAATAGCAGCACACTTCACATCAAAAGAACAAAAATATTAACAAAACTGTACTGAGTATTGCTTCATTAAGACACGAACAAAAAGAATAACTATAACAATCTTTCATATTAGAGTGCCACTTGCTAAAACTAATCAAGTGAACATGCTAACAGTTAGGTAGAAAAGAATTCATACCTCAGCAACTGAAGATCTATCAGAGGATCCTAGCTTCCCACAAGCAAAGCACTGATGCTGCTTATATTCACAGTTCTTGCAGAAGAAATTTTGCATCGCCTACCAAGTTCAAAACATAAAATAAAAATAATCATAATAGCAATAACGAAAAGACAACCAAAAAGAAAGAAACAGGATTTACAACAAAAGTGGTTAATAAGAGCATACATCTACTTCATCCTGTGTAAAGCCAAGAGATTCACACATAGATTCCTCACCACTCTCTTCAGTTGCATGAAAGGACCTTAGGCATCTCCCTTCACAGCTGTATTAGAAGAAAAAATAAACACATACATTTAAACCATTAATTCTAGGAAATTAAGTTCTTTAAATAATGCCAAGATTATCACTATTATCATAGAAATTAGACAACACGAGAACATACCACAAAAGATCTCCACCATTATCACAAAAAGCACAAACAGAATCAAACAGGTTGTCATCATCATTGGACTCGTCTTCAACATCAATCACATAATCTTCCAGGTCATCAACTATAAACCCGGGCTTTTCTGTAGCTTGAATGTCCTGAAAATCCATGAATTCACTGGCTCAAACACTGTAACATGAAACTAAAAGCCAAACTAGAGAAATAAATGAAAGAACTCAGGGATAAAGTGTGCTAATGAAAGAGTAAACAAATAAGCAAGAGAATATGACCTCATCATATAGTTTCCTCTTCATGGGCTTCTCTTTAAGAAAGTTGACTAAAAAACTGTTCAAAACACAATCTGTCATTTAATTAACTGTGCATAAACATAAAGATAGTTTATAATTCATGCAGAAGGCTCAGAACAGGAAACAGGAAATAACAATAGAGTGAAAATAACACAGAGATCAAACCAAGTTAAAGAAAAACAAGTATAGAAAGCTTGAATCCTACTAAAATCCCCATAATGGCTAATTACTCAGTACAGTTACAATGCTAAGAAAAGAACTAGACAAAACCTTGGACTTTGCTAAGGCATCATCCCATTTAATAGCTTCACTAACTAGAGGCATGTGATTCACCAGGTCATTCTGCGACGGCCTGACCTCATACGAGCTGCAAATAAAGTGAAACTGTTAGACTTTGGGCTAAGAAAACTAGCAACAGAAGAGATGTTTACACGTTTGAACGATACCTGAAAACTTTAGATAGATGATCCCATAAAGATTTGCTGGATGTCTCAGGATTTCTCGTCACATAATGAAGGCACTGCACTGTTATCAAGATTGACCTTATTATGTCCTCAAAGCTCTTCCTTGGCTTCTGAAGCCTGACCCAGTGCTTTTCCTTTGAGAGCACCGAGATCACAGGATCCACATTGGAAAGGTCAAACTTCCATGCGATAACCTGCATATATATTCTCTGAAGCCCATTATCAGCAGTGCCACGCATAGATATCTGCCGAGTCTTGCCATCCTGCCTCTTACCCTCACTCCATTCAATTGGCAAAACATGAAAAGAGACAGGTACATCCTCGTCGTCTATAAAATGGTAATTCGTAACAAAATCTGGCAAATGCTCGCTCTCATCATCTGAGTCATCTGACGGTGCCATAACCTTCTTCAACTCACACCCTTAATTTACTACACCTAAAAATAAAATTGAAAAAAATAACACAAGCAGTCCATGAATATCACTAATTGAGGCTAGGGTTTCGAAAACTTAAATTTTCCTCCGTTTCCTAAGCTCCTTAAGAGTAACCAAACAATTGCAAAGGGTTTCGAAAACTTAAACTGTTCAACAGAAAAGAAAACAGGAAGATTACTGTTTCGAAAAGAATTGCATACTAAAAAGACAAGTACATGAAGAAATTGAGAATTCAACAATGTTCACCTACCCGATCAGACTGACACAAAACCCTAACTTCGCCGCTCTGAAAAGCTTGGTCTCTTGATCGATGGGACTCACAGAAGCCAATGCAGAAACTGGGTTTTGGGTTAGCTTGTTTCCTCTGTTTGCTGCGAAATTTGAACTTATTATATATTTCGGTGGGGGGTTAGGAATGAACCGGGTTTCTATACCTCCTATCCCAACGACATGTCGCATAAGTTAGGTTAAATAATGGGACTGAGACGCACTTGTTTCACACCTGAACTATGACACGTGGTCGATTTGGAAATTTAAATAAAATAGAACACTTTATTTATTTATTTTATTTAACAAAAAATTAAAAAAATTAATATTATGTTTTTTTTTTTTTTTTTTTTTTTTTTTTTTTTTTTTTGGTGGGGTAATTATGTTCAAGAATTGCTAAATTTGATTGTATTCACACCAATTTCATTTATAATTAAGTTCAGTTTTTTTTTTGGGAGTGAAATGGAGAAATTTTGAGATTTATGTGAGAAATAAATATCTAAAAACTTAAATAAAAATAAGAGACTCTCATACTTAGCATGTCTCCCCTAGCCATAGTCAGATCACCATGTTGAGCTCAATGACATTCATGAATCATGTCCATGTATTGCCATAGCATGTCTAATCAACTGTGGTCATTATAGATTGACCAATTCATGTCCATGTATTGCTTTGCAAATTTTATATATATATATATATATATATTTTTTAATACAAACGATATTAGGGGACGGAAAAATTAAACCTAAGACCTCAAATGCAAGGATAAATGCTCTTAACCACTTGAACTACATGTCACACCCCAAAAACCGAGGTGTGATGTAAAGGGGTTAAGACGAGAATAAATGACAACCAAAGGCAGTAGAATAGAAGGATTATTGAAAAAGTATTGAAATTGTACTGCTGGTTCGGAAACAATAAATGAAATTAAACTAGTTAGTTAGACTTTGTTTTCAGGCTTTAAAACAAGAAGGAATATTTAAAATTTACAAGAAGTTTCGAATTAAAAAAATACATATATTTGGTAAAAGATTATGGTAATTCTATATGAACCCCATTAATTGCTCTTTACACCCCACTAAATTTTAATAAAATTTCAAATTACTCATTATACCCATTTTTTTTCCTAAATTGCCCTCATGAACCCCATTCTCTATATCAGACACCACCCACTAAAAACTCCCTTCCCTTTCAACACACCCCATCTGAAATCAAACCCCACCTCATTTGATATCAAGCCCCACCCCATCGAAAATTCCCTCCTCTTGCAGAGAGACCCCGTCGCAGAACCCATCCCTTTGCAAAGACCCATCGCACAACCCAGCAAACCTGTCATCGCACAACCCAGCAAACCCCCATCTCCATTGTCGGTGGCTAGGTCCGCTTCCGATCCCTCACCTTCTCTTATCTCTCTCATCGATCCGAGTATATGAACTTTGATTTGTGTTTCTTTTTATCTGCTCTGTAACTTAGCCCCCAAGTTTGACCAAAGCTTAATGCTTCGAACTAGTTTATACTCGTGGTGCTTAAAAACAAATGAATTGCTTTTATGCGTTTCGGTTGAACTGTTAGGAATTGTCTATGCTAAGTGGAACATGATTGCTTATTAGGAAGAAAAAAGAAACAAAACTTCTGGAATATGATAGTGAATTTTAGAAGAATTGGTTGAAGTACTGAATTTGTTGTGATGCTAATATATAGTGTTTGCTTATATTTTTGTTCTGTCCTGCAGAGTTGAGGGAAGTTTTCTGCCTTGGAGAGCATTGTTGGGAAGGACTTCTTACCACGTGGTTCTGGTAAGACTATCGAAGCCCAAGAAATCTTGGTTATTTGTGGCAGTTTGGTCGTCTGATTCTGATTTTGATTTTGATTTCAACGTTGTGTATGGTTCGAACCTGGTTTTACGAAACTGGATTCTAGTTTCGGTGGATTACCACCAAAATTGTTACCTTTTTTCGGTGGTTGTCCACCGAATCTGTTTCTATTTTTCAGGAGACTCCCACCGAATTTATTTCGGTTTTTCAGTGGTACTTTACCGAATATGTGTTCTTTTTTCAGTGATAGTCCACCGAATTTATTTCCTTTTTTCAGTGATCATCTACTGAATACGTTACTGAGTGTGTACTTAATATTGTTTGTTTTTAGATATGAAGATGACTCACAGAGGTACTACTGAGGCTTCATCATCCCGACCTAATAGACAGCGTCCCACGGCCTCAACGAGGAGATAGAGAGCGGCTCCTCAAGATCACTTTGAGGATACTACAAAGGTTGAAGATGTAGTTCCTACTCATGATAGTAATGTTGACGCAAAGGTTGAAGATGTAGCTGCTACTCAGGATAGTAATGTTTCAGACAGTTGAGGCTAGATTCTCCAATGTTTCAGACACAGATTCAGAGGAGTACATCATGTATCACCTGACAAGTGAGGCTAGATTCTTCATCTTGATGAAGAGTAAGAAGTTTTTCTTAGACAGGTTTTTGATCAACTATCAAGAGAAAGTACTGAATTGTTGAGCATCTTTCATGGGAAAATAGCTCTTGCAGAACTCGGATTAGAATTTGAGCAAAGAGGCGGAGTGAAACGATTGTAGGATGAAGCTTGTTCAGTTTTTTTTATTCATTTGATGATTAAGAGGATCATAAGAACCACTTGTTGACTGTAAGTTCTGCTCCCACAAATAGTCAAATCCTTCTATACTTTGAACATTGCAACATGCACTTCTTTTACTTCGTTCTGTCTTATAAAGAGTGACTTTTAAATGACTATGCACACAAAGATGTACTTTTCAGGTTACATGTGAAAAAAAATTAAATAAAATTATTAGATTTATAATCTCAATTCTGTAACAGGTGCATTTTCATCAGTCATTAGGATGACGGTATCTATAGTAGCTACATTCTCCACTCCCGAAAGTTGTTGAAAAGCATCCACACGTGCTTGGTACCTCGAGTACAAATGTGTTACATTGCATATATCACTTTGCTCATGCCACATTCTAGAAACTGGTGGAATAGGATGATCTGGAGACAAATGAACCTACAAAACAAGAATTCATTCATATACGCATATCATATAAAATTAACCAATGTTGCGTAAACAAATAAATTCATACCTGGAAGTAGGATGGTTGTGTACTCCACAAACCACCTCCAACTTCCAATCATCCCCATCATGACACCTTTTAACAAGAATGGGCATCCACATTTCTTAGTACCAATGTCCCTAGCACATTTTTTTATATCACTATTTGCATCCGACCTTATATCAGTTGTCTTACTAGACTTGCAAGACTTATAGTTACCGCTCCTCTCACAAGCAAGTATTACACGAGGTCTCCTATTGCCCTCACCTCCATAATCAGACCTTTTAATTATAATGACAATATTATTCAATTTTCCTTATTCACGATCCCATCGAAGTAATGCATCTCTACCATTGAATATCTACACATAAAACTCATATTATTTAAATATAAATTTTGAAACATTAATGCCACGTTAATGATACTAAAAAGGATTTCAGACAAATAATTGTCGAATAAGTTGTGAATTGATCACTATAGTCTATTACACATTCTGTTCCCACATTGTTGCCTTCAGTAGGGGCGTCACCTTGATTTTGTTCATTCAATGGGAGTAAGATCAAAATAGCTTGGATTAAATTTGTGGTCAGCAATAAGTTATTGAAAAAATAAATAAATTTCGGTTAGATGCCACTGAAACGCAGGTAAAATTTCGGTAGTAAACCACTGAACTACGTTCCATCTTACGGTGGATTTCCACCGAATATTAAGTTGCTGACCAGTCAAACCCAACCGAAAATGGGGCAACGTTTCAGTGGCATCCCACCGAATTTACCTGTCGCGTTCAGTATTGATGTGCTGAACGCAACCAGCGACCATTATGAAATACTAAACTTGCAAAACGCCAAAAAATAAACTCGTACCTCATTCGAAGCCTCTCTAACTTCAATCTCACCTCTCATGAATAAATACAATATATTTTTTCATCAGTATAAACTTATAAATCTAGGGTTTAGGGTTTAGGAACATGATAGTTTGAGAAAAAAGTCAAACTAGGGTTGTAGGAACATATGTGGGGTGTAGTGAGCAATTTTAATTTTAATTTTAAATTTTTTTGTCCTTAACGGTAATTGTGTACAAGGGTAAAATAGATTATTCATATTTAAAATTAGTATGGGGTGTAAAGAGCAAATAATGGGGTGCCAATAAAATTGCCCAAAAGATTAATGGAAGAAACAACAAATCTAAACAACTTAAAATGGATAGAAAACTTCCCATTGATTTCACTAGGCACAAAGAAAAATTTGCAGCGACGTCCTGTAGGTTAAGATGCACCCAAAATTGAGCTTTGAACCAAATGGCACGAAAATTTCCAAAATTGAAGAAGACGTGAAACTAGATTGTGTCAAAATATAAAACGATTCGGAGTCCAAAAAGTAATTCAAACACTTAATGCAAACAGCTAAACTGCAGAAATATGAAAATTATTTACTCAGATTTTTCTTGCAACTAGGTTTGGAACAAACCTTGTCAATTCAAATGAAACTACGAGAAAACAACTACTTGTACAGATACAACTAAAAGTCTTTCCAAGTGCCTTTGTCAGATATTCAAACAAAAACAAAAGTAGAATTAAGAGTGCCACGGCAGGCATTTCCTTGTTCTCCTTGTTTACAAACGCAGCATTTATGAATTGGACATGTAAAGGGTTCCCCTTTAGAAATTTTTTTCTCAAGCTCCCCAGCAGTAACTCCATTGTCTTGATCAATGAGGTGTGCAACACAACGTGGATGGTAAAATTTACCACAGGCGAAGACCTAACAGCAATAAAAAATGCTTTAAGGTAACCCAAACATAAGAATAATAGTAATACCCTGTAGATGACAATATGAAAAGGCAGAAAAGAACATGCTGAAGATTTCAGACTGATGTATACACATATATTAATAAATAAAATTGACTATTATCCAGATAAAAAAGACAACCAAAACGCAAAACTCCTGACAAGAAAAACAAGAAAATGAAAATGAATTTCTTTAGTAAAACCATAAAGTCAGTAGCTTCAGGCTTGTACTCGGGCACACTGTTGGAAATTGACTCAACAGGCTTTGGTCGAAGTAAAAGAAGTCAAAAAATATTAAGGATTGTGCATTGTGATGATGACCATTGTTGGAAATGCCAGGATTTTGCAAGAAACTGAATGGGATGGATAAAATTGCATTTTTTTAGCTTCTATTTAGGTTTCCACTTCCAAAGAGTACCACTTTCTTTATTTATGGTAATTCGTCTCTATGTGTTCTCAACAGGCTGGTCTTGACTGTTATGTTAATGTCCTGTATGGCCATTCTTCCAGTTGATTTAAGGATAATTCATGCCTCTATATGTTTCACCTTTCCTATGACTCAAAATCCATGTCTTTACTTAAAGAAAAAATTCATTAACTAAAGACAGACATGTGTAAACCAAAAAGATGTACTAAAATTTGTATCAGTGCCAGGGAAATTGACTAAATCAGCTATGGGATATATGGAAAATAAAAGGGAAAGAAAAATTTATTCTAGCTAGATTGAGCAAAATGAAAGTCAAAACATAATAGTACATAATACAAAAAAGGGGAAAGAATGCCAACCAGAAATAATGCTCATAGGATTAATTGGGCACTACACGCACTTAACAAAAGATCTAGGTCCTCACCCTCTAGCTTCCTTGATTGCTAGTTGTTGTGCAATGGCGAGACAGATTGGTGTTTGTGCTATGAGCCACATCTACATGGAAAGGAATGTTGTGGCTGATTGTTTGGCTAAATGGAGCCATAATATTGATCTTGGGCTGTGTGTGCTTGATGCTGCCCCAAGCTGGATTGGTGCTTTATTAGTAGATGATTTGTTAGGAGTTCATAGAACTCGTTGGGTTGGTTTAGCCTCTGGCTAAGTTTTCTGTTGGTTTGGGGTTTGACCCCCCTGTTTTACCAAAAAAAAGATCTAGGTCCCAAAACCAGGGAAGACAACATCACAACAAGCAAAATAAAGGAAAGAAAAATGTAAGTATAATCAAAGACTAAGAGCAATAGAGCATAGTGGAAGACTATGAACACGTTTAGTAAACTATGAGAAAATCACTTATTGTTAAAAATTGTTGTGAGAGAAAGCTTTAAGGGAAAGCAGCTAATGAGGTGCTTTCATTTTCTGATTATGCAGGAATCAGTTTCGAAGAGGCATTGGGTTTAATGATTATGCGGCAATCATTTTCTGATTATGCGAGAATTAGTATCAACAACACTTTTAACAAAAAGTTTACCAAACGCCAAATTGCTTTCTCTAACAGCTGATTTTTCACACAGCAAATCTGACAGCAATTATTTTCACAGCACAGCAATGTCAAACTGGCCCTTAAGAAGGAATCAATCAGGTAACTTTTATACCTCCTATCACAACGACATGTCGTGTAGGTTAAATAATGAGAGGACTGAGACACACATAGTTTCAAAAATTGACAAAAACTGAATGAGGGAAAATAACTCAGAATTTAACTAAAAGTTAGAAATTTAAGAGGAGAAATTGACAAATTACTTTATTTGGCAACTTAAGCGCAAAATTTATTAAAAGACGAGCGAAAAAATCGTGGAAATTGCTGCATCAAATTCCTGAGTTTAATTTCCACAAAAATATGCGTCATTTCACAATTTTCATAATGTCATTTACAAAATTCGACATACATAAAATCCAAACACTAAAATCTTCAATTGCCAGAAATTGAATTGATCGAAATCTAAATTTTGTCATTTTAAAATCCTATGTAATTTTTAATTCCTTCATCCAAACGAAAAATTTTAACGAAACTTTTGAGGCATGTTTATTCAACCAATAATCTACTTATTTAACAACAACAAAATTGATAAATTTAATTGCATGATGGCCTTGTGTGAATTAAATTACATATAATACTCGATGACAAACTCTACATATTCAGTACTTGTTAAATTATTATTGTATTACTCACACCAATTTCATTTATAATTACGTTTAATATTTCTTTTTTAATGAAATGGAGAAAAATTGAGATTTGTGGGAGAAAATAATAAGAAATTAGATATCTAAAAACTAAAATAAAAAATACGAGACTCTCATAATTAGCATGTCTCCCCCAGCCAGAGCCATATCATTATGTTGAGCTCAATGACATTGATCAACTATCATCATAATAGATTGACCAATTCATGTCCATGTACTGTTTTGCAGGTTTGTTTTTAATAATTTTTTTTTATACAAGCGATATTGAAGGAAAAGGAAATCAATCTAAGATTTCGAATGTATGAATAAATACTCTTAACCACTTGAGCTACAAACTCCTTACAAGTTTTTTACAGTACTATAATTGTGTCGCAACTTAAAAGAAACTATGTGAGTCATTGACCTCGAAGCTTACTTCTTCATTTTTTGATTTGTTTAATAAAAAATTTCATTGAGGGTGGTTTACAAAAAATATTTATTGGATGAAACATTGAAGGTGAATTTTTTATGCTTTAATTTCGTATGACCATGAATACACTGTGTTGAGGCCCAAAATATTCACAGTTTGGCCCAAATAAATTCTCGGCCCAATGCGATGCTTTACCAAGAAGAAACCCGATTTGGGCATGCGAAAGTTCATCATATGCGCTTGCACACATGCCACGCCAAACGACACGCCACGCTAAGCAAGGAATTATCATTCCGCACCTAATCACGCCACAAGCTTAAGTGGGCCCCAAGCCACTCAAATACCCGGGGCTTGCTTGAGTGGGTTGTGGTATGGATGGTAATAAATTGTCATGAGGCCCATTGATGGACCAAGAAGTGGAGGTTCCGGGTTACTTGGGAGCCTCGGAACCCAAGCCCATTTCTTAGGCCCAAACATGTGGGTAAGCACAAGAGAGGAAATAGCCCAATTGCTTCAACTAGAGTAGCCCAACCAAAATAACCCATTACTTTAGATAGCCCATAAAGCCCAAATACTTGGTGAATTTAACCCACTTATTAGATGACTTGGCCTTCTATATTAAAGGGCCCATACCATTTGAATAAAAGGAGTCCAAGGCCTTCAGCACTTGGCTGGAGCAGAAGTCCACGAAGAAAGCCAGAGATTCACATGTGAGGGGCTGCTGGGGGAACAAGTTCCAAGTGCAAGCATTCAAGAAACCAAGGGGTATTAGCACGCAGGGGAAGATGCTATCCCTTAAACCAGCAGGCGCACCCATTTTCTTTCCTTCATCAGATTTGGCCGTGAAAAGAGGAGGAAAGAAGAGAAAGAAGATGGGTGAAAATGGAAGCTCTCCTCTGAAGCTGTTGAAGCCTCGAGCTCCCAAAAATCCCTGATTTTGTGGGATTGGGCAGAACTGATTTTTGCCTCCATGAGGTAAGTCAAGCAAGAGGAGAAGAAAGGAAGAGGAAAGCTTAGCTAGATTGGAAAGAAACCATTAGGGTTTCTTGGAGAAGACCCATTCCCAGCAGCTATAAATAGGACCCCTTCTACCCAACACAACACAACCCACAACCTTCAGAGAGCAAGCTTTCTCTCTCACATGCAAACCCAGGAATTTTCGTGCTATCCTTCCTCATTTTCCTTTATTTCCCCTGTTTTGGCAGATTGACAGAAGTTTTGACAGAGTCACTGTCAAGCTGCCGGAAACTGCGAAAGTCACCCAAAACTCTTCACCATCCTTCTCCCTCTTCATCAAAGCTCCTTAGAGCCTATCTCCCTCTCCATTAGAACCTCTGTACCTCATAGGAACCCACAGATCTCTCTCTCCTAAAGTGCTAAACTCATGATAATTTTTGCTCCCATGCCATAAGTCACTCATGCCAAGCTAGAATATTTATTTGTAATTTGTTGTCATTTTCATTGGTGAAGGTAACCAAGGAGTTTCCTAAGGCGTCATCACCCTTTCGAGACATCCTTGGGGCTTGATCTTCGAACTCAGACACAAGGGGACCCTTGCATCAGATTGCTCTTTACAGCAGCCCAACCCACTTGCTGCCAGGAGAGAAAAAGCCCCTACACACTGCAGTTGAAATTGATTTTCTTTCTAGTGTTTGGAACATAGAGTTTATAGACAAAAAAAGATGTTTTTTTTTCTCATGTTGCCAACTTGCCACATTATAAATAGAAAAAGAAAGGGAAAAGTTATTCAAATGCTTGTATTGGTTCAAAATTTTAAGTACTTCTAAACGAACCCTAAAATTAATTAAGTACACCCTAATATTTAAATCAAAATGTAAAATTAACTAAGTACATCCTATTTAACTACCAAAGATATGTTTTGTACACCTTAATACACTCTATTACATAACACCAAACCCATTCTTTTAGGCGTTCAGCTAGCTCATCACCCATCATCTGGTAACGGCTGGACCAGGGGTATTGTTGAGAAACCCTTTGGTCGAGATTCAGAACCTCTACTGCCTTGACCAAGGCCCTCCAGCGGTACCTAGAAGAGGATCAAATATTCAGGTTGATTTTGTTAAACCCGGTTGGTTTTGGTCATGCAATGAATATGGACCATAATCTAATAATAAGGTTCTTTTTTCTGTTAACAGGACAGACCACTATTTGGGCAAGTAGCTTGTGGAAAACCTATCGGTTCTCTGCTTCTCCAACCTTATTTTCGAACCCTTGGTCAATGCAGTATATAAGAAATGTACAGTTTATATTAGAGTAAATTAGTAATTCAATAAATAATTTAGAAGTAGAGTGTACTCAGTTAATTTTAGGGTTCATTTAGCAACACTCATAATTTTCTGTTGGATATGTTGCTTAGATTTAAATTTGACTTGTATGGTTATAAGATCCTTCGAGGATCTTCTCTATAATTTTTATTTATTTTCCAAAACAAAAATGCAAATTCAATTTCTTAATTTTGTAATTGGAATAAGGCTACTTGATCCTTACATGACTCAACAGTTGACCAATGAAAAAGATTTGCACAACCTTCATGAGCCATTGGTTGGGAAACAGAACCTAGCTGAAACGCTTAGAAATTGTTTGTGAATTTGGGAATGTTGTGATGAAAACGCCTAGAGCTGGGGAAGTGGTGCAGAGTTGTTGATTTGGCAATGTTTTCATGTAACCCTGGTGGTGATGCAGAGATGTGCCCATGCTCTCGAGCTATAGCCTTGTTCTCAGCAGACCAATCAGGACGGCTCCAAAGATAGAGTGGAGGTGGCCTCACATTCCACTGCTCCATTTGTTTGTCATTCTGATCAACAGATCCAGGGAGATAGAATGACTGCAAGGAAGACAAGCCACCATTAAACTCACATTCTAAAGTTTCGAGTCAGACGATTAAGATTCAGATGCTAGGACAAACACATCTCACTTTACCTTTCCTGACAGAAACTGCTCATCCTCCCAAATTAGATTATAATGCGAATTCTTTTCGTTTAACCTGATGAAAGGCCCAAATGTAAGAAACTATATACAAATTTAAGTCCAGTTCACAGGCATGCCCGTATGATGCATGTCTGAGAGAGAGATGAAACGGAAAGCAGCTACCTTTGAGTATCTGGTGGAACAATTAGAATAAGAATCCTTGGATTGAACTCGAGAGCCTTGTCGATAAACTTGTTTGCCAAAGCTGCTTTAACTCCGAAAGGAGGGTTCAACCCCATGATCTGCTCAAGAAGCAAAGTTAGGCAGAGTGAAACAATTAACATAAGGCATCAAGATTGCAAACATCTTGATAAATAACAACAGGCTCCAATTTCCTACCAATCGTGACCCTGTCCGTAACTCCTCTGGTTGAACAGTCATCCAATCTCTCTTCTCAAAATTGAAATCGTTCTGCCATATGAAAATCCACATAAAATGATCAGTTTCCCAGTTCTTCTGTTTCATAAGCCTGTAAATTACCAAAATGCACATACACAAAAGCCTACAACCCGACATAGAGTGTGAGATACGAAAACAATCATAAGAGACAAAATTAATCACAATTAACTTTTTGAAGCAAAAAATGAGGATGAAGAGAATCAAGAACCAACCAGGAATAAACTCCAAGTGCTAAATTGTACAAATTGCATTACACTGCAACCATATACCTCATAAACCTGAAGTCTGAAATGTGGTAGGCATTCACAGTGGAAGGACAAGATTTTTTGTACTTGCATATGTACTGGCTATAATAGGCCAATTTAGTTTGGAAATCTTTATGTCATTACCTGTTTCAGTAGGCCCCTTTACACATTATTTGAGAGGTATAACAAAAAGTAATCCAATATTAGATCCCAAAAACACTTTTTCCATAATAAACTGTCTTAAATATATAACCACGTTCCAGTACATGATTCTTCTGTACTGTTCCACAATCTGGGGCTTTCCAAAGTAACAAGCACAAACACTGTTTGCTAATGCAGAATTAAGAGTGAATGGAAGGGGCGGGAAAATGGATGGATGGATGGATTGGTTGTCTCTTGTTTAGTAGGAATGCAAGTGGGAGAGAAGAAGGAGACCCTTTTGGCCCAATCCAAAGTTGGAAAAGCCGGTAAGTAATGTAAGACAACACAAGATGGGTGCTGTCTATGAAACTGGTGGACTATAATGGTAACATTTTTAGAAATTATAATAACTTTAAAGAAATGGAAAAATTCAGAGGAGAAGAAATAGGAGAAAACCCACACTACACTATCTCTTTACTATCTGACTCTGAAAGCCAACCAACTGAAATTTCTGGAATAAACTATAAAGCTATCAGGTGTACATATTTCTAGCAGGCGGTTCAGACCCTCAAAAACAATAACTTCTGAGACTACAAACACTGTTCTAGTTTCTACACTGTCATTGATAATATGATGTATGGATTGACTAATACTAAGTACTAATACTGATGAGGATTACCTTTGGTTGAATGATGTCATAGTTTCTGTAAAAGCACTTCTTCCCCGTCTCTTCAAGCTTTTTCTTCATTATGATGCTGAAATCATTAGCACCCACAACAGAAGTCCACAATCTGTTCATTGGGACCGGTAAGCCAATCAGGTACTCAACATTATGATTTGATCACCGGGTGAAATCAAAAAAAAAAAAAATAGCAATCATAAATTCATAACTAACAACATAAGCTCATGATCCAAAATTGATATCCCATTTAATATGGAATCACAACAACATTAGTTATCTTTTCTATTCTTTTGATATGTACTTAAGAACACAAAATTGATTTTTATTTTTATTTTTACCTATCTTATGACTTCTGTGGTGAATACATATATTGCACAATCAGTCAACTGTGTAAATTCAAACAAAAGTTCATATATATCATGGTAGATTTTTCCAACACCAGATGTTTCTGTTGCAGAAAGAGAAATTAATGTAATTCTTGGATTTTTTTTTAATAAGAAATGAATTTTATTAATTCCAAAACCAGTACAAAAACTGTGGTCAGAAACTCAGAAGCCAAATATACTTTAACAGTCTGTTGAGTTGACCTATAGGTGAACAGTGGAATACAGCTTCGGGTACTACGAAGATTCTAAAAAAGGAATACAAACTCAGGCAAATAACCAACCATGCGAATAAAATAATTTTTTTTTATAGTACTGAATGACTACAATTTGGAACAGCATACTCAATTCAGATCATCAAGTAACAGGAATTGCATAACTCAAAGCAACATCCAAAAGATATTTCATGTTACAAGACATATAGTGCACTCACATACACCAAACAATGAACTAAAATTATACCACAAAAATAAGATTGTACATCCATACCGTATCTCCATTCTTTACGTACCAATGGAGCCTATCAGCAATCTGCACATTCAAAATTATGTTTTTAGACTTCTTCAAGGGTTCATGGAGTTCATATATCTACACTCCGTGGCTCAAATTTAATAAAGGGAACATGTGCAGACGAGAAAAAAAATGGTAAAACTATCTCAAAGAGGAAGGTATAATTGAATAACTGTATAGTATTTCTACCACTGAGTTTAATCAGCCAAACATTTATGAGAAAGCAGGTGTAAATAAAAATCCACACCGCTGTGTGAATAGAGAGTTTTTGGGTCCTTTGAATAGGAAGTCATAAGAGAACTTTCAAAGATAAGATATTTTTGTACTTTTCTCAATGGTGAGTAGTGAAAGCCAAAATAATAAGATAAAGAAAAAGTGCTTCATAACTTTGAAATAGCTGAAACTTGAACACAATCAGATTACCTCTTCTAATTTTTCCACCTTTGTAAAATGGCGACCAAAGGAGGTGTAGCGCATTCCATGCAAAAATGGTGCAAGATAGACTCTCAGCTTGTTCTGCATCAAGGTAAGTCAATAAATTAATGGGAAGTAAGAGAGCACAACCGTTTCCTAATGAACCATTAGTACAAATATTACATAAGAGTAAAATGGCCTAGCAAACTCAACCCAAAGAAAGAAAAAAATAGAGGAGATCTACAGCTAACAGTTATTCTCGCTATGCTGGATGCATTAAGCCATTTGGAAATAGCTGTTATTCTAGAGTGAGGCCACACAGGATGCTACAAGCAAACATGCAACTGCACATACTTAATATTTCTCTAACTCTTAAAAATGAAATATGTCACAGTCTATCTTAAATGTTTGGAAATTATTTGTGAATGAGTACCTATCAGCATGTACCAAACAACCAAATAGGCTTCCTCTTAAAATTGTGGACTGAAATTAAATCAACGTAGCCTACCCCTAGCAATGTGCATCAAGAATAACAGCATACCCTATACCTGCACCCAAGTAAGACTGTCAATCAGCTTAATACAGCTCGAGTGCTTAAAAAAATTTGGCTTGTTTGGACTTGGCTTGTAAAGGAAACAAGCCAAGGTAAAAGAAAATAACAAGCTTGCTAAAAAATTAAAACTAGAAGCCAGGCTTGTCCTGGCTCCCATTTTATCACAAGAAAACTCTACTTTAAATCGACATCACCTCGTTCGTTTGCTCTTCAGCTGCTTCCCAATAAAATTTTTAAAACCGAACATTCAATAATTTACCAAAATTCCTTCTTCTCTCTATTTAAAATTTTCTATTTGTTACATGATTTTCTTTATTTCTTTATTCACTTATGTATCTGCATTTTCCTACAGTCATTAAGTGACTCGAACCACGCTTTAAGCTCACATCCCACATTGACCGAACCTAAGACGAATTCAAGTTAAGCTTATCTCACATACAAGCGAACCTCATGCCAGAAACCAACATTCAAAGCACAACTTAGAGCATAGTTAATCAAGCTTGGCTAAAGCTCAACCAATTTCAATCAACCCAAGTTTGACCACTGTGATACTAGGTTTAACCTGGCTAGTTTACACCACATTACCCGAGCCACAAACCAAGCATAACCTGACTAGGCATATTATATAGCTGAGATGCATAAGTCTAGTACACAGACCAACAAGCATTAATGTAGGAGACCTATAAATTAATACAAACAAGATGTATAATCTTCGCCTAACCACCAAACTTAAGACAAGTTGTAGGACAGTGAGACAGGAATAGGAAACCACCTTCCACTTATAAATCTGGTTAATCATTGCAGGTGCACACACAGCCTCTAAATCTTCAGTACTGCATCCTTCCTCTAGTTTCCGTAACGCCATTCGAACAGCCTAAATATACATGGACAGCGTTACGAAATGCTTGATAAAAGAAATCATAAAAAACTCATAGTCCAGAACAGTTGAAATCCTCCCAGTTTTTATTTTTATTTTTTTATTTTAATGGGTCAGAAATCCTCCCAGTTTAGACGTACCTCAATTGAGCCTTCCACCTTTCCAAGTGTAATGTTCCTCTCCACAGCATTTCTGGACGACAATGCATGAGTCGAAGGAACTTTATGCTTTCTTTTAACCTCTTCCAAAGTTATTGAAGACACAGCATCTTTCATTAGAGCCAATAATCTGAATTCCAAGAAATAAATCAGATAACTGCACACAACTATAATAACACTGAAACCTCATATCAAGATTGTCTGCAGCCCTGGTAAGTCCTTGTAAAGTATGCAAACACATGTGTGTGTTTGCACGCACGTGTATAGAAATAGAGAGAGAGAGAGAGAGAGAGAGAGAGAGAGAGAGGTGCTAAAATAAGGGTGTATTATACATATATATTGATGACCGATGTAATGCTATCAAAAAATGGTGTATAAATATATAAACAGATATAGAATTGGTAAAAGAGTTACCTTCTCTTTGTAGCTGCATCTAAAGAAGGTGGTGCGCTGCTCAACTTTTTAGGGGCAAGATTAACTACTGCTGAGTTACGCTCACCATCAGGTTTACCCTGCTTCCCTGACTTCACTTGCTCAGACCCCTTCACATGGGCAAATAGAATATCACCGAATGAGGACTTCCTTTCCTCAGCCACGGAAGTCTTAATTTCCTTTTTCAAAGAACTATTTACTTTCACCCTTCTTGATATATCCAACCCAGAAGGTACTTTTTCAGTAGTTCTGCTGCCGCCCACTTTTACAGCACAAGGTGACTTCAGCTTCTGTTTAGATATTGTATGAGCAGTTTTACCCCTATAGAATTCTTCAGATGCAAGGTTTCTCTTCTTTGTAACAGATTTCTCTCTATCTAAAAAGGACTCTGCTGCCCACTTTCTCTTTTTCTCTACAAGACCAGTCTTCTTTTCTTTAACATCAGGGAATTTTAAGTGGTCCCTTATTGGAGTTTTAATTCTTTTAACTATCTCATGTTTCCTAATACGAAGGAAGCGAAAAAGCGTTCAGAAAATTAAAGCAGACAAAGTAATGAACAAAAGTAGTTCACAAAAATTAATACTTACAGGCAATATATTAGTACACGGTTAGGCAATAGACCATCCCAACCCCTTGTTATTACATCTTCACCCTCTATGTCTTCATCTTCTTCATCTTCCACTTCTTCCCCGTCCTCTTCTTCGTCTTCCTCTGTTTTCCTCAATTTTTTCAATTACAATCTCACTGGTACAAGAAATTCAAGCATTACTCATGTGGACACAAATAAAGGACTAACCCATGGTCTCATAACAGCATATTAAAAGGAAAACAGAAAAAAAAATTACAATTAAGAGTACCTTGGTAGGCATTTCCTGTGGT